TTCTGGAGTGTGTTTTCAGACAAGGATATCCGCACGGCAATGATGGCTCTTGAAAAGCTGGTACTTTTCAGCGGAAATGTGAGACTTGATAGTTCTTGTAGCTTGGACGACAGGTGATCCAGACCACGGAGTCCCGAGTCTATATTGCTCTTGACTCTGATATGGTTTAGCGACTTGCCGATAAAGAGCATAGATGAAGCTGTGCCCGGTGTCACAAAGGCAGGCAACAGACTCGACCGCGATATATATTCCTACATCTGTTAGCAATGCCTTACTGAAGTTCGCATCTGAACCAACCTCTTCAGACGCTTCCACTTTTTGTACGAAAAAGTCTTCAGTCCCAAAGCTTGGAAGTCTACCGTATAAGATCCATGCCGAAACCTGCTTCAGCCAAGCAGTCTCAGCGACTGCAACAAGACTCAACGCCGTCTCTTGAACGTCCCTATAACCGCTCTGTAGCTCAAGTCGTAGACGGTCCATGAGCTGTGCTCCATGACACCCTTCACCCTTTTTATCCTTGGCCAACATGAACTGTACCATCTCCCATAGCCAGTCCATTCTCCTAATCCAATCTTTGAACTCGCTCATGACAGCCGTTAGAGGCACAATGTTGTACGCTCCCACCAGCTCCGGATCATCTTGTAGTATGCTTTCTTCGACATCGAGAACCTTGCGTTGAAAAGCGGCTAGATGGATCGAGTCTATGGCTGTCGCAACGGCTCGGCAGATGGTTGATGAGTGCGAGTTTGCTACTTGGGCCGTGTAGCTGATGACTTTGATGTGGACGTCGCTTAGATGGGCGGCTGAGGCGAGGAGTTGTCGCTCGGCGGGTGAGATACCGGATAGAGCATTCGATTGAGCGGTATCGGGTCGGAGGAGAGGGGATGGGTGTCCCGAGAGGGAGAGGAGGATTTCGTGGAGCATGGTTTTGGTTCTGGCTCTGGTTGAGGAGATCTTGAATGTACAATTAGCGGTCATGCATCACAGGATAAGGATGGTAGAAACACACCGATTCTGGGCTTTCCTAGATTTAATGAAATCGCCAAAATCATTAAGAATAATTATGATAACTCCGATAAGCTCGAAACGGCACATGAACCAGTCACTCGTCCGTTTGGCAGCAGATCGTTATTGGGAGGTTGCTCTTTAAAATAGTCCAAAGATGGGATATCCGAGCTCTATATGGTTCAATGGACGATATTCAGCCGAGCTCAGATGACGTGACGACTGCGGTATCGTGGTATCTTGATAAATTGGTCCTTGACATTGCGCGCAATCGACAATATTTCTCGGTAAGTAGACCAGACTTAAAGTGAAGCTCTTCTATGCGCGACGCGATGGCAACTGCCCCGCGATCACACCGTACATGCTGGTACACATACTGTACTGTACCTCACAGATCATGTCACTTACACCATTCAAGTATCTGGATTTCATTTTCATTATACATCATTAAAACTCAATGAAAATATTCCCTACTAAAATGATACACTGGCTTTTCAAAATGCATTATTGATCAAATCGCATTGCCACCCAATATAATGCCCAAGTGAACCGCACCAAAATCGTCATAAGTAACCCCTACTCCAATGTCTTCCCATTTCGTGACTGTCCCTTAAGCGGGCTTCTTGCCATTTGCGACGCTCACATTGTCACCATATGTGCTTTGCGCCCCTTGGCCATTACCTTGCCTCGCCTCGATGAGCTCGTTGTCTGTACCGCCGACAATAATCTCGCCGCCGCCCTTGACCTTGCCCACAACCATACCCTTTGCGACACTCTTGAGAATGGCACGCCGGGACACACCTGTAACGTCAATGTAGACGAGTCCAACGTTCTTGACACCGCCACCGAGGTTACGCGACACCTCGCCAGCTTCAGCACCCCAGCGGTGACCAACAACAGTTGTTACACTGGATGATGTGCCAGTAAGTAGGTTGCGACCAGCTTGTTCAATACCATCGACAACAGTGTTGAAGGCCATCAAGCTCTTGTTGAGCACACCTGGCTTATAGGTGTCAATGGCTTTGCCATCCTTATCGTAGCCTCTAGCTCGTCCATCCTTGCGGCGAGTGACGGTTGCACCAAGATTCTGCGCCAAGTTGCCGATGGTACCAACCGTGGTGGCTGAGAAAGTAGCCGCCCTGTTGGAGAAGGTGTTGATTCGACGGATATGCTCATGTGTAGTGGGGGCGAAGGTGACAGGATTGTCATTGGGCTTTGTCTTCTGAGTAAAGTTGTCGGCTTGGCTTTGAAGTGTTCTGGAAACAACGTCGGACGTGGTAACAATCAGTCGAGACGCCTTGCTTGCGCTGCTTACAAGAGTCGACTTTTTGTACGCAGGGTGCATGTCCATTTCAGCCCAGGACTGAGAAGCAGGCTGGACAGAGATGCTCTGGCCACCATCGGTAGGAAGGGCAATCTCGACGGGCTCTACGCGCACATTAGCAACTAAAAGTGATATGTTCTGAACTTTCTAGTACATACCTTTGGAACCAGGCTTGATCTTGCTATCTTCCACCACCTGATAGCTGTCGGTCAGCTCTCCTAGAACGCTGCCATCTTCCTCGTCGATAAGAACGATTCGGCCGGCACTATTTGCGCTCTGGCTGCCTTGAGCATAATTCTCCCCAGGATTGTAGTTAGCTGGGTTATAAGCGGGGAGCTGCTCCCCAGCAGCTTCGCGTGCCTTGGCCTGTGCCTTCTCGGAGGGTCGTGGCGGGTGAGGAGGAGCTGAGCGTTCAAGGAATGCGGTGCACTGGGCGAGGATAGTCTCGAAAGTGTCGACGTCTTCCTGAACACCGGGTCGAGAGTTGGCAGGAGGGAATTCGATACGGGTAAAGGCGCCGCTGTCGGGGCCGAGATCCCAACGAGGAATCAAGTAACTTGTAGGTGGCTGATGGTAGATTTGGGTCGTGGCGGGAAGAGGCAGGTCAAGCTCTGGAGGGAGATGCAGGTGTAGGTAAAAGTCCTCTTCACCGGAGCCAGTTCCTGCAGGTTCGACAAAGCCAGATGAGGTCGGGACCATCAGAAGCGACAGTGTCTGGGGTCCCGAAGGAGTGAGCGACTGCTCTTTGCCATTGGTAATGTGGTAGGCATTGATGCCTTCTACAGCGTAGAGAAGCTTCGGATCCTGTTGGAGGGTTTTGTTAGTATAGTTGAGGCGCAAAGATGGACGTCATGAGCAGGATAGGGCAGATGCCATGACTTACATTAGACATATTGGATGGAATTTGATGTTTGCTTGGTTGAAGGAGAAGGGTGTAATTCCAGTATTATCGAGAGAAGAGGAGAGGAATGAACTTGGGTTGGCGAGTCGCAGACGAGAATAGGGGAGAGATGATGAAATCCTGGAACTTGGAAAGTCGCAGAGTCAAGATGGAGGGGTCGCCTCTTATGACAGAACCCTGATCCACCACCAACTATAGGTAGACAGGCAAAGACAAGCGCGATGCGCGTTAATGCAATGCAATGTTATGCTCGGCGGCTGCTGCAAGTAGTTGATTTGCAGAAGAGGGTGATGTTGGCTACAAATATAATTTGATTGCAGTCAAAAGAGGGTGGGCGTCTGTCGGCGCTTAAATTGAATCCAACGATGAGCTTGAGAAGCTTGTGAGGCCTCTTTTAAAGGCGGCGACGTCATTCATTGGTTCGAGCATCATGATGGAAGAATTAACCCCTGTAATCGCCACCTCTAGAACAGGACCTTAGTAGGTTGAGTTGAGTTAAAGTGGTGTGGCTCATGGCTTCAGGAAATAAAACAAGAAATTGTTACAATGTTTCTTTCATGTTGGGGGATTTGCCATCAACAGAGATGCGTGTGCAAATGGGCGAAGCACTTAAGCTTAAAGTCCCTAGATTTACCTTCAGAGGGGTCCATTGATGGTTAGTAACTAGCCCAGCTTGGCATTTTGTTGTCGACATGACCAGGATGATCATGTAGGTCAACAGTTATTGGTGTAGTCCAAAGGCTTGTCTTTCTATGAGGCAAATGGTATGAATTGATGGCCACAGCCACGCAAACAATTGAGGCGCATGACGGATATGTATCCAGCCGAAGGTCTAGAATCACTTACAGTCTGTTAGGTAATTGATCTACTAATGAATTGATGCTAATGATCTTCACGATAGGCCTATTTACTGTTCTCTTTTAACCTTCTTTAATTACCCGTGGTAAGGTTCTTGCAGAGCCTCTAGCGAAGCCGTTCCCGTGCCCACAGCCCGAGCCAAAACGGCTCTCATTTCTTCATCTCCGTAAATCGGCCCCGTGGATTTCTCTCTAGATCTCGGCCTCGTCGGATTTGTTGACTGTCACTTGCAACGTTGCCAAACATGGTGATATCATACCCATTCTACATCAACCGGCTACCTCTTGACCTCGAATGATTTATACAACGCTTATAGGAATATAAAGTACTGCATTCTGCGAACACTACGGTAAAACCTACCAAAATCAAGAGCTGGACAAAAGGGAACCCGCAATGGTTCGTTGTAATATTTTTCATCATGCTATTTTACCCCATTATTACGTATAAGATTGTCCCCTGTATCCATCCATCAACCCCATATAGAGTTTCCACAATCCCTGAGCAGTCTCTCTCTACTGAAGACCTGGGGTTCATCAGCGTCAAAACCCAAGGGAATATGTATGAACAACAACAGTGATCATCAGTTGGGCAACACCGAGATAACAAACCCCTTGTTGCAAAAGAAAGAAAAAGCAGTTGCGTAACTAGCACTCCTTTCTAATATTATATGAGACGATGGATCTATCATATCGGAAAAACTTTCCCAACCAGTCAACTCTTAACGTTGGCTGTCATGATCTTGAGGCTCTGTCGGCGAACCCACGGCACACTAATTTAGTATTTTCTTTCTTTCTGACCAAACTTGCGGTAAAAGTCCCTTGTCTGGCTTTGACGTTCTTCTAATACGGCTCTAGCAAAGGATCCATGTCCTTCCTTACCCAGATTTTATGCACGTCTGGCCTGTAAGTTACCATGTATGGACTAGTGACTCGGTTGCGTGGGCCGTCTAGAATATCTTGTAAGTCGGCATGAGAGAGCGATGGTCGGCCCGGGGTCTCATTTACTTGATATGGATCCAATGTTGATGTTTCGTAGGTGGTTCTGGATAATAAATAGTTTTATGTCCCATCAAGTTAACAAAACCTTTGGACTACCTAATATTGCTACAGCACTCGAATTTGGTTGACACTTTCCCCATATTATTTCACTCCTGATATCACCGGTTCAGTCGCGACAGACTTTTTTGATACCAAAAGCACGGCTCGAAAGGAGCACAAATCGCCAAAATAGCTTCCCAACTTCGCATCCAGTCTATACTGTCTCCCATAGACCCCGAGGGCAATAAGCCGTCAGAGATACCTTCACATCCATTGCCGAATTCAAAAAGAAAACTCGAAGAACTATCCCGTGCCCGAGAGGGCACGTTACCGGCGTCAAACTGGTTTCCTCGTCATGACGAACTCAGACATGACGCCGGCGACGATAGCCTGATATGGACCCAGACACCCTCCAACTCTGATGAGAGGGCTGAGAGGACAAGCTCCAGAACGAAATTACCCATGAGATCTAGCATTGCTTGTGTGCGATGTAGGAGATCAAAGATAAAATGCAATAACGATGGAGGCCATAGTCCCTGCGATCATTGCGTCAAGGGAAGCCACCAGTGCCAATATCCCGAGCCGGCCCCTATTCCACAAAAACGAAGCGAATCTCAAGCCGCGGTTAGATCAGAAAAGGAACCACACCCGGAAAAGAAAAGAACAAGGAAACTTGACGATGTGCCTGGGCGTGACAGCGAGAGGTCGACTGCTTACGCAGCAGAAGTTCTCGCATATCCCTTTTTGACAACTGAACTTTGGAGTCAACTGCTCAGCATCTACAAACAGCATTATGCAACAGAACTTCCCTTCATCCATCTGCCATCGCTCAAGGAAAGGATGGTCACTGAACCTGGACAGAAAAAGGACTGTTCGTCTGAGCTGAACATGGTGCTACTCGGAATTTTGACAATGACAGCTCGATTCCATCCGGACTTGGTACGCTACGTGACGCATTTACAGAGCTCACAGCATGGACATGCCCGACCACGTACATCACAGCCCCAAAAGAACCCATTGGCTGCTTCTGACTTTTTTGCTACCGTTCTCACTACAGCCCTAGGTCCTCTACGGACGGCCATGGACACCATAACTGTGGAGAGAATCCAGGCATTCTTGATGCTTGGGCTGTTTGAGTGGAGCCAAGGGAATGAGTCTGCGTGGATGTATATCGGGGTTGCGATTCGAATGGCCAAGATGATGAAGCTCGAACTTGATGACCAACGAATGGGCCTGTTGGAGAAACAGACATCCACATCACAACAATCTCGAACGGGGTCAGCCGAAGTCGCCATCGTCAGAGAAACCCGACGGCGAACAATGTACAGTTGCTTCATTCTCGATCGCTTAATGGGAGGTGGAAGTGACAGAGCCCTTAGCACTCCGACCGAGACTTTGCGGATACAGTTACCATGTTCTGAAATAGCATTCGATTTGTCTCTGCATGTCTACACGGGGTTCCTAAGGCAGCCCGAAGGATTTATTCAGCCCCAGATGAACGACGACAGTACTCTGAGTCAATTTATCAGACTGGTAGATTTATGGAGCGATATATCGATATATAGCTCAAAGGGTGGTCGTGAGCACGAAAATCTTCCTCCTTGGGATAATAGGTCGAGATTCTATGAGTTAAGAGCCAAACTGAACGCATTCTACAGCGGACTGCCCGATACTTTTACCTTGTCCCGACAAAACTACTACCGCCACGACAACCATCAAGCTACCAACACCTACGTCTCGCTGCATATGTTGACATCGGCCTGTCAGATCGTCCTTAACCGAGAATACTTACCATTCTTGCCCCTTCGCTGCCGAAGACCACAAGGTCCTCTTGACCGAACCCAACCTACGCTCGATCATGCTCTAGATGGGTTTTGGGAAGAGAGTTCAGAAGAAGTTTTCCGAGCATCTCGCAATGTGATCGACTTGATTGAGCTCTGCAAAGACAAATTACCCCTATCATCACTTACTGCATTTTCCACCTGGCTGGCAGGATTCATGGCGGTATATGCTCGGCATTTCCCCCACATGGATCTGAAGCAGAAAGTGACAAGTCAGCAAATTCTTGATTTCGCAGACACATCAAACGTTCTCGAAGAGGAAATGGTGGGAACAGCTTGCCAGGCGTTGCGAAGAGCTACGGCTTACTTACCCGCTGCATCAAGCTATTTGGATAATCTCGAGGGCACAAATCGATATTTCTCGCAGATGAGAAACCCTCTTGCCCAAAATCGAGAAGCTGCTCGTTCGACGGGATCGTCAGACGATCGCATACAAAGAATGGACTCCGCGCATCGCCACAGTACGAGCCCAACATTACCGAGTATGCTCTCAACCCTTGAAGAGCCCCCCAAACCTGCTGCTTCGATATCGAAAAGCCAATTCTTGTTACCTGGAATCGATGATGAACCTATCGAAATAGATTCGCTAAAGTTCTTGAGGACGGATATTGAGGTGTTGGACTCGCAGCGGATAAGCAAAGTCCTGAACGATTTGGAAGGGTTTTCTGGCGCAGGAAGGTTAAGAGTGGCATTCAATTGATAGCCAGATTTTGATCAATGTTTTAAAATGCAATACTGTATGAATATGATGTGGAGATAATCATGATGTTTTACCAAGGTCGTTCGATGGAGTATGAATGAGGTTGGCCCTTAGGGTAAAGTCTGGCTGCTCAAGAAGCAACATTGCAGATGAGATGCCTTGCACCTGTCTTAGTATGAGCCAGTTTATTTTGCATGTTGAAGCTCACATCGATTTTCTGATCTCCTTCCTGATTGTATAACTCGGAAGGAGGAAAGAAGTACTGTCAGTCTGTTCCAGCCTTCCACCTTTCTTCTTTCTTCTGCCCATTTCTTCCTCCTCCAACCTCATCCAAGAATTCGGTTAACAAATCCTTAATGGTTCGATAGCGGCCCGAATCGCGTACGATCGGTAAAAGAAGGTGACGTTGTCGACTGATTAATCAATCATTACTCAAACTTCCGCGGTGATGGATCTGATCACTCATCAGCTCTGGCTCGGGGAGTTACAGCTACGAGCTTACCTGTCGCATGACGTTCAGATCAAGTCACTACTGGATCGCCAAGACCGGCAAATGCAAGTCACTGCACCTAGTGCTCACCCCTTGTCAGACAACTACCTCCAAACAGGCATGTCATAGCGGGCGGCCCAAGTACCAAGAGGGGCTTTGAGCTGGCATTTCCGGAAGCTTCGCGGGGTCCTTTACGACCTGACCAGGGCAGCTTTACAAGTCCCATCTTATCTCTGAGATCAACGAATCCTGTCTATTATATTTGGACAACAGACAAATCGATGACCCGTACAAACCAGTTTCCCGAGACACGGCTTGCACTTGCGCTGTTTACGGTTTGAAGCACTCCCGAGGTCTCTGCAGGGACTTGATGTCGCCAGGAAACGGTTGACTTAGAAGATGCTCTAATGTACTGATCTCCACGGCTTCAAGGATCTGGGGTAAGCTTCATGATCACGCAAGATGAGGCTGAAGTTTCGAAGTAATATGCATCGACGAGCTCTATGGATCGATATATAAGACTACCAAAGCTCCTCCACGCACAATCGAGCTTCACTCTACCAAAGCTCGAAGCTCTAACATAACCTTGTGAGCTCTCCCACGCGCGTGGGGCGTGGGGCGGTGGCTTCTTGGGATTGATTTGCCAGTTATCAACCTCTCCCACTTTCGCTCCACAAGTGCTGATGCTGCAACTGTGAGAATGCAGACCATGACAAACTTATTTCAGAATCTTTCACATACAGAGAGCATCCGAGCTTGTCGAGAACAATGTATAGTACTTGCTGCAAAGCCAAAGTCTGTCGATTGGAGGGCCATTTACTTCCGTTGAGGCACGTCCGGTTTCCTCTTTGCGACGTCCAAGTGGATCGCCTAGGCCGCCCTGGCTGTGTTCCTGGCGCAAAGTATCATTGCCAGACTATCCGGCATGATGACGATTCTCCTTACTAAGAATAGCGTACCATCCCCCGCGTTGTTTGGCCGTGATACCTGCCCAGCTCGATCAAGATGTGAGGAGTCGTCTGAGCTATTCTCCACTGAGGAGGTAAACATGTCCAGGTACTTCGGACCTATGGGTATGGGTGGGAGGATCAGTAATGAGTGGCACGCCCTTCAAGACGATTTCTGTTATAAGCTATAAATCACAGTTGTCCCCATCTGCCTACCTCTATCAAGCATCAAATTTCGAGTTGAAGTTTTACAGTACTCTGTTTAGTTCAGTTTTGTTTTATAATGCCTTCTCTTACGGCGTCTTCAGCTGCCGCCGCCGCTCCTCCGAGCGTAAAGCAGAATGGTAGCATTCCAACGCCCTCTCCACCTAGTATTATCGATATTCGTGGTGAATATGTTGAGATGAATTTGAAGGATGAGATTGCCACTTCCTTTAATCCTGAAAATGGCCCAAGGAAGCTCCCCACACTTCTTCTGTACAACGAGAAAGGGCTACAGTTATTCGAGGACGTATGTTGATTCTGCCGAGACCCCTCTTACAATTACTCATAGAAGTCCAGATCACATATCTGGATGAGTATTACTTGACAAACTATGAAATTGAGATATTGAAAAAGAACTCGGCGGCAATTGCCAGCCAGATTCCTGAGGGATCTATGGTGATCGAGTTGGGAAGCGGGTTAGTCAATTCTCCCATATTATGATTCCTCGTCACTAACATCACGAAGAAACCTCCGCAAGATCTGCTTGCTTCTGCAGGCCTTTGAAGAGGCCAAAAAGCCTATCCAATACTTTGCTCTGGATCTGTCTCTCAAAGAACTTGAGCGTACTCTGGCTCAGGTACCCGACTTCAATTATGTCTCGTGCCATGGCCTTCTAGGGACATATGACGATGGAAGGGAATGGCTCAAGCATCCTTCTCTTACGAGCCGTTCAAAGTGTATCATTCACCTCGGTTCTAGTATCGGTATGTCCCTCCCGGAGGCACAGGTCTCACGATACTGATAAGAAATTACAGGAAACTTCACGCGAGATGAGGCAGCTGATTTCTTGGGAGGGTTCGCAGAGGTCCTCACGCCATCCGATTCCATGATCGTCGCGGTTGACTCTTGCAGTAACCCGGCCAGGGTTTAGTAAGTCACATACGCCACTTACATGTCAGCAGTACTAATGATTCCATAGCCATGCATACAACGGTACGTAGTTTCGAATCTGGATGGATCTGTCGATGTTAATGCCGCAGTTCTTGAATACAGACTCCAAGGGGGTAACCCATCAGTAAGCCAACCAGAACATTGGGGAAAACCTGTATACTGACATCATACAGATTCATCCTGAATGGTCTTGAAAACGCCAATGAGATCCTTGGTGAAGAGGTCTTTAACCCGAGCGAATGGAAGGTCATTGGTGAGTACGTCTATGATATTGAAGGCGGGCGGCATCAGGCATTTCTTGCTCCCACCCGGCCGACGGATGTTCTCGGATCGAGAATTATGCCTCATGAACGAGTATGGATCGAACAAAGTCTCAAGTATTCCGAAAAGGAAAAGACAAAGCTTTGGAAGTTGGCAGGCCTGACCGAGACTGGCTATTGGAGTCGGGGAGATGAATATGGTAGGTCACATTCCCCCATGATGCACATCCCACCCCAAAAACATGCGATTCGATATCTTGAAATCATGCACTACCAAACTACCCCGCGAATCGAGAAAAAGGGCTGTTTCCTTTTTCAGCTCTGCTAGAAGCACGAGTCCAAAACGGGGCAGTATTCGAGGTGACGTGGGGGCACATGTGTGAAGCTGGAGACATATGAAGAGCGTGCATAAGAGCTAGCCAAGAGAAGACTAACACTTGAGCAGGCCTTCACCTTCTAAAGAAATCGAGTATGCCGTTCAGTCTAATCCCGTCTCTCTACGCCGCAAAGCCCCTACCGACAGTCCAAGACTGGGAGGCGCTTTGGAAGGCATGGGATATTGTGACAAAGGACATGATTGCCGATGAAGAGCTTCAAGAGAAACCCATCAAGTTACGCAATGCATGCATCTTTTATCTCGGCCATATCCCGACCTTTCTTGACATTCAGTTGACCAAGACTACGGGCCAACCTCCGACCGATCCCACGTCCTACTATTCCATCTTTGAGAGAGGAATAGATCCTGATGTGGACAACCCAGAGCATTGCCATTCTCATTCAGAAATCCCTGCTGAATGGCCTCCTGTTCAAGAGATTACTCTATACCAAGACAGGGTCAGATCTCGTCTGCAAAAGCTGTATGAGAATGGCCAAGACAAGATCCCTCGAGAGATTGGCCGGGCCATCTGGGTTGGCTTTGAACACGAGTTGATGCATATTGAGACCTTGCTTTACATGATGCTACAAAGCAGCAAGACACTTCCTCCGCCGCATACAGTTCAACCCGACTTTGCGAAGATGGCTCAGCAAGCGTATAAGGCTAGAGTCCCGAACCAGTGGTTTGATGTTCCCGAGCAAACAATCATGTTGGGCATGGATGACCCTGAGGATGGTACCGACCCTTCGCGCCACTTTGGCTGGTACGGCCACGTCTATTTAACATAATGTGAGGAATATCGACTGACATACCTTCATAGGGATAATGAGAAACCAGCACGTCAAGCGAACGTCCATGCCTTCCAAGCTCAAGGTCGACCTATTACTAATGAAGAGGTATGCAACATTGATCACTGAGGATTCTGTCAAGTTCTGACCAAAGCCGTAGTATGCCCAGTACCTGTACAACTCCAAGATTGATCGGGTTCCCGTCTCATGGTCCTCGGTCCCTTCTAACAAGCAAGATGGAGCTACCAACGGTCACCACACCAATGGCCATTCAAATGGCTACACTAATGGAAATGGAAATGGCCATCACGCAAACTCAGTTCCCGACTCGTTCATCGAGGGCAAGTTTGTCAGAACCATGTATGGCTTAGTTCCTCTCAAGTACGCCCTTGACTGGCCTGTATTTGCTTCATACGACGAGCTTGTCGGCTGCGCTGCGTGGATGGGTGGTCGAATTCCTACCTTTGAAGAGGCTAAAAGCATTTATGCACATGTCGATAAGCAGAAGAAGGCTGAAGCTGAACGTATCCTGTCCAAGACGGTTCCTGCAGTTAATGGGTAAGTCTAATCCCCAGTGATCCAACACCCCTCATTAACATATGGCAGACACCTTGTCAACGATGGCGTAGAGGAAACCCCGCCATCCAACTCTTCAGCTTTGGTCAAGGATAGCTCTTCTGAGCTATTCTTTGACCTGACCGACGCCAATGTCGGTTTCCGTCACTGGCATCCTATGCCAGTTACCTCTCGGGGCAACAAACTTGCTGGCCAAGCTGAGATGGGCGGTGTCTGGGAATGGACGAGCTCAATTCTCGAACGGCACGAAGGCTTTGAGCCCATGTCTCTGTATCCTTTGTATACAACAGACTTTTTCGATGGCAAGCACAACATTGTCTTGGGTGGTTCGTGGGCAACTCATCCACGCATCGCAGGACGGGCGAGTTTCGTGAACTGGTACCAGAGGAACTACCCTTACGCATGGGTCGGAGCCAGACTGGTACGGGATATTTAACGATGATCATGATTCTTGTATACGAATGGTTTCTTACTGTAAACGAATTGTTGGGATGATTTTGTTCTGTATTGTTGGAGTTTTGACATTCATATGGGCCCCAAATTGCCATAGGCGGGATGAGAAGGAGGATAGTCACTCCCTGAGAAAGCAAATGTGTCGTTCATATCCGTTTCTACGTACCCTTGTATTTTGAACTCCTTACCAAATCAAAGATTGCTGCAGTGATAACAAATGCCCTTCCAACATCGTGGCCTCTTAGACATCAACCATTATGCCATATGCATCCCAAGTTTGTGGACAATACTCATAATGTCGGTCTAATCAGGCTTTCAACAAGCCCCAAACGCCGAAAGATAATATTTCCCCGGGCCTCTTCATAATCGACAGAGCTGATGTGGTGAAAGGAGCCTCAACGAGCCAGTCACACTATGCTCAGTGACTGAGAGTGGGCGTGATTTTGTCTGAACATGTGGAATGACTTCTCAACCGTTAAGACTGCCGTAGATATCGAGCAGTTGCTCAAAAACATAGCCGGGAAGCTTAATCCCATTCTCTGTGATGAGTTTGGAGATGAAATCCGGTGGCTTTTTTGAAGCGTCAGTAAATTTGTCATTCAAGAACTCGAGGGAAACTTACAGTAAAGTCGACAGCGTCAACAGTATCCTTACTCTTGGTGTCGACACTGAAGTCGAGAATGTCCTGCTTGAAGCCAATATCCCGTTGGTCCATCACAAACTTGCGCGCAAACTTGTGTGTCTCGCAAGCAACGTAGAAGGGAAGGTTGGCCTCAGCCGCCAACTTAGAGAGCTGCAGAGTGCCCATACGAGAGATGATACCGCCGTTGGATGTGACTGCCTCAGCACCCACAAGCACCATATTGACCTGGCGCAGTAGACCCATTACATACGCCACTGAAGCTTCTGCGATCTCTGCGACGGGAATTCCCTTTGAGCGAAGCTCACGGACTACGCGATCGCTCTCCTCGACACGGGTCTCCTCGCGCACGTAGATAACCTTGAACTTGCCAGCACCAAGGTTCTGAGCAGCGCGATCCAGGATACCAACAACGGACCGCGAAGCACCGTGTGTAAGAATGCACTGGCCCTCGAGAATCAGCCTCCATCCTGCATCCGCGATACCCTCTCGCGCGGCATTAGCACGCTGGGCAAAAAGGCGTCCGTTGCGGAGGAGATGCTGCCTCACGGCGTCGAAGCTACCATCTTGTTGTCGGAGAGAAGAAACGAGGTACTGGAGGAAGAGATCTGTTCCGGCGGATAGAGGCACGGGGTTCGAGACGGAGGCCTTGAGGCGATCGGAGTGGACTTTGACTGTGTCGAGGATCTCGAAGACGGTGGTTGAAGGTTGGGCGTTTAGGAGGGCGATGAGGGACTCAATCGCAGCGACGGGTTTCGTGAGATCGGGGTCTGAGACAAGAAGTCCGCGGTATGTCTCTACGATACTGAGAGGGTGTTAGAAAAGTATCAAATAGTGGATTCTGGTGACGGACTCGAAATCGGCGCTTTTGGAGATTTGAGGTTGTTCAACCTCGGTGGAAGGAGCGACTTTGCAAGGTTAGTATAGGACGGCAAATGTGATTATGGAACATTTACCTGATGTATCGATAGTTGCCATTATGGAGAGTGTATGAGAGGTTACGAGGGAAGTAGTTGGGAGGTTGAGGTGATACTATTCCCCAAGTCTAGAATCTGACGGAGGGGAATTTTTGATCCGATGCTGGTGAGTCAGGCCTCTTGGAGATGATTTGGCGGGGTGAATGCATGTCCGGTGGGGAGCGGGGCCGAAATGACGGCACTTGCTTCAGGGCATCTTCAGTGGAAGGTTTCAGTGATTGATTGTTATGGGTTTATGATCTGATGTAGAGCATCATAGTCGGAAAAGTGTATATGTACATGTTTTTTTTTTACCCAAGTTATTTAATGTTACCTAAATCCTAGTCCTGGTAGTAATTTGACTAGTCGTGTTTCTTTATTCCATAGCGTGTCTTGACTTGATGATTTGATGAGTTCACCTCATAATAAAGTCGGCTACCCTGCGCCTGAATGCAATCAAACTTGCCCCGCGCCTGCCCCTCTACCCCTTCCCGAACTCTAAGTCACGGCTCTCCACCTTCATCTTACCTACATTATACTTGAGAGTAGCTCTCATCTCTAAAGCTATAGCTATTTCATACAGCTTAATCCCCATCTTGGAATCACCAACGAGCCTCACAAGCTTCAATCCCTTGACATCATTCACCAATGGAGCTTCTCGATCCCGCAACGGGCACCGCCCTTCCAAACGACGCCATTCAGCGCATCCTCTTCGTCGCTAATGCCGTTCACGTCTACAACATTCCTCCCCTGACCTCGACAAAGGGATACTCTGCCAGTACATGGACTGCCGAGCCCCAGCGCCATATCTTCACTGCCCGTCTACGCGTTGTCGAGACCGCCTACGAATCTGCCTCGTCTGAAAACCAGCTCAAAGTCGATGCCGTGCTAGAGGACGCATCAACAGGACAGCTTTTTGCTGCGGCGCCATACACCGCTCCCGGAGTCGTAGAGCCAGTTCTTGATAGCAGTCGCTTCTTCGCTCTGACGGTGCGCGATCCTCAGGGACGAAAGGCCATTCTAGGTATTGGGTTTGAAGAGAGGAGCGAGGCTTTTGACCTAAGCATTGCGCTACAGGAGGCGAGAAAGGCATTGGGCTGGGAAGGCGAACAGAGCAAGCCGTCTGAGACGAAAGAGAAAGAGGAACACAAAGACTACAGTCTCAAAGAGGGCGAAACTATTACAGTGAGCTTTGGTGGGTCAAAGTTTGGAAGGAGGAAACAGCGGGATAGTTCGAACTCAGGAGCAGGAGGCGATCTCCAGTCATTTGCTCTTCCACCACCACCTGCTGGACCAAGCTCTTCTGGCGGATTCTCATTACCACCTCCACCAAGTGCCAACGACGTAAAGCAGCAGAAGCAGTCAGCTAAGGATCTTGGATTCGACGATGGTCAGTTTGGAGAGTTTGCTTAAAGAGGCAACATACACAAGGGTGCATTAGCGATGTGATTTTGAAACATACAGTATATATACCAAACTAAAGACTTGCTAAAAATACAAACGCCAAACTGATATGCTAGTAATGATAGATAATATGATGCCCTACGAAACAGTTCTTTTGCCTGGTGTCATTAGGTAACTCCCAAAGTCAACTGTACAGCAATAGATTCACATCATGGTCATCAGCTTAGGCTTCCGGCCAAGCATGACGTAGATAGGGGAGACTCATTCGTCTCTCCCTTACCACCACAAAGCGGGAATCATCCAACTTGTCTCCGATCTCTGTACTACATTCGTCCTTCTCTTCAGCGAAGGGAAGCTCTGCGGTAATGGGCGTCGCTGGGGTAGTCTCTGACTCGATGCTCGCAGAAGATGAATCAGGACCGTACAAAAGATCCTCAGCGGCTTCATCAACAGTTTCCAACCCCCACACTGCCGGCTCTGAGGGAGCAAAGAATGGCTCAGCAGAGTGATGGAAATCGTTGAAGTAGCCCATTGGGACAAAGTCCGCTGACGAGCCTACCAAAGGGGTAGTAGGAGCAGAAAAGCTGTAGGAAGCTGGACCAAGGCAATAAGGTGACCCAACACTCGGGCTGGTGGCAGTCCATGCTTGAGCCCACGTCTCGCGACTCTGCATCTCGACATACAGATCAAAGAGACGGGAGGAAACGATCTTTTCCTGTTCGACAGCCTGGTTCATCTGAGATTTGAGAAAACTCAGCTGCTTTCGCAGCTTGCGTCGTCCTTGGTCACCATCGAGGTTTCGAAGTTGCTGCTCAACTGCGCAATATCTTCTCATGAGCTCTGAAGCTCGGGAAGCCTGTTGCTGGAAGACACCGGTAAGGTAAGCCTGATCCGTGAAAAGGGTCTCAAAGGGGCGAGGTTTGAGGAGGAGGCGCGAGTTGGCTTGGGGTTGTTGCTTGGCATCTGACCTTGAGGGACGAGACCGAGAGCTCGAAGAGCGTCGGCGCTGTCTCTTTCGTGGTGATGGGTTTGGAGTGGAGGGTGTTTCTGGGTATGGTGTACCCGGAAGGGATCGAGGTGAGGGTGGGAGGATATGGCATGTTTGCAGCTTGGGGATGACAACGTTTAATTCCTCCGGAGGGGGAGTGATCCTTGCATCCATGGGAGGTAGCTGAATCATACCGTGAACTTGGGTAAAAGTAGTATTCATTTTGAAGAATTTGTGCTTGTTGGTTTTGATAGCAAAGAAGCAAGGCACAGAGAAACAGCACGATTCTCTGCTAGATATCAGTTCTTCCCATCGTTCCTGCCATCCCCCTGCGAACAAAGTGACTGAGAGGACGGCTATATTAAGAACGAGGAGTTTGGACGCTTTGTTGCCATGTTCGCTCTCCAACAAAGCGAAACAGCGAGTTCCGGAACTTGGCTTAGTGTTCCTTTGGAAGTCAATTTTCTAGTGCAGGACCAGTTGGTTGTTCTGATGAGATCCGTGCCTGGTTGCCACACTCGGCCCACCAAGCTGTCAATAACACTGGTCAGGCTTGGCTTTGAAGGGCTATTCAGGTTTAGTTGGGCCGCCAGAAACCTGAAAGAGATATCGCAGGTCTAGAACAGCTGACAGGCCCTGATGTGGTTGACTCCGCAATTGAATGAAACTGACCACGCCAAATGGCTTGTCCTGGCCAGGTGGTGGCGTTGTTAGTACCCGCTGTTGGCTTGGAATGGCATCCTCATGGCATGGCTCAATAGTAATGCAAGCCAACGGCTGAATGATAGCCAACTTGGAACATCAGATAGCAAAGCCATCATGCCCAGGTGGGTCGTTGAACCGCCAGAGTCCAGCGTCCTCTGCGGCTTGTCGGATGAAAGATATCTCTCGACTGCTGACGGCTCGATTGATCTCCGCATATCGTGCTTGCTGATTTTGTTCTTGGGCGTCGGTCTTTGCTCTCTTTGGCTTTCCAACATGTGCATCTGGATGGTACTGCTCCATGATGTTGACGAAGCAATCCGTGGAAACTTCATTCGCCAGGAACTTCATAATCTCAGCTCCTTCGTCCTCCTTGCCTGGCATAACAAGATGGCGGATCAAGAGACCTTTCTTAGCAATGCCATCTCCTGTAAAGCACAGGTCACCGACTTGATCGTGCATGGCCTTGATGCTCTCTTTCGCTGTGGCGGCATAATCGTCCGCCTTCAGTAGCCTTCTAGAGGTGCTTGGTTTCCACACCTTAAAGTCAGCCAGGTAGATATCAACCAATCCATCCATCAACTGGAGGGATGCGAGAGAGTCAAAGCTCGAGGTGTTGTAAACGACGGGCACGGTTAGGCCATGATCCTTGGCATGGAGGATACTCAACGCCACCTGTGGCACAACGTGCTCTGGTGTAACAATGTTGATATTGTGAACGTTACCAACCTCCTGCAACTTGATGTACCAGTCACCAAGTTCCTCAGGTGATAGGTCCATACCGTTGCGTTGATGGGATATGCCGTAGTTCTGGCAAAAGATGCATCTCATGTTGCACCCACTCATAAACACGGAGCCACTACCATTGTGCCCCTGGATGCAAGGTTCTAGTCATCAAGTCAGAAGATGAATAGAACAATACGAAGCCCAAGCTAAGAAGCTGATGATGCAAGGGATAATGCCATGCATGAAGCTTGGGACAGAAATGTCACTGACCTTCCCCAAAGTGGGGAGCAATTGTATTGACCTTTGCCTTATCTCCGATGAGGCACATCCCAGTCTTTTCAAACCGGTTTACGCCACATTCTCTGGGGCATAAGTTACAGTTTCGGAGGTGAGCGTATGCCAACGATCGCTTCTTGGCGGCATCGCGAGAGCTGAGGGTCATGTAACGGGGAACATAGTCGTCAAGGAGGAACGGGGGAGCGAGATGAAGAGAACGAGTGAATGTTTTGGAAGCTATGGGTAGAGGCTTATGTATGGCTGAAGTATATCGTCTAAGTGGTAGCATCGTGGCTGCTATTGAGTAGTCATGATGGATGGTGACAATTGCCTTTTGTTGATTGGTGTTGAGGGGGTTCTTTCACAGGTGGCTTAGTCATGCGTTGATGCAACTGTTGCAATTAGGACTCACTGATGGGGATTACTCGCTTCAAACAATTGTCAAATCGAAAACACATTGCTTAATGATTTTGGCCACTTCAATGGTTTGACTGACAATAGAGGCGAGTGTCTCTATGGCTGATGTACATTGGGTAATCTAAAAGGGGCATCATGGAAGCGTGTCACTGTTGACCAGCAAGCCAATGTATTTCTGTTAAAAGGACGATTTGGTAACAAAGTATACAGAAAAGGTTCTTCGACAGGCCCTCAATAGACTTGTTCACCTTTGAACCTGGGTAGGTTGCTAGTAATGGAATCAACCGACAGTGGCAACAGATTAAGCACTGTTTATACTAAGGAATAAATACAAATATTTCCCAGCTTCAACTATTCCTAGCCATCAATCCATCACACAAACATTCCTTCAGCCATCACTCTGATGTTGGAAACAGGAGAGCATCGTCTTCTCACTCTTTTCGAACTCCAGCATTCTTTTCATACCATTCCAACTGATCATTCATACTTCTCATCTCGGCAGACTTGACAGCAATCATATCCTGCATCTCAACCCTTTCACGAAGTAGAGCTCGGTTCTCCTTCTCTAGTTGCGCCGCCCGATCCAGGCGCTCCTTGTTTTTGGCCTCTATATCAGACACACGCTCTGGCCAAGTAGGCGTCACGACAGAGACGACGGTAGGCTTGCTCTCGATGATTCGTGTCTGTGCGGTGCCTGGATGTTGATCGGTTGCGGGGATAATGAATAGAGGAGACTGCGATCCTTTGCCCTTGATGCGATAGAATCGAGATGGAATGTCGACGGGAACGATGCCCCTGGCGTAGATTTTCCCGCCTCGTTCTTCACGCCAAATACGCTCGCCGACTGCGCCGCTTGCTTTCCAGATCTTCTCCTTTTGTTCAATCTGAGCTTCAGCAGCATCGAGAAGTCTGTGGATGTAGCCCGTAACATCTGGACCCGAGTTGACAAGAACGAACTTGTCCTGCGGATACACAATCGCTCGGCCCCCCGAAACTCCATCGGGACCGGCACGACCCAACGTTTGCTTTGGGACGAGAGCTTCGCCTGCCATGACATCGAGTGCGTTTGCATAACTGATCTCGAGCTCGTGCATTCGGCCCATGAGATGTTGATGGTTCAGAAGCCATTGGCCAAGGAGACAATTCCGTGCGCCTTCCAGCTGCCTTTCGGACATGCGCTGTGCCGCCTTCAGATCTTTGGGGGCTTCGAAGTTAGTTGGGAGAATAGACATGAGACCACCAGTAGCACCGTATTCGTGATCGAGAATTTCAAGACATTCATTGGCGTGCATGACAAGATCATGATGTGTCATAAATGGACGACGCTGATCTCCCCCTTTAGAAGAAGGACCGCTATCCTCGAACAGCGTCAAAGGACAATGATGCTCAATACCAAACGTCTCCGATTCTGATTTGACAGTGTTATGCAACGCCCAAAGAGGATCATGATGGGACGGATCGTCGTTCTCGTATGGTTCATCAAGGTTGTTCAACCAGTCAAACGCCTCATGCTCCTCAAAATTCAAGTCTGTCTCTGGGTACTCGGTCTGTCCCACATGGCAAGTGTTGGTTGTCAAGGCGAGCTTGCGGATGATGTTGACAAGAGAGTGAGCGTGTTGCTTGAGGGCGAGAAGAGTGGGAGGACGGCCGGAGGAGAAGTATGAGCAGTTGAGATGCTGCAGAAGGACGAGGTCTTGAGCGTCCAGAATTCCATTATCCGGTATGGTGTAATTTGACTTGTACGAGGTTGCGTAGGGGTTGGAGGGGATGTGAAGGGGCTGGGTGCCCTCCATTTCCTCGTCGTTTGACGTGGAAGATGCCATTGCAATTCTCGATACAATTTACAGGAAGTTGTTAAGTTTAGAGAACAGAAGTCTGAATAAGAAATGATTCCTTGGTATGGATGGCTATCTATCTTTAATGGTCAAGAGGCCACTGATTCTTCCACTGTTCTTACAAATGCTGCCTGCCCATTGATGTGATGCTAAGGAACAAAGAAGATAGTTCTTTGTTTAACAGACCTGGCACTAATCATGGTGGGAGCATAGACGATCTTCACTATAGTCGATTCGTATTTTCTTTGTTTGACATGCCAAAAGGGTCGCGAATCCCGATAACTGGACATAGCTTAACTTTTGACAATGGGCGAGTCCCTTCAAGGATGTTTTCTCTTGTAAGGTTGTAACTTTTGGCGAGAAGTGATGCATCTTGGTGATGCCTCTGGGTATTTTCAACATGCAAAGTGAATGACCGTATTACCGTTGGAATGAATGACTTATGTTGAAATCGACTTGATGTGGCCTTACAGTGACAAGGTTTCGAAACGATCAAAACGCTGTAGCATGGAGTCACTAGCTTTGCATTTCACAACGACGCAAACAACTCGTACGCGCAAGGCGTCACAAACCTGCGTACACCAGGAACTCGCCTCTCGTTCCATCGATGATCTGCTCAGGTCCCTTGCTTAAAATCGCCAAGAGAATGCAGCTTATAAGATGGAAGATATTTATGACATTGGAACAAGTTCCAAGTCGAATATAGACATACTTACGTCAAGTATAACTGTCCATTACTCGTCGGCTTGCTCTCCTGACCTCGAACACAGGGACAAAGGGAGACAACAATGCCATGGGAGTCTGGAATGTTTGACCAGACCACAGAGTGAAACATTTCGAGTCGATACTGTAGCACACACGTGATTTTTTGTGTTGGACTTGAGAGAGATATTGTCTTGGTGCCACAGAAATTGTTTGCAGTAAACAATGGGTTAATGGTAGCAGTTATCTGAAGAACTGTTGTCGCTGTAATTGTGACGCAGCGTTACCTATGGCATTCTGTTAGGCGACGTTTGCGGTAACGGCGTCACCTGAGACTCTCACTGAGAGACTGGGTTGAGAACAAAGAGAGGGGAGAGAGACAGTGGGAATTTAATCAATTCATCACTAGCAACATGAATTATCATTGGTTCAGTTACTTGACATGATGGAACAAGATTAAATTACCCGTACCTCGGTCTAAGAAGGGCAGCCAGTTAAAGATGGATGGACATCTCAGCTGAACCAGCATCATTTCTAGGGCGCTAATACCGAGGAGAGACTGGCGCGTGCATACTGGGGAAGATTTAGAGGGTCTAGCCTTTGGAATAAACTCGCAGCACCGCAGCAAGAGCACCGTCCTCAGGCAGAGAGGCAAGCAGGTGGGTTGTCATGGATTCAATGATTTAATTAGGCCTCAACTCAGAGAGCACCCAAATCGGCAAAAAAAAAAAAAGTCATGATGTCGGTCAAGACACTAATAGCGACAAGGATCAAAGGGCGATCGATGCTCGGATCTTTTTTATCATCTTAAAAAAAAACAGCACATGATGAATACGATTATCAAGCGATAATTATGACTGTCAATCTGTCACAATCAACTAATCTAGTCCAAGACCAGATCGACATGATTACCTGGGGAGCAGTCTGGTTGATGTCATTGGCGTCAAAAAGCGCCATCATTGACAGGATTGATCCGAAAAAACAAGGGGAGATTGAGTAGTAAAGAGGTAGCGCCACGGAATGAGTTTAGATGGTTTCAAAAAGATGTGCGCTTGGCAGGCCTCCTAAAAGGGGAGACGATTAACATTCCCATCATGATCTCCGGCTAGGTTGTGAGGGTTGATTCATCGATCATGTTTGTGCGTGCTTGCGCTCGTGCTCGTGCTAATAATTCAGACAGTAGTGAAGACTGCATTGCATCTCTGACATCACACACCTAACTAAACATGAAGCCATCAGCATCAAACATCCCTGTCAAGCTGTCGTTCGACGGGAGAGCATCCGTTGCTGGTGCTGCGCCTCTGTTTCGTTCGACGACACAAGCTGAGAAAAAGGTCTCGACTTGGGTTGAGGGCGCGATACTTGTGGTGAAGCCAGGTCTAGACTCTAGAGTTTAGACATCGAGTAGAGCAAAGCACGGATAGGGCATCACAAGAGATGTCTCTGCCCCTGTCTCATCGGTCTGACCGTCTATCAACTGTAACATAGTACTGTACTGAAGCATGCGCGTACAGCATTTAGCGAGTGACACTATTTACAGTAGCGTAGCGCATTTCAATTGTCCACGTCGACGATGCTGGGTCAGTTTGGACCACCCTCCCGTTCCCGTCGCCAAGCTTCAAAAGCCGAAATGGGCAAGGGATTTGTAGACCCTCACCTTTTAATGTCATGATTTTTATAGTGTTACTTTGGAGAAAAGCAGGGTCCCGTTTTAGAGTATCATTCAGTCGCTTGGCGGTTCATGATAGAAATGCATACCGACCTATTTTTACTGGTTTTCTGGTATCATTTCCAATTATCGTTGCCGTGTTATCGTCTGGGATCACTACAAAAGAATAGCAATGATTTGCAATGTTAACCATGCTTGAGTGGTTCCATTTCAAATAGACTTAGGTTACCGGGGGTAGGGCGCGATTATCCACAATTGATTGGTCCAAATCGATCTAGGCTCAAACCAGGATTTTCATGGTGGATGTTTTTCCGACTGAGAGACAAAAGCTCTAGGGACTTGGCGATCCAATGCTGCACAAGTCTGGGCGCTATCTTGTGACGTCGCCATCAGCACCTTGTCTTGATTGACTGACGTTGATGGCATCACCACCACAGTTAATATGCTTAACAGCAATAATGAGTCAATTCAGGGGATTGGAAGAAATAGAAAATACATTACTGATTAATTGGGCTTTGTCTCTCTTTTTGCTTTTGCTATTAACACAATAAAATCACAGGAACTCATCTGGGGCTGAGACATGACTTCACCTTGATTAAGGGGGTCCATTTTAGAGCTAAGCTTTTGTCTTTTTGTCCCACGCCCCTGACGACCGCCCGACCACCTTCACCTGCAAATACCCACCCACCCATCCACTTCAAGCTGAATGCCGTACCAAGGCCTGGCTGGGTTACCTCTAACCGTTCATCTGTATCTAAAACCAGCTTTTTTGAATTACTACGACACACTCTAATCACATAAAGCCAGGTTTCCCCTTCCACAATTTGTTTTACTCTCCTTTTTCGCAAGCTTTTTCGTTCCCAGACTGCCTTGTTCTGGTTAGCATCACAGTGAGTGGGCTGTTGCACTAATCGCAACTTTGGAACGCGACTACCTCTTGTCCGTCCCGTCTCATCTTAATCTACCTGCCACTCGCCCCGCCAGCGGTAGGAATACTAACAAGTCCAAACCTAATTTAATTCTCAATTTCTTCTTAATTGTTTCCTTTTCCACATTCGACTACGACGGCCCTCTCCCATAATCGTTTCCATCCAAGAGTCGTCAAATCAATCCTCAATCGCCCATACCAGGGCTCGATCTCGACCTAATTCAACAAATACGGCAGGGTCGTCATCATGGGAAATTTCATCAGTTGGTTGGAGGACAACCTCCCCGACCCCAAAACTGAAAAGGGCAATGCTGGCGAGGCCAGAGGACCACAGCCCAAGTCTGTGTCGAGTACGTTGACTTGGATATCTTCATTGGTAAATGCGACACGCAAACTGACATACATCTCCCAGGCATGGTCTCGACTCTTGTCCCCGTCCTCGTTGCGTCGGGTGTCTATATCCTCATCTTCCTCATATTGCGTAAATCCAATAGGCGTTTCTATGCGCCCAGAACCTATCTAGGCTCGCTGCGAGAACAGTAAGTTTCAAGCGCCACATAAACCTACAATAACGATTCTAACGGTCTTGCAGTGAACGAAGTCCTGCGTTGCCAGGCGGTTGGTTTGGTTGGATGGGTACCTTTTGGAAGATTCCTGATGCCTACGCCCTTCAGCATCAGAGTCTCGACGCCTACTTGTTCATCCGATTCCTTCGCATCTGCTGCACCATCTGCTTCGTGAGTCTTTGCATCACATGGCCCGTCCTCTTTCCTGTCAATGCCACTGGCGGCAACGGAAAGACCGAGCTGGAGCTTCTCTCCTACAGCAACATCAACATTCAGAGCTCAAAGGAGAGGAACAGGCTGTACGCCCACTGCTTCATCGCCTGGATCGTTTATGGTTTCGTCATGTACACCATCATGCGCGAGTGTCTCTTCTACGTCAGCGTGCGACAAGCATTCCTCCTCACTCCTCAGTACGCCAAGCGCATCTCGTCTCGCACCGTTCTCTTCACTTCAGTGCCCAAGGACTATCTCGACGAGGCTCGCATCCGTACTCTCTTCAACGATTCTGTCAAGAACGTTTGGATCCCTGGTGAGACCAAGGAGGTGGACGAGATTGTCGAAGAACGCGACGAGGTTGCCATGAAACTCGAAAAGGGAGAGGTAAAGCTGCTCAAGCTGTGCAACAAGGAACGCATCAAGTCTATGAAGAAGTCTGGCCCTGAGGCTGAGAAGCAAAACTCTGGCCCAACTGACCCCGAGACTGGTGACCTCGCTGCTCGCTGGATTCCCCAGAAGAAGCGACCTTCTCACCGCACTGGCCCCCTTGGACTTATTGGCAGGAAGGTTGATACTATTGAATGGGGTCGTGAGGAGCTGAAGACTCTCATCCCCAAGGCTGACGAGGCCCAGGCCAACTGGCTCGCTGGCAACTACGAGAAGCACTCTGCTGTCTTTGTCGAATTCTACACCCAATCTGATGCTCAGGCTGCTTTCCAAACCACCACTCACCACCATGCCCTCCACATGGCACCTCGACACATTGGCGTCAAGCCTGACGAAGTTGTCTGGAAGAGTCTGAAGTACCCTTGGTGGCAGGTCGTTATCCGCCGATACGCCATCTCCGCTCTTATTGCTATCCTCATTATCTTCTGGGCCATTCCTGTTGCTATTGTCGGTGTTATCGCCCAAGTCAACACCATCAAGACTCTTCCCGGTCTTACTTGGATCGAGAGTATTCCTAGCGTAAGTCTGGCAGTTACCTCACTTTGTAACATCACATTAACTTATATAGGTCATCCTTGGTGTCATCTCTGGTCTTCTGCCTTCTGTTGCTCTCTCCATCCTCATGGCCATGGTTCCTATTTTCATGCGCGTTTGCGCCAAGCAGGCCGGCTGTGTCTCCATCTCACAAGCTGAGCTCTACACACAAAACGCCTACTTCGTCTTCCTGGTTCTCCAGGTCTTTCTCGTCCAGACACTTGCCAACAGTTTTGTTTCGTCAATTGTCACAATCGTTCAGGATCCTAGCCAGGTCTTCACCATGCTCTCATCGTCCATTCCTACTGCGTCCAACTTTTACATTTCCTACTTCATCGTTCAAGGCTTGGGTATTGCTACAAGCGTGCTGACCCAAGTCATCGGCTGCGTCATCTTCAACATTTTGTACAAGTTCCTTGCCAGCACTCCCCGAGCCATGTACAACAAGTGGACCACTCTCAGCGCTCTTACCTGGGGAAGTCTCATGCCTGTTTACACCAACATTGCTGTCATTAGTGAGTTACCACTTGGGTCCTGTGTCTCCTCTCTTGCTAATCTTTTTAGGCATTGTCTACGCTGTCATCGCCCCTCTCATGCTCTTCTGGTCGACTATCGGCATGGCTCTGTTCTACCTTGCATACCGTTACAACATTCTCTTCGTCACCGAAACCAAGATTGACACTAGGGGCCTTATCTACCCTCGAGCTTTGAAGCAGCTCTTCGTCGGTGTTTACCTCGCCGAGATCTGTCTGATCGGAATGTTTATCGTCTCCAAGGCTGCAGGCCCTGCTGTTCTGATGGTCATCTTCCTTATTTTCTCCATCCTGTTCCATATTACTATGGCCAAGGCTCTCAACCCTCTTCTCTACAACCTACCTCGCTCTCTTGAGGTCGAGGAAGAGCGAATTCAGCAAAGCACCCAAGGTTCCGAGATTGAGGATGGCCAGGTTTTGAGCGGCCACACTGCCACCAACAATACAACCAACACCGATCAGAATGGCGATTCCAAGTCCACTCGCGTCGGCAAGTTCGTACCAGGTGGTGCTGGCGGTGTTCAGAAGAAGGGTAACTTCTTCTCCAAGTGGCTCAAGCCCTGGATCTACGCCGATTACGCCACCATGCGCCAGCTCGTGCCCCATGAGAGCAACATGGGACTCGACTACAGTGAGGAGGTTGAGAGAGACGCTTACTTCCCACCCTCAATCACAAGCGAGACTCCCATCTTGTGGATCCCCGCTGACCCTGCTGGCATCTCCAAGCAGGAGGTGCTCCACACGAGCAAGGTGATCCCCATCTCAGACGAGGGTTGCACACTGAACGACAAGAACAACATCGAGTGGGACACTGAGGGAGCACGACCTCCTATCTGGACCGAGAAGATTTACTACTAAAGGAGATGATTTTTTCTGTGTGATACCCAAACATAAGCCGGCTATCAGGCTGTGTTGTTTTGAGAAGGATGCAAGAGGTGGTTGGGGCTTGAAAACACGAAGTGGTGCAATTGTAGGATGTTTTGTTAGATCGTGACAAGACCCTTGAATGAAACAACATCTTTGAGTCGTCTTGTGCGGTTATTAGATAGTTATATGCCAATGAATCATAATGTAGTATAAAAGATTCCTTGGTGACATTAGTCTTATTACCGTGATGTCGCCCAACATGTGTGAGAAGAGTTCCACATATCAACAGCACTTAGTACAGTGGTTTATTGGCATTTGGAATACAATGTACTACCATGAAGTCGATTAAAGTTTTCTAGTAGTTGATTGGGCGACTGATCGTTTTCGGCAAGATTAGGTACATTAGCACGATCGCCCCAACTTCTTTTCTCTCCACTGTCATCACGCTTGGTCACCTTTTCCTAGTAATCAGCAGTAGGGTTGATGATCGATGGCTGTGTGATGGGAAACAAAGTATTGATGATGACCTGAGACATGGAACAAAGCGTACAGAACAGGGAGAGCTGCCCATAGTATGATGTTGTCATTGACGCCGACACGAGAAAAGGGAAGGGAAAAGAGGCTGTTGTTGTGGTGAATAACAAGGATACACCCCCAACCACTAACACTTACCGGGAAGCGGATAGCGGCAGCCACATTTCAAGCCTCAACCGCTATTGTCGTTGACAGCCTCCATCCATATGCAGATGGTCAGATATTTTGTTTGTGATTGTTGAACGATTGGATCAGATGAGACGAGGGTAAACAACATATTACCTCTTCAGTACAATTCAGCAGTTGGACGTCCATTCTTTAGTTGTGGCGTCTTTCGCATGTGATGGAGATAGCCTTTATCGTTTCTTACCTGCACCCTTGTCCTTGTCCTTGTTCCCGTCAGTGTTAATCAAGGATTCTCCATGGGCTACCCCACCATCAACTTGTGGTGTTTCCGTGCCAACGACGGTAAACAATCGCATCTTCGAGTCTGGTTCAACAGAAAGCGGCAAGTCGTTCTCGCATGCGCGAATAGAATCTTGATATTGGATCAATCTATTGACAGTTTGGGACTAATCGCAAACTTTGCTTCGTGGTGTGATTGTCCCATTCTGGATGGTTAGTGTCCAGGCTCTCCCAGCAAGAAGATTAACTATCCCTGCTCGTACATGCTGCACCTTCTTCTTCATAGCCTCTCGCTTTCTCTGCATGCTTGCGTGGCTCTACTGCTCTCTTTCTAACACTCTGCTTTACTGTTTGTTCTCCCTTAAACATCCAATCTAAACCTGGACACGACCCCATCAGTGGCCTATTCTCGAGGCCCTCTCAATTGTTAGCAGATCTACCAACATCGAAAGCTTTGACATTTGTGTGCAGCACGCATAGAGGCCCGAGACATCGCTTCGAGACCCTTGACTATTACATTCCCCGGGAAAGCGTGCGACGATCAGCAGACCACATACGACATTTGCTAGTGCACGCTCACCTTGCAACATCAACCACATTCAACGCAAAGGAAGTTGGGGGGAAAGTGAGGAAACAGAATCAAGGTCAAATCTCCAAAGCTCTCGAGCTGTATGGCGACGATGATGGTATGAGAGCTCAGTGACTACGTCGGCGACATCTCCACGCTTCGAAGCGGCAGCAACAACCACAGCAGCCTTGAATTAGCGGACCTGCTCAACACATCAAAAATTCATCATGGCTTCAATATTCATACCCAGCAGATCTCGGTCTGCACAACCACAAAGACCCACGATGACTAGCACGACAGCTCTCATCCTCTTTTTCGCAACCATTCCTTTCGTATCTCCCGTTGCTGCGCAATCATTCCCATATGTGCCCACGGAGATTCTCATGCCAGATCCTACCTGCGTCGACGGCAGCGTACCGTGCAGTGCCTCGGATTTAGCATTCATCTTTCGACAAACAGCCTCGGGCAAGGTCGAGTTTAGATCCCTCAACTTTTCCGCGAGCGTGGATGCGGACGAACCCACACTCGGTCGACCAGCGGGTAGCACGACGTTACCTTTTCTCGATGACGAGCCCAAAAGCACTGCGTTTGGCGCTGCAAGAACGGCAAACGGCTCGGTCCTCGTGTACGCAGGCGACTGCAAGACTGGCATCAGTGATGTATGGAGCTTCGACTACGAGGACGGAGGCGACTGGTATCGTCGAGGTCTCAAAAACAGCAACGCCCGTCGTGCGCCTTATTTCCTCGGCGGCACTGTCGCCTTTTCTTCCAGTCTCGCTCCCGAGATGGACCAGCCTACTCTTTATACCTACGGTGGTATGTGCGAAACGCCAAAGTCTGGAGCTACGTCGGATTGGCAGAGCGATGCGAACTATACCAAGACGATGTTGAGGGTCGCGCCGAATGATGGAGATACTTATACTTCATACAAAATGAGCGTGGCATCCAGCGGCGGACCACGAACACCAATTGCTGGCTTTACTCTGACTGGTTTGACGCCTTCGATGACCAATAAGTCTGGCACCGTCACGCAGCAAATGAGTTATGTATTATTGGGAGGACATACTACAACGGCTTTTATCAACATGAGCACAGTCGCCGTATGGAACTTGCCAGCCGAGACATGGAGCTATGTAAACATCCGAGCTCCTAATGGTGATTTCCCAAAGTCAGATCTTGCCATCAAGGATACGAGTGCCCAGTCTAAACAAAAGAGGGCGGCAACTACTGCGGATAATGTCTACAGTCGTTCCGGACACACTGCAACTTTGAGCGAAGACGGCAGCTCCATCATTGTCATTGGAGGCTGGGTTGGTGATGTCAATACTCCTGCAGAACCCCAACTTGCCATTCTTGAGATGAGCGAGATTTACAGCGGATGGCAGTGGAAGATTCCAGAGAAGCAGCCCGACTTCACTGGAATATATGGCCATGGTGCTGCGGTGTTGCCAGGAAACATGCTGATGGTTTATGGTGGATGGGAGACGTCGAGTTCTTCAAGTCGAATCAAGCGCCAGGCCTCGTCGGGTTCCCTTCGCTTTTACAACATTACTTCCGGGTCATGGGGATCTAGCTACACGAATCCCTCTTCCGTGTCTTCGTCGGATGAAGAGAATGATGCTCCAACGGATAACGGCAAAGGGTCCAACTCGAAACGCCTTGGTCTTGGTCTCGGGTTGGGCTTTGGCATTGCTGCTTTGATCGGTATCATCATTGCCGCCTTGTGCTGGTACAAGAAGCGCAGACGCCACATCAACAACCGAGACGAAGCAGTCCGGGCGCTGTCCCAAGATCCCAGCTACTATCACAGTGACTTTCCCGAGATGACAGAGAATGACCCTTGGGGGCTCGACAATACGGCTTGGTATGGCCGTGGCCCATATCCTGCTGGAGAGAGATCACTCGGCTACGAGTCGATGAGAGGCGCTCGAAGCGGAATGCCTGGACTTCACATCCCCCACAAGCCTATGTCGAGACCATCGCGCGGAGGTTATGTGCCTACAGCGGGGAGCTTCCCTGGACCAATTCACCCAATCTATGAGGATGATGAAGAAGAAATTTACCAGAACCGAGGTTTATATGACCATGTCGCAACACCCACATCTGATGTTCATTCAGATCCCTTCCAGACTCCAGTTACCGCTACCGGCCCAAACAATATGCCGCATCCCCTATGTCTTACTCCTGGAGGAGGCAGAGCGTCAGCTACACCTAGCCCTGAGAATCGCCGTCACGATCCTGAGGTCCAGGATTGGGTGACCGAGGTTGATGCTGCAGAGGGACTACTCGAACGCATGAACAGTAGACGGAGCCAACATAAGAATGCCCAGAACGTTGACGGCGTAGACGGCCCTGCACGAATGAACAGCCGTCGAAGCCAGAACCAAGGGAGCTTCGGTAACAGCCAGGGCCGTACTTCCCCAACGCGGCACAACTCAACACGATCAACTGCTCTACGAGATGACGAATCGCGAAGCGGATCTAACTTGTCCGAATCGGCACGAAGCGCAGCCGAGAGCATCAAGGCTAAGGCACGACAGCTCAACCCTCTGGCTCCCGCTTTCTTGGTGGCTGGTGCCGAATACCCAAAGCCTGGAAGTTCATCTTCCGATAGCTACAATACTGCTCACTCCTCATTTGGTGCTCTTCAAGCCGAAGGACCTTCGCTCCTTATGGGGGATCGAGGTCAACGGTACGACGATGATGAACCTTCGTCGCCATCCAAATCAAAACCACGTAGGGGGTGGTTGGGCTCTCTCAGAAGGGTGTTTTCAGGGGCTAGTACCCCTCAGTCCTCCCGTGAAGACATGTCTGGAGTGCGGCGTTCATTTGATCAAGAGCCTGTGAGCGGTGATTATGAGCCCGGTCTGGTTGGTCTGCGTGGCGAGCTTCTTAGAAGGAAGAAGGGTCGGCAAGACTGGGAGGGCCTCGGTCCTATACCGCAAGGTGCTATGATGTCCGGAGGGTCGGGACCTGAGCCCGGGACCGAGTCTGACTGGGACATTGAGAGAGCTGTAGAGCAGCGGTTAGTTCAGGTCATGTTCACAGTTCCCCGAGAACGATTACGAGTTGTTAATGGCAACGAAGAGGGGAGCGATCGTGAGGATGAAGACTTGATGAAGCCGCAAGCAGCAGAATTGGTCGATCCTGATGACGAGCATGATTTGTCACGAGATGAGAGCGTTCAGGAGAAGCACATGGAAGCTGGCTATGAGCACCCAACTCTACAGCGTGTTAGCGAACCCCAAAGACAGGAGGGCAGTTCTATGGCTGAGAAGCAGCGACTTGTTCAGGATGAAGAAGAACGAGTAAATGAGAAACAGCGATATGAAGAAAAGCAACAGCTCCTCGATGAGAAGCGTGCCGAGGAGAAACGACTTGCAGAGGAAGAAGCCTTGCAAGCACAGGAGGAGGAGGAGAGAGAGCCGATGAAGAGACAACAGCCACATCAACCCCCTCCACCAGAAGAAGAGGAACCACCAACATCAACACTACAACAACCTAAGCCCTCACATCTCCAACCCCGTCCTCTCTTCCATAACCGCGCTCCTTCACCGGCAGACTCAATATCCCCTTCCCCCTCTCCCACACCATCTCACAACCGTCCAAGTTTCCACTCCCGACGACATACACGCGGCGATTCAAATAACTCGGCAGGCGGCTTTCTCCTCCCCGAACTCGCCACGCTAGAACCTCGCTTTTCACATTCTACGGATCGTTCCTCGGGCATCTTGATGGAAGCGCAAGCTATTCCGCTAACTAGAGAACGAGCGCGAACGCGCGTCCTAGCCATGGTGGATAGCTTTGAGAACCTAAGTCGTGAGAACAGCCCAAGTCCCACAAGGTTTCAATAAGGGGTGCAAAAAAGGAGAGCGGATTTCGGAATCCTATGAATTGATTTGGCATTATTATTATTATTTTGTTATGCAGGGTGTTTGGGTGTAGGATAACGGGATTCCATTTGCTACGGCTTTGGTATTTTTTGGAAGTCTACAGGAACGATGGATGTCTTGAATGGGAGATGTACATATGAGTTAGTGAAATGAAACCTTGGAATTATATACAATTGCTTGCTGTGACTCTGCTCTGATAATTGACTGGTTAGATATAATTTATTCTGGGTTGTTTAATGTCTAGCCGTTGCTTCTTTGGACGACGCCTCAACTACGAACGGTTCTACAGCCAACATTGAATATCGAGTCAGGATAATCCCTCTTCACATCGGGATTCACAATATCTACACCAGATAAACATGCAATTTAAGCATGTCCATTGCTTGTTAGCCCATCAGCATAACTCAATCACCCATGACTCTAATTGTCGATCTTAAAAGCAATCATTAACGTCATGGTCAAAACAATCGGGGGGTGCACAGGACAACGCAATCATATTTATTCAATCAAACACAAACTCTTCACCGGGTCTGGAATAGTTGAAACAGAACAGAAATCGGAACAGGGTACGCGTATGATAAACACAGCTGAACTGAACGCGTACACTGCCTTGATTTTTGGTATTTCTGTCCCTGACGATCTTATCTTTTTGGATTCACTCACTACGCTTGGTGAAACGCATCCGGACGCCACAGTATCCACGTCCCCAAAATGCAGGGGCAGAGGGGTGAAAAGGGAAGACTTGAGTGAAAATCTTCATTTTGGAAATGTCAATATTTGAAGCAATGCAGTCATTAGACAGGTTTCTGATTCGCTAAAGGTGGGAAATTATATGACATTGTTTAGATACATCGTAGTTACACGTATGGGTGTGGGGTATAAGTGAGACGCCAACCTTGGCTGAAAAAAGCTTGACAATGATACAAAGACAAAGTGACCAACAACCTGGTTAATATTTGAATGCTTGTTTTTAAATCAATGACTTGTTCGACACAGCAAGTAAAGGAGACCAGATAGACACCTACCTCTACCTTGTGGGAACCAATTAACACGATGGGATCCAAGGTAATTTCTACTCATAATTAACTTGTGATGATCTGTCTATATCCAAGTATACTCACTTCTCTTACGTAGACGACAATCCTCATTTCTTCCGGCAGCTTCTCATCCGGGGTATTCGCTTGCTTATGATTATTTCTTTAATGAGTTATTCCACCGAAGGATGGCCTCAATAAACTTCCGTCCTGGAAAATCAATAATGACAATTCCGGTGCGGCTCGTGTCTGGGTTCTCTTCAAAATCCTTGATCCATTGGCCCGTCATATCGTTCATCCCAGTGACAGTGCGATTCATTGGTCCAGCCGCAGCTTCGATCGGCAAGACGCCCACAGAGGCTGAGATATGAGCGAGATAGAGGATCTCGTTGTCTAGAGGTGCTGTTGCCGCGAGCTCGAGCGCATCACGAATCGCAGTCCACTTCTCGGAAAGATGGTAAATATCGGGGATGATCCACTTGTCTTCGAGCACCATCTGAGGACCCTCCCACTTGGGGCCATAAGGTCCTCCGTGCCTAGCTGGGAAGTTTTCAAGCACAAAGATCTTGGAGCGAAGTTCTCCGAGCGTTGGCAGGGGAGCAGTAGAGCTGTAGTTGTAGAGTCTATCCCCAAGAGGGTATTGGTTGAAGGCGTCTTCAAATGACAGGGTGTTGTTGTCTCCAATGCGACCACCTTCCTGCTTGAGACGCATAACAATAGTCTCGGATGGATTTCTGTCCAAGAAGTCGTTCATGTAGCCAATAACATCCTCGAAGCTAAATCCAGTATATCCATTGGCATGGTAGATGTGCAACTCATCGTCGCGCACACGAGCGCGGATGTCAAAGTAGCGAAGACCCGCTTCCAACTGCATTGTTAAGTTCCAATTCTGGCACTGCAGGACCTCTGTTTCTATCTCGTAGGTCATGGTATCGTGCGTTCCTGGTATACTGAGGCTCGTGAGGTATACATCGTCGGGGATCTCAGCCATCCAGGTTGGGTTGTGAGCCAAGTCAGCATCGAAGCTGTAAGCGCTCAAATAGCCCCGATAACAGTTGCCGTAGACCAGGCAAGGTGCAATGGAGAAGAGGAGATAGGAGAGACACATTATGAAGAATACAATGGCTCCGATGGTAGTAGGAAGACGTCTAGATCGATTGACGGGACTCGAGAGACCGCGGAAGCCTGGTTTCGCGATCATTGTGTGAGGCTGATGGCGAAAATCAAAGCCGGAGGGGCCGGATGGGTTCTTTTGGTCGGCTAGTCACATCGAAATATTTACAAGCGACTTGGAAGGATTCTCAAGTCTCGTGATATGTTCCTGGTAATATAAAATGCGGTGTGTATTGATAAGAGTACGCGCAAGCAAGGTTGATGTTGATGTTGGCAAGGCTGATTGATGATGCAAGCTTCACAGGGACTCAAGGCGAGATGACATCGGTCTGGGGGAGCTCTGACCCTTTTGCGGTAGCACCTGCGACATTGGAGGCTTTTGAGTGGTCAAAGATGAAAAGCAAGCATTTACCCCAGACAAGACATGACAAAGCATTCCAGCTGTGGTTACCCTATACTTTGAACAATTTGATTATAACTATACCTCTTTACAACTTAAGGAATAGTCGGGCTACTGAATTCAAATCTTTACTAGGCAGAGGCTTAGCATACTAAAACGGCTTGTTCCTACAGTAACTCAACTTGAGGCTCTGCCCCATAAACTATCCATCACTAAGATCTTGGTCGCTTCCTTCAAATCGAGTGATTAGGTGGGCCTAGTTTTTGTCCGCCAGAACTCAATGCAAGTGATGTGTAGGTCATGACGCTTGAGAGACGTGTTTGAACGATATAGGTAAGCCCAACAAGTTGATGAGGCTACCCAACAGAGCTTATGTCGTGTATTGAAAAAGTCCCGCAGGACGGAAACCTCTCATACAAGTTGGGTCTTGTCAATTGGCACAGAGTGACACAAGTGATGCATATGAGAGTGGCATAGTTCGCAGCTCAATGTCGATGATACAGACAAGACGTTTAACATTCTCAAGATATTTCTATAAAGAGTATACTAAGCGGACGGAAGAATTTGATTCCTCTACACCCTCACGATGCAATGCATATGAACCGATTGCCGCGGTGGCGGGCGGCTTGCAGATGGATGGCAGACCCTGAAGTCGCATTACCCGGTCAAGTCTGTGATTTGCTCACAATACTTCTTGACAGCTTGAAGCAAGAAACAGTCCACGTAAACCCGTAGACATCATATGTACAGTACAACAAGGTTCGTCGGCTAGTGACAAGACAACTCACGTCTAAATCAGCTGTGCTTCGTAACACCGCCTCGAAACGAGACGTTACCAGCCGGTCTCGCTACAGTACTTAACCGTGGGGGGTTGACATGTGCGAATATCACGATGGAACTTGCCTAGGGTATCGTGGTCTTTCTGGCTTACCATTAGTGGTGGTTAAGGTTTAACAGACGGAGCCTCAACTTTAGATGGTCAGTGACAGGTAGTCATGATGACAGCGGTCAGAGCGACATGCAATGAAAGAAAGACAATATGGCGGTCTTGGTCTGTACCATGCATGACAGCCTCGGTTGACGGCCAGATGATGCTGATGATGATACTGTACATCTTACCACGTCCACTAATGGTTACTCTTGAAATGCAAGAGGAAACGCGTAGAGACATTATAAACAAAGTCGCACAAGGTAAAACCCCAAGGAATAACAAACATTAATACCTCGTCCCCCAGCCTCCAACCCGCAGAAATAACCCCCCACGTAGTCTAGTTAGTTCAGTTGCTTGCGTGACTCTTCTCCAAGCATGCACAAACACAAACAGCCGAGAGAAGAGGAGAAAGAGGGGTTTGTATTATTTTGGTTGGGAATAGTGTCGCAGAGTGAGACATTACGAAGCGACTTTGCCACGTCCGTGTTCAAGCTCAAGCTTAAGCTCAAATAATAAAAAGGGTTCCTTTTTTGTGTGTGTAAAGAAACAAAAATACGATACGCACGTAAGAAATCGGAGAAGGTCTAGCTTCTTAGACTATTGGACAATTGGGTATCGTAGGATGGTAATAAAAAAAAAAGAAGAAAAAAGAGGGTGTAGTCGTTCGCATAGACGAGGTTGCAGTGCATTTTGCAGTGTTGAACTGCACTTGGCGGCAGTTCGTGTTGGTCTCGGAGATGGTGTTGAAGTCGGATAGTGAACTACAAAAGATGGTGGGCATCAAAAGATAAACCAAAGCTATTGGCTAAGAATTCCTTGGTGATAATCGATCGATGTTATCGCACAGGTGCCAACTTTTGCAGAAATGATAACTATGGTGTCTTTTTTCTAACAAGGATCATGCATGACTGCCCCAGATTCCAAGCCAAGGTTCTTTTCTATTGCACGGAAAAAGAGAAGCTTTACGAACGACTCGACTGACTTTGCATATCGTACCATTCACAAGGTTCTTAACGTGGTATAGACGATGATGTTAGAGGGGGGTCAGCAAAGCCAAACCTAACTTGAACAAAGCCAGAGCCATATTTGTTGATTGACTTTTTGTCCAAAGTTTATAGATGCTACAAAGGTAACCTTGAATTGGGTACTAACTGGCTGGGGCTGGTACAGGGAGGGGAAAAGAAGAGGCGAGATAGATCGTTACCTGGCCAAAAAAGATAAGATTACTGATGGATATGGAGATGGAGATGGAGATGGAGATGGAGATGGAGATGGAAAATGCCTAGTCTAATTTCAATGAACTCAATGAAACGATCTGATCTGTTAGTGACGTCGAGAATGGTAAGGGAGAGTTTAGTTGGGTTGGTCGAGGTTCTTTTATTAAATTGTCAAGGGTCATGGTATGATGGATCTATACGAGAGCGGGGAGCCCGTGACTCCTCTCCTCTCGTTTATGGATACAAAGTTTACAAGGGCAAGGCTGAGAAAGAGACAGTCATTCACGGGTTCTCGTTGATGTAATGGCTAAATAGGTGCAATGTGTGCAATGAGATCCGTTCACTTTACTTACAGAGCACCAGCTTCAAGATTATTCAGGTCCTTGCAACAAATAATATACCCCAGTTCCTTATCCCTTCTGCGGGTCGGCTCCAAAATGACTGAAACAACAGAGTACTCGAGAGCAGGGGTTCTGTTGGACCTCGATTGGAGAGCATTCAACCTGCTTGTTAAAGTGGACCGACCATCCCATTATTCTCGCGACATGGTAACGCTCTGGGTAAAATCCAAGTTCCAATGTCGATCAAACAATCGATCTCTAAGCAACAGAGTCAAGAAGATCTCTAACTAGTAATGTGCACATACATAAAGACGCAAAAAGGGGCCGGAAATGGCCCGTTATGGTAGGTGTCTATGCCACATTCAACGGTGCGGCGCGCCCAACTCAGGGACATAACTAGCACAAGTTTCTTTTCACGAACGAGCTTGGACAAAGGATAGCAAAAAGTCGAGCTGTAATGAAGCGGGATCCACGGCAATGCCATGTCCTCATTCTGTCGTCTTGAACTCAGACATAAAATTAGGAATGGTGCCCATCCAACAGTGCCGCTAGCCTCACAATATCGTATCGTATCTAAACTCTTCTCAACTTAACTTATCGCGCGTGAGTGGGAACGGTGGAGTCAAAACAAGATGATGGAGGATTAGAGGATGGGCCTACAAAAAAAGATGCAACCATTAACCGAGTGCTTAATTCTGTCTTGTCTCTGTCAATGTCCCGTCTTCAGGTTAGACTCGGATCAACACAGCAACAATGAGATCGGATCTTGGGAAGAGCGCGAATTACTGTTACTACTAGTTACGGGTTCAACAGCCACTGGAAAACACCGAGGTCAAATCCAGAGGCCGCCGTGTTTCAATCATGTTGTTCTAGCGAGTAACTATCATCTCCACTCGTCATGACCAGAGAAGCGGGTCGATGAGTTTCATCTTCTTTTCTTTTGCTCATAGTTGAGTCGTCATGTAAGAATAGCCTCATGAGGAAAATGTAGAGAGATAATCAACCGAGACACAGAACTTACACAGCTTGTGATAGAAAAAGTGTCAAGGATTGATGCCACTTCGGATAGTGAGTTGCCGAGGAGAGGAGAGGAGAGGAGAGGAGAGGAGTGAAATGGATGGTGAGTGACTTGATTACTGTATCCAATTTCAATTTCAATCTTGCGAGCACATAGCGGCAAGCCATGGTCAGAGTCAAAGGCCAAAAGCCAAGCCCATTAAGTCGGGTCAGGTCTAGATCAATAGTTCGATGTCAGGAACCGTGGCAGCAGTTATTAAGACTGGAAATAATATCTGAATAAATTCAGAGAGGCGGACAGGTCATGGCTAATACAAGGATCACTCATAATACCATCTCACCACCACCACAATTCGCATCCAAGACCTTGAATTGCGATTGTCGGACGGATCAAGCATTCACTCCGCGACAATTACAGTACCTCTACATTTCCAATCAAGATCGCCGTTCGCACCCTTGTCCAGGGCCCCATGTAGATCCCACTCCCTCTTCCCCTTTGACCCTGCAACCTCTACACGACATGGCGCGACACGACACGCCCCCCTCCTTTCATCCCACCGTAATAAAACCTACAGAGGGGGACAGCATCTGTCAATAACACGCATGCGCTGGAACCAACAGCATTTCAGCGTTGGAGCCTCCCCCGTGGTGACGACATTGGCTTAGGCTCCTTGGGTTTAGATCATTTCAGGCGCCATGAGTTTTAGTTTCTTGGTATGAAAGGGGGGAGAAAACGAAACGAGGGTCCATCTTTATTTTATTCCATTTGTCGTTGTTCATAAGTTTTCTGTCGCGCTGGGCGTCGATATTGAATACAGCACTGACGCCCAAGTAGTTAAATCAGATCAGATCACCAGAAGCAAAGATTCAATGTCAGGGATCTCGTCACAGTGACTCGGTTAGAGAGTACGTAGACAGCTTCATTCATTACTGTAGTCCTGTTGGCCAGCAACAACGCGAGAATTGCTTACCTCAGGCAATTTATTAACTCATCTCTTGAGTCGATCAATTCTGGTTCTTCTGGCTCGGTCAATTTCTTTCAAGTTCCTTTCTTTTTATTCTCTTTTTTGTTCCTCTTAATCTCTTGTGCACAATTGATTTGTCCATTTATTCATTCATTCATTCCATTCAATTCGTTCTTTTTATCGTTTCTTCGTTACAGCATCATTTGCAACACTGTTTACTCCAAAAAAAACAAACGGCCACTTTACGCCGAAATATTAGCTTCGTCGCGCGTTGGTCTCGGATCACTTTCTTCCCGTCCAATTTTTGACTCGTCTCTTTGGTTCTTTTCAATACGTGGAGCTCTTTGTCTGCCCAGCCTTGGCTGTCGAGCTGAGAGTGTTGAACCTTGCCTTTTTGGTCACACGCCCCCTGCGATACATTGGACGGTACGTACTGTACCAAAAACTTTCACTCCCACGGAGAGTCGTATGGATCGCAGCCTCCAGTGCAACTCTATCCAGGTTACTTCTCTACAGTAACAAGGGATTAACTCAACTCAAGTCATCTCATATCATATACACAAGGAGTAAACAGACCATCGACAATTACCAACCCAAGGGTACGAATATTGCCATTACCAGGAATCATTCTCTCAATATTATTGACTCCTCCCTCCGCCGCTATTCCCGAGCTCTCTCAAGTCAGGCCAGATCTGGTTAGCAGAACTATCCTCGTCTTCGTTCGTCCTTCCTTGTTTCCCATCCCGGTCGCTCCTGCCGCCGTCCCTCCACTAGAACCCGGGACTACCGTGCTAGGTACAGATACCTACAAGGCTCTTACCTGATCGGTCCACGCTAGTCGCTACTTCCTTCACACCTTTTTCCCTTCCAGTCTCTCCTTCTCGACCTCAACAGCAGTCACCTATTCCAATAACTCTACCTTCTTCCCCCCAGCCTCCCCTACTCATACTCAAATCTCCTCACGATACCTATCTTGCTAGCTGGAGCTTGCTTCTCTTTTTCTTTTTACCCGCTTGACTTTTTGGATTGTTGGGTTTTTCCTGGGACGATTATTGATTGATATTGTTGAACTTTTGGGATCGTATTGTATCGTATTGTTTGCCTGGGATTTAGAAGGATTGTCTGATATCGACAAACACTCGAGCATCAACACGAAGCTCTTGATTTATCACTGCTACCGACCATCGCAACTACACTTCGACATCGGCATCGACAGCTTTGACAAACCCGAGATATCCTAACCGACATTGCTACCGAACGTGGGCCCCATCTCCGAGAAGCCACTCTTCACTTTCTCGCCCTTCAACCAGCGGGTCACTTGACTGTGTTACCTCGCTCGACTCGGATCACGATTGACGATACCGGCTGTCTTGCTCCGAAAGACATTTATCCACCCCAAGATCGCACCGGTACCACTGCATCCTCGACGTCCGACGTGGTATGGCTTGGAGCTTCTAAGAGTCTACTGCGACCGTGTTGTGTCGTGACTGACCTGCTTCATCTCTGTCGCACACGACTTCACATGCTCTTTTACTGCCAAATTAATTGGTAAAGGTGTGTGATATTGGATCACGAGCTTGTCTTCCTTGCCTGGCCACGTTTCCCATCAACCCGACAAACTCTAACCTTGAACTCGGTGTAGTTTTCGACCAAACTCATAATCAACATGTTTTCTCTTTGCAGGAACGCCCAATCTGCGGGTCTTCTCTTCTTATTAGCATCGACATGGGCACCCTTGGCCAAAGCCCTGGATATCGAATACTGTGCCAACTTCAACACTGGCGAGACTTCCAGCAGTATGTAACCTTTTAATCACCAATTTTGACAACATCTAATTTGAGATATAGACTACAGTATATACCAGACCAACGGCCTGTGTCATGATCACTGTTTCGACGACTATGCCTACGCCATCACCCAAGGCAAGCTGTGCTGGTGCTCAAACTATGCCCCTGTCAAGTCGGTACAAGAGAGTGATTCCAAATGTGATACTCCCTGTCCCGCATGGCCTAAAGAGGTCTGTGGTGGTGATGGTGTATATGGCTATATCAACCTTGGCAACATAGAGCCATCTGGATCTCGAGGACCTTCTCCCTCATCAACCAAAGTGAGTACAATCCTATGATATGATTATGCTTTGTGTTGTGATTGCCTTGCACGTTGTGATCGGACGAGTGTCTGCCCACCAGCTATCCACCTGTATAATCTTGATCCACCTGACCTCCTTGAGTTTGGTAAGATTTCACGGCTTAACAGGCAACACTCAGGCAATATCAACTACCATGGCCGTGTCCAGAGTGACTGAGACGGTACAGAACACAGTGACAGTGAAGCCGTCAACCAAGTCGACATCCACGTCGATAACCTCCACGACGCCAGAAAGCTCAACTGTACGCCTTGCCTTTGCACGCATGTTATTCCAACTCGGGAATCTGGTGATGTGACCAACATATCTGGACAGAGACTGACTACGAATTTAGACAGAAGAAGACCAATCCTCTACTGAAGCATCTGCGACCAAGGCCACTTCGACCGATGACGAAGAAGCCACCTCAGCTAGCGTGACAGACCAGCCATCGTCTATTGTGCAAACTGTCACTGCAGGGGGTACTGTCAGGACGGTGACTGTCTTGCCGACACAGCAGACGGCTGGAACATCGGCAAACGAAAACACACCTGAGACAACTGACAAGAGTGGACTCGGCACTGGCCAGGTTGTTGGCATTGTGGTGGGTGTTATCGCTGCCGTCATCCTTGCCGCAGGTGTGGTGTTGTTCCTCTGGTTCCGTCGCAAGAAGCAGCAAAATGAGCAGGAAGCTTATCGGGACGACCCCAGTATCCGAGATAGTTCCTCTGGTATTGCTCAGCGACCCGACATGAGCACAACCGGTGGCTCACCAATTGCATCAGCCGCCGCAGGCAGTCGCAACAGTACTCTACAGGTCGATCCGCGAATGGATCCATTTAAGCAAGGCCTGTACGTCCGAAGCGCAAGCCACGAGAGTATCAACACTTTGCGCGACGATCACGACTATTCGAGGAGGATCCAAGCACCCAAAGTACTTCGTGCAACCAACCCCGATCCAACGTCGGAACCTTGAGCCGAAAGGGTTTTGGCAATGGATCAATGAAATATGTTCCACACGAGAGGACAAAAGGCCACAGCTGGCCCATGAAGCACACGAATCTCACTTTCTCCGGCTCACATTTTCACAACCTATGGGGTTTTTCTTGCATTTCGAGATACCAGGAAGGCGTTGACATTTTATATGGGGGAATGGGAACACATACACAACAGCACAAGAACGAACACTCCTCAGTGACGAGTGGGGTCACGGTATGGGTACATGCATAAGCGGGCTGAGCGACTGTTGCTTTGCACAGCGCTATCAGTAATGTCATAAGGACATGAGCCGACTGCTTACTTTTCGATTCAATCTTATATTTTACTGCATTACGACAACGGCGGCCTCGACTAAGCAATCTTTGGTAACATGGAAATGGATGGATTGTCTTTGCGATTAATCTTGGTTTGAACAAGTTGTACGAGCATCAGTGTTGGCTTCAAAGTCTGGATATAATATGCAGGTCGCCGTTGTCAGTTTGGGGTCACTTGCTATGTACATAGAATTAGCATGCATGGGCGGAAGTTGATGGGTGGAATAGCGACCAAAAGTATACTTATTTTCTTGGTCTGGGAAGATGTCAGGCGTTGCCTGATGAGTGGTTCCCAAGGGTTTGATAGTACAATTCAACCGATCACTGGTTTGGTATTATATGATTGTGGTCCATAATGATTGTGATATGTTTCCATCTGTCTACGAGCAGTCTTCATACTATAAAATAGCTGGTGAAAACTAAGGCCAAATCTGCAAGTTGTCTTGTATCTAGATTGGAGGTTTGGACGTTATATCTTGGCGCCGTGAAGCTAAGAGGTTTTCTCTCACAACATATCATAACCTAACTCTACCTTGGTACTTGCATTAATTGGTGTTTGACGCCCAATATACTTGAATGACGGCAGACTGCTTAAACCAGCATCATTAGTGGTTTAAGCTTTAGCCTCCCCGACGTTAAAGACTATGAATATACATGGGGTGTTCAAATAACATGAGTGTCTGATATGAGGAGTATGTAGTGATAGTAAAGACTTTCTTTTGTAGGTTGCAAGTTAACAAACATCCAAATTTGGCGTGTTGAATCAAGGAACAACGTGATTTACATTCATTGGCCAAAAGGCTCGGCCTGGCACCCGCTTCTTCAGCCGCGGTATCGTGAACCTCGAATTTTCAACAATATGCCAAAACACAGCAAGTAATCGATTAAAAATAATTACATCGCAACTATAGCAACAATCCAGAAAGGGTTAGTTTCGGTGGCCATTTTATCGACATGTGACATGGCTGTTGCTGGCACGTGACATGACTATCGCATCCTACTAAAAATTTGTAATTTATATAAGTCAGATTAAAAATCACCGTTATAACTAAAAATTCCCAATTAGGGTTTCGTGGTCTAACGGTTATGACTGCGGATTCTGATTCCGCCAGCGAGGGTTCGACTCCCTCCGAGACCTTTACTTTTGCTGATTTTTTCGATGAGTTGTGAGTATATTTTAGGGTACTACTCTCTTTTTCTCTTTTTCAAGATGGATTATCTGGGCTTGGCCATGGGGTTAGATGACTTAGTCTTGCTTGTGTACACGACGATACCTTCTCTAGTCTAAACTGCTCTCAATAAGAAGACCTAAACTGAAGCCTCTATGTGTAAATGGACTGTTGGTGAATCCTCTCCTATGAAGGATTTATTTTTCACCTCTGAACTATAGACTTGTACGTACATCAGTTTGCATAGGATAGATCTTGGGCAAGATTGTTAATGTTACAAAACTCCATATATAAAAAGACTGTAGTATCAACTGTTTTCTTCAAGAGGGCACGGTAATTAAGTGGCTAAGTTATTGGAAGGAAATGGATATCAACTCGAATTTGAACCTAACTTATTACTCAGTAGACGAAACTGAGCAATCACTTCACGTTGGCTCAAACTGAGTCTCAGTCTATATCTTGCATTGTAATCTTGGACCTTGAGCTCTCTTCTACCTATAACTTGGAAGACGCTGGCATTGTTGTTATGATGACCTTATTAATCCTGTTTTCACTGGTTGAGTTTTATGATATTCAGTTTGTACAAATACCGCAAGTGTCAGTAACTACAGAGTCGGGAGTATTTGAGTCTAATGTTGGTCATGGCGTATAAAGGCATTGAACACAATGAGTTGTCAAGTCATCTTCAAAACCAGTAATAGTTTATCCTGGTCATTCAGTTCTATACTGACTCGGGACACGCTACAGTATCTTACAAGGCTTCCAACAAAGGCACTTTTAGTCTAGTATATATCATTATCACTGATTTCAAAAGTCATACGCTGCCCAAAGGGTATCAATCCAAGCACGCCTTGCCAATCCAACGCCCAACCATCCGTAGTAAATCTCAGAGGGTCAAATGTCTCGTTGTAACCCTCCGATATCCGCAAGACCGATTCAGAAGAGAGAGCAATGTAGTCTCCAAGGGAACAATTGTGTAAATAGCAGTAATAATTGTAGTAACGTAGTAAAAGAGAACTGTAATGCAAGGTCGAATGGAGCATAATGTGATAAAATTCTGATAAACGCCCGATAATGCGACTTGTCTGTGATCCGTTCTTGGTCAGACTGCTTGCTTTGCCGTATCCGAAGTCCTCTTCTGCGTGGGTTGTATTCCATGACTAGACTCGAAACCCTCCCTTCTTTTTCGTTCTTTCGTACTCAAAACATGCTGTGCCGACTTTCATTCAAATTATCTTCATCGTCGGGCCCGCTTCTCTCGATCATTCTGTGACCCTGCATCTCCCTCGCTTCTCCTCTTCCGCCCACGAGGGTCATCTCGTCCGTCGCGGCGATCGTCTGGTCGTAAACCTCCCTCACGTTGACCTCGTCCTCCTCTACCATTGTTTGCCCAGTCTTCACCGCTGCGGCTGCTTTGACTATCACCTCTATGTCGACCGTCGCGGCCCTGTACAAGATCTCTTCCGGTAGGAGGAGGCCCCATTGGTTCGCGTGGAGCGCCGCTAGGTTCTCTGTTGGAGCGTCTGGATTCACGCTCTTCCCTACCACTCTCTCCAGCCCCTGAGCGACGGTCACGGTGTTCACGATGTTCCTTGTCTCGACCTTGACTTCGATCACGGTCGCGATCACGGCTTCCTCGACGCGAAGATCTGTTTGATCGGCTGTCGCGATCGCGTCGGCCACGCTCATGCTCACCGCGGCCTGAGCTTTCATCTCCATTGGCAGGCGCTCGACTTGAAGATTCGTTCCTGACCGGATCTGGACGTTCCTGTGCTGGTGTGGTGGCCGGCGAACCCCCAGTCAAGACTTGAGCATCTGAGCCACCACCAAGGGGTTGGCGTGCCTGGCCTCTCCTTCCGCTGCTGCTTCGGGTTGTATCAGGCATGTTGGCTTGGGCTTGTTGCAAAGTGCTATTGATGCCCGCAAGCTGCCTTCGGCCACCACTGCGACGCTCGCTAGAAGCCGGTCCGGTTGGAACATTGGGTTCACCAACTGGAGACCCAGTATATCCTCCAGGTGTTTGTCGCGGACCAGAACTGGGACGATCGGGAGTGTTTGTTCCGCCCATGGACTGTCGACCATGCCCATGGCTATTGCTGGGCCCATGAGGTGGTTGTCCCGAAGGGGGAGGGGGAGGCAGCGAGTTACCGCCACCACCGATCTGAGCAAGACGCTCGGGATGAACGCCTGTGGGAGTTGCATTGACCGACGCGGGAGAAGGCATGTTTTGGCTAGGGCCAGCATTTCTAAGTCTGCCCCCGGGGCCTCCAGGTGTGCTAGCAGGAGTGACTGGACCAGTATTCTGCTCGTAGCCTCTTCGCCCTCTTCCCGAAGATGGGCCAGTAGGAGGGGGTCGATCTGGAGTGGGCGGTCGCTCAGCTTCAGGACCAGCAAATCGACCGTCAAGTCGACCTGGCAGAGCTTGTGGTCCGCCATGACCTCTTGTTGAACCTCGTCCACGAGCCTTGGGGCCATGTGGAATATCGGCTACAGGCTGAATAGCATTGAGGCGGCCGTATGAGTCGTCTTGATGAGCGGGCTTGTGATCAGGCTCAGAGGCACGCGCCGAAGCACCATGGAAACCAGGAGCGTCACGGCCCTTGGGTGCAGAAGGTCGTTCGTTCTCGCGGTCCATCGACCTGTCTCCACGGTAGTTTCCTGGCAGCGGCGAACGCTCTCGAGGATCTCGTCCAGAGGGTCGATGTTCCACGGGATAGTTTCGGTCAAGTCGTTCTTCACGACCACCGCGTCGAGGTGATTGGACACGAGAGTTATGTTCTCGGGTTTCATTCCTGGGGGCACGCGATGGCGTGCTATCCTTGTTGCCTATCAACGCCGCCCTCTCTGGGTTGATCGTGTCAAGTGGCTCAACAGGAGCGGTCTTGCGGCCCCTACCTCGGTCAGAGTCAGGCGCACGAGTTTGCTTGTTATCTTGAGCAAATAGAGCAGCTCTCTCTGGATTGATATGGGGTTCGGCTGCCTCAGCAGCGGCAGGTGCAGTAGGAGCTGAGGTCGGGGTGTCATTCAGACGACCATGATCATGGCCTCTGCTGCTCTTCGCATCTCTAGGCCGTTCTCGCTCGTGTTCGCCGCGACGCCCTCCGTCAGATCTAGACGGCTCTCTACCGTGTTCCTGTGCTCGTCGGTCAGGGAACTCGCGAGGACGATCTGGACGAGCAGGATCGAAATTTCGCGAATCTCGTTGGTCTCGTGGTTCGCGTGTCTCCCTAGAATCTCGCTGATCCCTAGTGTCACGAGCTTCCCTAGGCTCTCGTGAATCTCTGGAGCGTGAATCTCGTGGTTCCTTTCCGTCACGACGCTCATGACTCCTAGATTGGTTGAATCGATCAGGAGTGTAGTGGGCAGGGATAGGCACATCAGGTCGACTGGGGAGGGTATGGGGAGGGCGTTCAGGCAACGTATTAGGCCGAGAATCATGCTTCCCGGATGTACCAGCTCCTGAATTTGTGTTTGCAGCGCGGGGCCCTGAAGGTGTTTGATCACGCTTGGTCGAGTTGGACTCTCGGGACGACCCTGGCTTGGCCGGTAACAAGTCCTTCGCAGGACCTGTAGGCTTTGTCGAATCAGTTCCAGAGGTCTTTGAATCCTTTGAATCCTTGACCTCCCCATCTTCCTCTTCTGTTGTGTTTTGTTTTCCTCTGAAGGGCCTGCTCATGTTAGATTAAGAAATACTTGGGGGATATTACGACCTACTTTGCGGAGCCAGGCTTGAACTCTGGCGCGGTTGCACGTAGAGATGCCTTTTCTGACTCGTTCTGGGCAGGTCCAGCCTATTGTGCGTTAGTCATGTCATATAATGTAGCTTCGGGATACTTACACCACCAGGGCGGAAAGCCTGTACCATGACCCATTTGTTTTTCCTCCGCTGCAATTCTGACATTGCACCTTGTGCAGCAACTGACAGATCAACACGTCCACCAACCTCACTATCCGGTGTTGGCTTTGCAATAGACTCTTGTTTGGTGATAGTCTGAAGGAGTGAAGAAAATTTGGAGGCCATAAAGTCGATCGCAGGGAAGAAGTCAAGGACCGCCTTCAATACTGTGATAGCGTTTCGAATGTGCATCCATTCCGCACCTTCCAAACAAGAACGGAGAGCACTATTTAGGTTCTTGTGCCAGCGGAACAGCATATCGCGGAATTGCTCGTGCTCTACAAATGTCAAGGGCTTTCCGTTGTCGTCGAAAGTTAGAGCAAATCCAAGACGAGGCTGATCGCTCGGCCCTTTGCCTTCCTTATCATACGCACCCAACCTGGGTTGATCTTTAGACTTATCCTTCTCATTGGGGACTGGTGCGTTCTTGTGCCAGCGTGACAAATCTTCCAAGATCAGCTTCAAGAAACGACCAAGGTACTCAGCCTCCATAACAGTTGATGTGAATATAAGAGACCTCAAGCGGTTGGCATTGAATAGCCGGTCGTAAAGAGACATCAACTGAAAGCCTGGGGCATTCCCTTCGTGAAGCGCTTTGATGAATTTGTAGGTATACTCGGCATCAGCTTTGGATAGAAGCAGGCGAGGGAGGAAACACTGCTCAAGCAATGTGTCGGAAATGCTGCCTGGCTTGGCTCGAGGCTCTGGGAATGAAGACTGGAACTGCTTGCTCAGAAAATACTTCCACTTCGCCTGTCGCAGGAGGTGTTCGCCGCATTCCTCGGAAAGGCCGATCTGAAGCTGCATAAGCTCCTTTCGCTTTTCCATTTTGCGTTCTTGTCCTCTTCGTGACATGTCGCTGCGATCTCGTGTAATAGCAAGGTCTTCGGCTCTGAGACGGTCTTTCTCTTGCTTGTAGATCTTATCAGGGCAGTAGAGATCGCCCAGCTGAAGAGCCCAGAAGGTAACATAGAGATCTGGGGTAATCTTCTGCCAGGTCTCAGGGCGGGCAGCATCTTGAATGGTTTCCACCAGGGGCTGTAGTGCTGATTTGATGAGAGAATTATCTTCAGACTTTTGTGTCTGCGGCAGGTTAGTGGAGGGGTTCCGCGTTGTTGTATCTTGGGAACCCACCTGGTCGTCGGCCTGTGGTGTCTCTTGGCCGGGTGTATCGTTGCCGCCATTTGTAACGGGCGTATTGGACATGGTCACGTCCCCTTCCTTGTCTGTAGATTGAGCAATTTGGGCCTTCTCTTTGGTCTCTTCGATCTTCTTTTGCTTCCAAGGGAACATGCGGTGGGCAAGATTTGCTCTGCCTATCATGAAAGCTAGACCGACATCGAGACCGTACGAATTGATGAGTTCGGGAATGGAGGGAACAAGGTTGTCAAAGCTGGCCGGTTCCATGTTGCTCCAGAGGAGGTCCAGGTATTGGATCAAAATGCGGTGAGAATCGTCAATCATGGAGGAAAGATACTTGATGTGAGCTTCATCCTCTGGCACTTGGAAAAGTGCTGCTTGTCGGTATTGCGCTAGGCTGATAAGAAGCTGTGCAGCAAGCTTGGAGTCCATCAAAGCTTGGACAAGACGCCTTGAGCTTTTGATGCTGTCAAATCGCTTATCCTGGCCACGAATTAGAGTATGTCGCCGCAGGCATTCGCCTCCAGCCATTGACATGATTTGATGATCCGTGAAATCAACCGAATCCACAATTCCACCCATGGAAGTGATGAGCTCCTTGAGGATGATAAGGTCAGTAGAGTTACCCTTGATAAGCTGGTCGTTGACATATTGAAGAACTGGTGTAGCGTTCAATACAGTGTATCGTCGGAAGACTCTACCGGAGAATCTTGACAAGGCTTGCAACCATTTACTGGTAGTGAGGGCGTGTTCAGCTTGAGTACGGCTCCTCGATTTTCCGAGAGAGCTCATCAGGGACCACACAAGCACATCGTAGGACAGGTCTGTGAAGTACTTTGCACACTCCACGAAGGCGTCAATCAGGTTTGGGTAGGATTCCAATTGTTCGAAAGCAACTCGGAACACAATGCCAGGAGATGAGTAGCTGGTCTTGGCGAGTTGCTTGGCCATTTCGCTCAGGTTGGTAAGGGAAACTCGCTTCATGGTGCCCCGAGTCTCCGATGTTGCCTTTGCAAAAGCTACCTTCATAGCAGGCAGTCGGGATATTTGACCCTCGAACCACTCAGCATACATGGAATAGCGAGTAGTCATAGGGTAATGCCTCATAAGTTCCCAAATTGCATTGACAGCGGAGGCGTTAGCCTTGGTGTGGCTCAACGCTGGCAACAAAAGCCGTCGTAGGAGATCGTGCCATCGAGTGAGGTTGTTCCCGGACCTATCGTCTCCAAGACTCTTGGCTCCAATTCTGGCCAACTTGGTCAAGAGCGCCTCATCCTTGCCAATGTTGACACCGGAAATGTTGAGCAGTGTCCCACACAAGGTGAAGATATCGTCCACGGTTTGGCAAACAGGGATATTGTCCGCCCATTCATCCCAATAATACCGGTAATTCTGCGACTCGTTGGTGTCGATCTTGTCTGGAAATGGCCATCTAAGTGATTTTCGGGTTGTCAATCTGCTTAGACGGACGCTGCCTTTGGGAAGCCCAGATTGGTCAAAATCGGGGACGAGTTTGGTCGGACAGCCAGGTTCGCCTACCACAATAGGTCGACTATCGTGAAAGACTTTGTCGACAGAATAGTGCAGGATGCGATGGATTCTTTCTAGCACTTCGGGAAAGACTTCGGGTATCCAGGGGAAGCGGCCGAGAATGAATAGCGATTCGGGAATGGCACCAATAGTCAACAATTGGGTGAGCAGCGCCACCTTCTGTTCCAGGGGCTCAGGCAACTTTGGTTTGTTGTCTGCCGCCTCTGCAGCAGCTTCTTTAGCGTCTGCCTCGGCCTTATTGGGAAGCTCCCGTCGAGGAAGATTCGAGCCGTTTGGATTGTCGTCGTCACCCTGGGGTAAGACACCAGCCATGAGAAGAGCGTTCATCGGCCCACCTTTGGCGGTTCGTTCTGCCTCTTCAATTCGCTTCAATTCCTTCTCGCGAATCGTTTCCATATCTTCATCAGCTGGTGAGAGATGTGGATAGAGGTCAGTCAGCGAAATGAAGCCAATCTTGATGAGAAGGGCCGCCAGATAGAGCAAGTTCGCAGGAAGGACATCTGATTCGTCTCTAGCGTCCGAGTTGTAGAAACGCAACTTGAAGCCAAGAAGCTGCGCCGCTGTACGGTTGCCTGGAGGTGGTAGGGTCTTGGTTTCTTGTACCCATTGTCGTTCAATATCAGCCGCAGCGTCTTCGCCTGGGGATCCGTTTGTAATGATAAGTTGCTGAGAGTCGGAATCTGCCACTTGCCGGCCGCCCAACTCAAAGAATGCTGCAACATGCACTTCCCGAGCTCGGCTCCAGAATGCAATATCACGAACTCGTTTTCTATCCTCCAAAACCTTCTCGTCCTCTTCTGTTGTTGTCCACTGCGAGTACTCTGGTGTAGCCCACAAAGGCAGGCCGCCCACGTAGACTGCAGCACTGAATTTGAGATGAGAGCGTGGCCACCAAGAGCTAACTCGAAGAAATTTGACAAAGAACTTGAACTGCTTGATCAGCACAGCAGCTGCAACGTCAAGAGTCACATCCAAAACTCTTCCGACGTCGAGATCAAAAGTTCCTATCAGTGCCTTGATTCGTTCAAAGGTTTGTTCGGCCATTTCTGGAGGGGGAGGCGCTACACTGCTAGTTGTAAATAGTTCTGTGATGAGTTTGGAGTATCCTTCGGTTTCCTCGCGAAGCAAGTTGTAGTTGGCTTGTCGATAGAGAAGATTCGTCGCCTGCTTGATACCCAGTTTGACGAAATTATCTCTGATAAGCCCCAGCTGCTGCAAGACTTCGGGGTCGAGCACCTGCCGCATCAAGTTTGAAGATACACCAGCTGTTAGAACGAATTCCCTGAGGGTCGGTCGGTAAATGGCGGGCTCGTTATCCATAACGATGGACAGAGAGTCAAGAAATAGAGTGTGGGGAGCGAACGCGTATGAATCCTTAATAATCTCCGTCGTTTCGTCACCGAGGATTTCCTTGACGCAGGTACCTGCATCGGCTGGTGGTAAGCGACCCTCGACGACTGCATGCACGAATTCTTGAAACAAGCTTGATAACTCGGTGATATCGACATCGTCTCGCGATTGCTTTCCATGTTGAATCATCTCGCCCCGACCACCCTCGGTCCAAGCGCTAATCTTGTCGTCCGTGAGATTATTATAGCGATAGTTAGAACGGACCGGAGAGGGTGGTCTCATTAGGGGAGGTGGTACGTAAGTTGGCTTCTTGATCGCTGGCGGTGGCGGCGGCGGCGGTGGCGGTGCGTGTGAAGAGCCAGGTCGTCGTTGCGATGGTGAAGGATTGGGTTGATTCGGGGGTGCTCGGCCATGGCCTTGTGATGAGTCGCGTCGACCCGGACCTCGAGGTCCTCTACCACGATTACGTGACATGTTATCTTCGCGATCGTGCTGTCCGAGTGATGTTTCTCCAGGTCGATGGGGAGAAGATCGACCGCCTTCCATCGATTGGCGATCGTTCCTCTTGCGTTTCGGAGGCATAGCTCACGAGAATGAAGTCGGAACTGGAGGTGATGATTATCTCATTAGATAGCAGCGTGCGTTGCGCTATTGGAGAATGTCGTAAATTTGAAAGTCTGTAAGAAAAAATGAGTTGGCTGGTTCGAAGTAACGGAAGATGTAAATTTGATTGTTGCGTTTGCGGTCCGCGCGGATGAGAAAGACTGACTTTTGACGACAAGGAGTTCGAGTGGGGAAAGGTGATTGTCGCGACAAAGCTGACAAGGGAAGGACTTGAAAGAAAAGAAGCCACTGGGTACTGAGCGCGCGAGAAATGGCTCCGTGATAGATGGGAAGTAGCGACTTCTGCGATTTGTTCGGCAGGTGGAGAGCCCGGTCGCGATGGGGTTGGAGAGGATAGAATAAAGAAAGCTCCAACAGCTAGAATTAGATGTCACGGTTGGTAACCAGTCGTCAATAGCAGCCTTCCCTTACTGGGGAAACGAGGCTGCCAACGCGCGATAGGATTAGGTGGCAGGCACGCCGCACAGACCATCTACAGCGAAAAAAGGTACGTATCGATTTATCAGGCCTCAAATTCGGTAGAAAGGGACAAAGAATATCAGCTTTCATAGATTTCAGATGTTATTACTCACTTTACATGATGTCAGTAAAAGTGAGATTATTTGTAGCGAATCAATTGTGCTTTTGCTTTACTTTGCGATTGACAGGAAGTTCATTTCAGCGCATTAGTACCTACTTTATTCACGTACTATTTCCGTGTCTACTCATCGACGGCACGTGATCGTACAAAACTCCGTTGCCGGCCACCTGTTACAATTAGGACGGCATCGTAATTGGCTGAATCACGACAGCCATGGAGACCAGCCAGAATTACGCCATACCTAGGAGCAGTCTTTTTTTCCTTGAATTCTGAGTCAAACACTTCTCTAGGCGAATCAAGACGATAAATACACTTGATTAGGACCTATTTGTCCATTGGATCTAAATTCTTGCCAATTCGATCAATTTTGGGTGTCAAACGGCTTCAATATCAAACCCAGCTAATCTGAGAGCGACCCCGGTCCGATATCTCGATATAACCTCTCACAACACTATCGTGAGAAGACAAAGACAACTATAGTTATGCTAGCTGCCACTATGTCGGGAAATAACACTACAAACGGTGATTCCCGCAAGCACTATGGTCAGTTTTTACCCATGCCTTGTCACTTCATATCTCCGCACCCTATACTCTATATATCACAATGGTTCATTCCCCTATCACTACAAAAGACTGGTTGCTGAATACCTGCAAGAAAGAACGCAATCACAGCCTGAGAACCCGTTCGCTGCTCTCATCCCTGAGCAGCAGCTAGCGATTGTTCCTGAATTTACTCTTGAGTCTGGAGTTACTCTTTACAACCTTCCAGTCGCTTACACAACTCGCGGCAAACTCAACGAACAAGGCAGCAATGCCATGGTCATTTGTCATGCACTCACTGGAAGTGCTGATGTGGGCGATTGGTGGGGTCCTCTTCTTGGTGGTCCTGGTCGAGCTTTCGACACCTCGAGATTCTTCATCGTCTGCATGAACAGTCTGGGCAGCCCTTACGGTACTGCGAGCCCAGTGACAGCCAAGGACAACGACCCCAGCAAGGGCCGATATGGACCTGAGTTCCCTCTCACAACCATTCGCGACGATGTCAAGTAAGTTCTGCGCCCCAGGAGTGGTCTTATCTCTGCAAGGATAAAAAGAATCAGCACTTATACTAACTTTTGATAGCCTCCACAAACTTATTTTGGATGACCTGGGTGTCAAGCAGCTAGCCGCTGTTGTCGGAGGTTCTCTTGGCGGTATGTTCGTGCTCGAGTGGGCGTACTTTGGAAAGGACTACATCCGTTGTGTCGTTCCCATTGCTACTTCAAGCAGGCACAGTGCTTGGGGCATCAGCTGGGGTGAAGCTCAGCGACAAAGCATCTATGCTGACCCCAAGTATGACGATGGATACTACTCTTTCGATGATCCACCCTCTACTGGTCTGGGTGCGGCTCGTATGTCTGCTCTCCTCACATATCGAAGCCGCAACTCCTTTGAGTCGCGGTTCGGACGCAACATTCCCGACCCGTCCAAGGTTCAAACCATCGGCGGCCGACCACGCCCTTCAACTCCGTCAGAAGCACACTTTCACATCCACAACGATGGTCATGTTGTCAAGCGCACCTCCATATCCCAGAATAGTGCAACCGACGCCGCTTCAGCTCCTCAAACACCTGCAGAGCCTGATGTTGCTGACCCTCAATTCCATGGTCCTAGCAATGGTAGTCTGACCGGAGGGGAGATGCCACAATCGCACTACTTTTCTGCCCAATCGTATCTGCGGTACCAAGGTCGTAAATTCGTTACACGATTCGACAGCAATTGCTACATTGCCATGACTCGTAAATTGGACACACATGACGTGTCGCGCAACCGAGCAGAAACTATTGCAGATGCATTGGCTATGATTCAGCAACCCACACTTGTCTTGGGTATTGAAAGCGATGGCCTCTTTACATTCGCAGAGCAAGAGGAGATTGCTCAGCATGTCCCTAACGCGCGCCTCGAGCGAATCGAGAGCCCCGAGGGTCATGATGCGTTTCTGCTGCAGTTTGAGCAAGTCAACAACTATGTTCTATCCTTTTTCAAGGAAGTCCTGCCAGACATCATGTCCAAGGATGGTGCTGCGCCCGAGGAAGCTAGTGTTGGGCAGATTACCAAGTCAAGCACATTTGGTGAAGCTGAGGTCGAGGACATCACAGCCTGGTAGACTATTTAGAGTAGGGCCAAGGCGCTATAGTGGACAAGTAAAAGGATTAGACAAGACTGAATATAATAACAATATGAAGAACATTTCATCATGGCCATTTTGTCTTTGAGCTATGCGAGTGCGATAGTTCACGCTATTGTTCTTTGTAATCTCGATACGTAACAACACTGTAGGCTGTATCCATCAAACAACACCAAAAACTCATAGGTGCCTGAAGGGTGCAAGACAAAGTTGAACTACATGTGATGAACGGGCAACGAGTCAGTTGTACTGGGCTGCCCATGATTTGAGGTGCTTCAATTACCAGTCTCTGCCCAAATATCCACCAAAATCTGGTAAACCTGTCTTGAGTGTAGAACGTCAACTTTCTTCTCCAAGGATGCAACTAGTACAAATGCTATTACAATGAACCTGGCCCTGATAAGCCTCATGTGTTCCAACTGCTGGGTCGATTTTGCTTTACCGGTTTATAATCATGCATATACTATGCATAAAGTTCTTTGCTTATTGATGAACTGATCAAAAACTGTCGTGCCACAAATTCAGATCCTGTGTCTTTCATGTGATACGGACACGAAGTACTTTAGTTACGATGGTATTACTTATAAGAACACCCTATGACTTTCCGGAGAACAGACGATGGATGTCGCGCTTGGTTCTTTGAATAGAACAGGGTTACCTACCCATATACTTGCTCATCCGTCTTTATTCCCGGCCAAACCATGTTGCCATCTTTAAGCCACATGACACCAATCTGCTTTAATGACAAAAGCTGCCATCCATCAATAATAGGAATCTTACTTACCGATACATGGACTTGTCACATTCATGAATCAAGCCACTGCGGGACATCTCGCACTGAAGATGAATATCGTGGTGGTGGCAGCAGGCTAAAACATGAGGTTGTTGCAGGAGTGACATGCATGGAATGCACACATATGAAAACAGGAGAGACACGCACGAGGAAACCAATTAGACATGGGATTCGCTTATTCGCACTCTTGTGCGTTGTTTCCGGAGACTTTGTGTAAACGTGCTGCAAGTTGATGATTAGTTGCGGCTGTTGAGATGTCGCTCTATCCGCCACAAATTACTTTGGCTTCCATTTTGATGGGTTGGGGGTGCAAGGAGTTCTAAAGGTGAAAGAATATGTACCAGGAAACTATGCGCCTTGTCTATCTCGCAGAATATGATGGGGGTGTTGTCTTGAGTCAAGCCGGGAAGTGAGACATAACACTCGATCATGAAGATAAACAGCGCATGGCCAGGCACCGGCAAAGAATATAGGATTGAATCGAAATACACATGAGATCCAAAAGTCAGAAACGGACCGGATTGCTTCCTAATAGCTATGCGATATGTTGGAATGTTATGCACCTTGGTGAAAGATTCAGAGGCTGAGTTTGGCAACTCATACACCAAATACAAGGAAATACCGTAACTTCGCTAATCATCAAACCAAGACCAAGACCACCTCTTGTCATCTGCTAGGAACTTACAGAGAGAAGTAAAGGCTCGGCTAAACTCGCACCAAGGATGTTTCTTTGACGTGTAACTGACTGATAACCCACTGGCCCACCGGCTTACGAGTTCCTCAACTACAGGACCCCTAGCAACAGTTTCAAGAGGCACAGGATTAGTAAATCTTTCAAGGTACAATATGACACAATATGAGAAATTTGCAAAGCCGGTGGAGGATCATGTTAAAGAGCAACACACGTGGATAACCGATTGGTTGGTTGCAATAACTGTGGCCACAGCCCCTTGTCAAAATGTACAAAAGAACGATGAGCTGAAAAGTTGACAAGACAACAAGAATGAGGCGAGAGAATGGAAGAGTGATGAGACGAGAGGAAACCTATATCCGTCGGGCGACTGCTCTTGGCCCGTCTTGGCTCGGTCGGTGCTGCCGGAATGCATTTCTTCACCGAGAATGACAGCGGTATGGGATTGAGGGGGAAACACGGCGATAAGTCATGAGATGGAGCTGAAAAGATAGAGTATCCCTAGTAAATGACTAGAGCTATGCTTTAGGTGACGGGTTCAAGTGGCAGGCATCCAGAGGAAAGTTGGTCGCTGAAAGAATAAGGTACGAAATTACAAAGTCAACTTACCGTGTCTAGACCACCGTCTTGGATTATTTATTTCTGTACCCAAGGCTTAGACGCCAGCTTTTCTGTTACCCGCTAGGCATGGCAGATTAATAAGATTAGCAAAACATATCGCGTACTCAGGAACAGAAGCACGGCCAGTAAAAACCAAACACAGACCCGTAATACGTAACTTTTTAGTTAATATCAGGCGAGCTACTGTCTTTTCTCAGGCGATGCCAGAAGCCTAGACATTTGTTAGTGAACAAGACATATTAGCATCGGACGTTTTTCTAGTAGTATGTACAGACACTTTGTTCAGCTATTTCCTGCATCCTGAACACCAAAGTCATGTTTTTTTTTACCATCAAATCTTTGTCCTCTAGATCCATGTTGTGGCAAACTTCAGAATGCGGCTAGAAGCATTTTCGAACAAGATGGTGGAGACTGTCTGACAACGTGCCGGATGGGTCTGACATTGATTGATCTTGTTTTCTCTTGGCCACCATGTGTCAAGAAGAGGAGCCCGGCCGTTTCACTCGTGTGAGTAATGGATAGATACGAGTCACACTTGACGGAACTCTTCAATGTTGCTCAATGCAAATAGCCGCGCACGACCCAATTTGCTAGAGCAAACCGGGATGGAGCTTGCTATTTGCTCGCAGTCGTCTGTAGGAACCTCTTGGGTGATGAAGAAATGACCAATCCAGTGTCTCACTGAGCAGATTGTACAGCGTGCACTTTTACGTACAATTGAAAAGTACGCCCGTCTCGGTGCTTTCCCCTGCCTCCATCTCGTTGTCAGATAACTCAGACAGGCAGATGGTGTAAGCACGTGTTGGCGAGAAAGAGGGGAAAGTCAACAAAGAATGTTGTGTAATGCAGCCTGGTAAAGAGGTTGCTGTCGATCTTTTTCTCCTTCGTCATCGATATGCTGCTTCGATACGATGCAATGAGGATGGATATAAAAAGTTCGGCCATTATACATGTCGATCCAAGGCGAAAGAAACGCCGGTAAAATCTTGAAAGCTCCCGGTCGGCGAGATCTGCGACCAAGTGACCACGGTGAGATGGAATGAATGCTCGATGCGGCACAATGTGGGTATGCGATGGATCCATGGAACGACTCTATTGTTTCTGGAAGTTTTCCCATGACAGAAGTAAACTCACGAGTGCCTGAGGCGTCCAAGATTTGTTCTGGAAAACAGGGGCCAAGGGGTTTTGTCTGAGTGTGCATCACATCAGACAGGTTTAATTTCTGTAACACGACGTCAAATTTGATCCTCAGCCAAGACGGTACAAGCGAACCAACGGCAAGATATTCCTTAGATGGCAGGAGAAATTGGTTCCTCCTGAATCTAAAGAGGTCGCAACGCCTCTTATTCAAATAAACTCTGTTTGCATCCTCACCACACCTGAGCCCAGCCAGAGAGAGAATGTACAGATAGCGAAACGACCCTGGTCTTCAAGTGGGGGGGCAGCCCTTTCAGTGTGTAAGACGCGGGCGTTAGGTCGACTTCTCTCCACCAGGGCGAGTTTGGCCACTGGTGTCCGATGGTTCCAATTGGTTGAGAGGAGGGTAGTGGATGACAAGGGACTGCATGGGTGTATCTGTTCGGACAGGGAGTGAAGATGTCGTTTTCTCGTCTTTCCGGCCGTAAGCTGGTTGAAATTGTGGTTTGGATCTTGTCCAACAAAACGCGGTCGTGGCTAGCCTATCTCGTTTTGCAAAGCACCGAGCGTACGTTCATGCTATTCTAGATGAAGGAGGTGGTCGGTGTTTAGCAGAATGACCTGCTTTGGACAAGGCGGGCCTGGTGGGTTCCCTAAAAGCATGGGCAACCTGGTGTTCCATTCATGTCAGTGGTCTGCAATGAACCCTCAACGCTGACTGGCTCGGGGAGGCTCGAGTGGGTGTGCGGTGGACTTTCCATCTTGCTTCTTCCTCGGCTTCCAGAGGAAGAATACTGAGCTCTGACTGGTGAGTGGCTTGGTCGGAGATTCCATTATGGAAGGCGTGCGCAGATGTGTCTCCACCACTGCACCTGCCTCAAAATCACCACCCATCTCGTTACAGACGGTAGGAGCAGGAGCAGGCACGGTACCTTCGTCCATCCCCATACGTAAAAGTACCAACCTGGCAGGCACGGCTCGCACGCTATATCCGGCCGTACCTATCTAATCCCAACTGCCCGGTCCTGTCAAGAATCCTCTCAACTTCTCCATTTCTCGTCCATACGTATTGTTATTATTAAAAAAAACATAATATTCCCTTCCTTGTATCTACAGTCTCGTTCCATTCTTTCATCGCTCTGACACTGGACCTATCGTAAACTCCAGCACTTGTCGCATCCATCGACCCTCACGAACCCGCACCTCCGACGGTCAGCGACGCCGAAACTCCGACCCATGGTATCATTATCGTACTTGAACAATACATCGACGCTTTATTGCTTTTAGTAAACTATCGCCGATTAGATTTGGGATCTCGCAATAGAAGGAAACCTGTTTTGGTATCAATATTGGAGCCCACCGTCTCAAACACTCATCATCTGCGAACTGGATCAATTGGACACGGCCTGAATTTCAGCGAATTGCGATTTGAGGGAAAGAATATCATTTATTGACTGGGTTCGAATATCAGAATTGAACATTCTGATGAAGAGTTGGATGGATTAATCAAAACATCGCCGACAACGAAACCTTGGCTCTTATGCATTCCTGATCTCAGAGAAACAGCGCCCAAAGAGGTGGAGATCAGTATCGCAAAACTCACCCCGAAGTATCCTCATCTCGAACAACCCATGTCGTCGATTACAGATATCATCGCTCCCGATATTCCTCTACCATAAATTTAAAGATGCCAGACTACGACGATGACATGCTCCCCGAGCCTGCTTCCGGCTCTCATCAGGATCGAACTTGGGGCGGTAACAACGCTTTTCACAACTTCTTTAACGATTTCTCTCACATCCCTGACCCCAATCTTCGCCGCCGTCTTGCCTTGTCTGAGATTGACAAGGTTCCTTTTGGCGCATACCGTATGTAATGACGCTGAGTCGATAAGTCACCTATTATATCTACTCTTGCTGACAATTATCAGATATCCGTGCTGTTCTAGTAGCAGGTGTTGGCTTCTTCCTGGATTCATATGATATCTTTGCTATCAACCTCATCACGATACTCCTTGGAGTTGTGTTCTGGGGAGATCCAAATCCTCAAAACGGTTTTAGCGGCAATGACGGCTACCTTCCTGACCGAGTCAACCAAGCTTTCAAAGCATCCACCAGTGCTGGTATTGTGGTGGGCATGATAGTATTTGGATGGCTAGCAGAGTTAGTACTCCTATCATTACAGGCTTCACCCTTGGATTCCACAACCATGTACTAACAACTCAACCAGTGGTTTTGGTCGACGACGTATGTATGGTGTTGAATTGGCCATCATTATCATGGCAACACTCTGCTGTGCTCTCATTTCTTCGAGCCCTGCTATGGGATCAACCGGCCTCCTGATCTTCTGGCGCATCATCATGGTAAGCTATCTGAACTCACTCACAACAACATGTATTGACAAAGTCCAGGGAATTGGCATCGGCGGTGACTATCCATTATCCAGTGTTATCACGTCTGAGTAAGTTGTCATTCATAGCCATGGGAAGTTTTGCGGCCGGTCTAGCCTCCACCAAACTTCCAACACAGGCACTTCTATCGAATCGAGCTGACTGGTCTCAATAGATTCGCTCCGACAAGATGGCGCGGTGCTATGGTTGCTGCTGTCTTCTCTATGCAGGGACTTGGACAGCTAGCGGCTGCTATTGTTGCCCTGATTACTACCGTTGCGTTCAAGAATGCTTTTGTTGGTATTACTGACGAAAGTCAATGTGGCTACGAGTGTCGATTAGCTGCCGACCGAGCATGGCGAATCATTGTTGGAGTCGGCGCTATTCCTGCTTGTGCCGCTCTTTATTACCGCATTACGATTCCCGAAACGCCTCGATATACATTCGATGTTGAACTCGATGTTGAAAAAGCCGATGCCGACATCAAGGCATACGTAGCGAGCAAGTCCAAGGGGTCATTCGATGTGGTTCATCAGGTCCGATCCAAGCGCCCATCTACGCGTGGTCTTAATGTACCGCGTGCATCGTGGTCTGATCTTATTGCATTCTTCCGCCAATGGACCAACATGAAGATGCTTCTTGGCACAACCCTCTCGTGGTTCTTCTTGGTAAGTCTTGACAACAGACTTGTCGTTGCTCTAGCTAATCTTTCTGAAGGATCTGGCTTTTTATGGTTTGGGACTTAACAACACCTTTATCCTTCACGCTGTCGGCTACGGTGCTGGCAACAATCTTTTTGACAAACTTCAAAATCAAGCAGTGGGAATGATTATCTTGACTTGTGCTGGCTCGCTTCCCGGCTATTGGACGGCAATTCTCACCGTCGACACTTTCGGTCGCAAGCCATTGCAGGTTGTGGGCTTCCTTCTGCTCACAATTCTCTTCTGCGTTCTTGGTTTTACATACAACAATCTGACTCAGGGGGGCTTGCTCGCACTGTACATCGTCGGGCAGTTTCTTTTCAACGCTGGTCCGAACACAACCACGTTCATCGTTCCTGGTGAATGCTTCCCGACCCGATATCGCTCTACTGGACATGGAATCAGCGCTGCTATGGGCAAGATTGGTGCTATCGTCGCCCAAGCTATCAGCATCCCGATGGTTCGCCAAGGAGCCCCCGAGAATTGCAAGGATGCTGACTGCACACCAAACATGCATCGATTGCTCCAACTCTTTGCTCTTTTCATGCTGTTTGGTACCTTTACCTCTTTGTTGATCCCCGAGACCAAGGGCATGACCTTGGAGGAGCTTTCTGGTGAGCCTAGGACGAGTTACAACTCGGGATGTAACGGAAGCATTAGTCTTGGTTCACCCAAACTCAGGGCATGGAATCCTTTCCATGGCGGCCAGCCTGCAGGATTCTCATATCCTAGATCCAGAGCGGGACAGTTTCGAAAGAGCGATCGTGTTGGCATCATGACATCGCCGGAGCTCATGGCCGAAACATCTCGACTTCGAAAAACGCGTCTCTGGAGGAGACATCGCAAGGCCAAGTCGAGCAGTGGTACCGATATCGCCCTAAGTACCCGAAGCTCGGGTACAGCAGACGACGATATCTTCCCGGCAGGGCCACCTACTACTACTACTACTACTACTACAACCAGTCCTCCTCCGCCACCTCCACCGAGTTGGGGAGCTGGCTGGGGACGGATAGACCGAGGAGGACCACCTCCATTGTTGAACTCTGTTCAGTTACAGGATGTCGGTAGCCTTCTTACAAAATGATGTTTTGGATGATCAAAACTGGTGAACGATTGGCATATCACAGGCGTTGGTGGAATAATGAAATTTAGACTATGATACCTTAGATGTTTGATTTGGGAAATATGTCGAATTTAATGTCGGCAACAGGAGAATTGCAGGCAGGAATGACTGCAAATTGTACGAATGAATAACGAATAAAAAATCCCCTCAACATTTACGTCCCAAGATATATTGTCAGTTATTAAGTCTGCTTGGCTCACATGGTCAAATAATGAGATGGTCTTGTTTAGTCGAGTCTGGTATCTCCCTTGGTTACAACTGATCAAAAGATGAAATCATAGATTGAATGTAGTAGAATGCATCATCTCTATTGTCTACATGTTCACCATTCTAACTCGATCCAGTCCATGTTTAAAGCAATATGTCCACCATCTTTCTATGAACGAGACAACAACTCAATTCCGAACTTATCCCATCGAACCCCTAAACATTAATATTAACCACGGAGAACCTTAAGAGCCTCCTTCAGGTTAGCAATGTCGCGAGTGAGCTTTTCACGTTGGTCTCTGCTGAGCATGTCCTCACCGGCAATAACCTCAAGTTGCTCAGGAGTCATGTGGAGAGCGACTCTCTCAGAAAATACAGCAAGCGGGCCAATTGAGGCATGTAGGAGGAAATGATCGATGACTTGCTGGCAAACAACATCCACAAAGCGGCCGCGGGCATTGTCGTAGAAGGTGTGAAGAACATTGTGAATATCCCGACGGGTGGTACTGAGGGCGGTCTCTCCGTTGAACTTCTTTTCCATAAGTTTACGGGTCGATGCCGCTATGCTTTTTATGGTGGCTGGCTTCTCGAACTGATAAGAGTCCATGATTTCCTCAACGTCCTTGCCAAGGCCTTTGATATGAGCGAGCTTAAGGTCACTGAGAGATTGGTTGAAGTTTGGGTCGTACGTTATACTTTTACCCTCAAATTCGACCTCGAGCAGAAACTCAACATGGTCGATGGCACGACGGTAGCGCTTTTGGAGATCTTCGAAAAGGAACTCCCAGAGGGGACCGCGGATTAGAGGATCGGGACAGCACGAGTCTAGGACCGTTCGGATGAAGTGGTGAACAATGAGAATGGCGTTGGAGACGTGGGCTTGAGTCATGGGACGCCATTTCTTTGATTGTTCTTTGAACGTGACGGGGATCATTTCACCGCTGAACTATAAGGGGTCAGCTTTAAGCCTCCTGTCTGGTCGAGTGGTAAACCTACAGTTCCAATCTCGTAACCTCGTGAGCTCAAGTACTCTTTTTCAATATAGGCCAGTATGTCTTCGTCCAGAGGCTCGTCGCAATAGTATGGATCGTAAAGAATGTCACCCACCAAATCGTCTTCGCCAAGCAAAGGAATCTTGAACGTCATCTCCTCATACAAATCCTCTCTATTGACATCAACTGTAGAGAATGGATCAGAGGCATCAGCGTCCTCGCTTGGCTCTTTTCTGTCCTCGTTGCCAAACTCAGAGAAGTTTCGAGTATGCCCTTTATCGTAGAGAACTTTTCCAAAGCCCTCGTTGATCTCGCGGATACGAGTAATGAGCTTGAGCTCCTCGTTCTCAAAGATTCTGTGTCGTGTGTAATAAGCGTCGAGGCCGTAGTTGGTGATCTGTGCGAACCGGGCAGCGATTTCACCGATATAGACACGCTGCTCTGCTTCTGTGCTGCGTGACTGACCCAACGATTTGAGAAGAGCCTCATACTCTTTGCGCCTGGAATCAAGTTCAGAACGAACCTTGGGAAACTCGCTCTTCGTGCGGTTCATCAGAAGTTGTTGGACACGAACTTTGAGGGCTGGAATGCCACATCGATCGGGAGAGAGTCTAGTCCAGGGAGCTTTGGAGAAGAATTCTTTCTCCGATCTAGTCCGTTGTTCAGGGCTAGAGGAATTGTCATCCGCACTTCTGTTTTTGACGATGCAGTATCCGAGCTCGAGATCACGGCGTCCACCACGGACAAGGTTGAGTACGACCTCCTTGTTAGCATTCTCGGTGACCAAGTCCGGCTTCGTCAGGACACCAAGGGTGCGCTTGCCCTCGGGATCAACTTCCTTAGCGTAAGTGAGAATCTTCTGATTGGCAATGTCGCCGTTACAAGGGACGACAGCAAGGATGATGGTTCGAGATTCTATGATGTATTTCTGCACCATACTTTTGACAAGATCGATGTCCTCTTTGGTGGTTACTCCAGGAGTAACGTTCTCAAACATACCAGGGACATCGATAACAGTCAAATGATCCTCGTTGGGTCCGCTGATTTCCACGCGAAGAACGTCGCGACTGAATGCAGAACCAGAGGATTCGTCAGCAGATTCCGACTTAATGCCCATGGCTTTAGCTGCCTGAGATGAGTTAGCGGCATGTTCAACGTGAGCAGATGGGAGGGATTCGACATACATCTTGGAAAATCTGTGCAAACTCCTCGGCGTCGAGGTTAGTGGCAGTTCGGCGAAATGAGTGAGCCTGTTCGGAGTCCGCATCGACAGCGTGTATAGATACGACGATACTCTCGGTTTCTTCTCGTCGACAGATAATCTCGGTCGCGTGACGAGTACAGAGCGTCACCGAGCGCGGGAAGTGAAAGCCAGTGAGAGATTCGAGGACACTCGACTTTCCAGCGCTCTGATCGCCTACTACTACCATCTAGAGTAGCATTAGTATTAATGCACATCACCCGTTGGCGGATCTTCAGGCAGGCTGGGGTGACATACCTGAGGAAGCGGGACCATGTTCGAGATACCGAGCTCTCTCAGCTTGTCCATCTTATCGAGGAGGGCTCGATTAGCGAGACCCTCGCTCGACTTATCAGTCTTGGCCACCATCTCTGTAACTGGAGCCTTGGGAATTATGTTAGTGCTCTTTATGACTATCTTCTTCCTCTCTTTGTCATAAAGGGTACTGCTAGTCGCGTGGTCTTTGCTCTCTGGATTGGTGAAGTATACTGAGTCTGTTTTGGTGTCGAAAGAAAAGAAAGGAATTGTTCTCAGATCAGGTATTTATATCTGAGCTAGGTAGCTCATTCAAGTCTTGCACTGTATTCACACGAGTCCGGCTGTGGACAAATAGAGAGGCTAAGGTGGCGGTTGCTTGCTTGCTTGCAGCAGGAGGCCCATCGCCACCAGCCTTGTTGCCTTGAGAAGTAGATCAATGCAATGCTGGTACTTTGCATATAGATAGTTAAATGATTCACTGCCGGTGCTGGTCACAATTTTCTACTTCTATCTGTATGTGGCTATCCGGCTGAGTAGATGCCTAGCTATGAGAACCAACAAGAGAAACACGATGGCACCACTAACATGATACTGAAGATGCCATGATTACGCCGAGTTAATTTCATTAGACCATACATAATACAGAAAACATCAGATGAATTAACTGTTTGTCTTGCACAATCTCAGGTTCACTCACCGGGCAACGAATCAAGCCTATTAACCTACATACCAAATTTCAAGTCGGAGGCCGACCACTCCAAAGGCACTAGTAACCAACCGAGCTATAATTGGGATATTCTATGTGAAATAATGGAATATGACGCGAGACTCACAGGGACCAATAGCAGTTACAGTTAGTCTTGGTAAGGCGCAGCAGGACCGGGCCGCTGCGTCGGAGGCCAGCATATCCATCTGTACCAAGGCAACTTGCTTGACCAGCACATGAGGCAGCCAAAACAAAGTACAACTCAAAATGAGATAACACAAGACGAAAATTCAGATAATCATTTAATTGACTCGATGCTTGGGTATCTCGCTAAACAAAAACTCCAAATCCTTTCCTTTTCGTCCCTTCCTTCCATACTGCAAAGGGTATCCACTCATACTTCGTAGGGTATCAAATTACCACAAAGAAACAATTTCCGTAACAGGCAAACCACATGCAGAGATAAGATCCTGTCTCTTCATGTACCAAGCCTCAAGTAATGCCATCTCCACAGCCCCAGAGGCCTCTGTCATGTTCGCCAACGCGGGCCCAACAGTCTTGGGATTCAGTGCCGGGTCCAACACGCCGCGCGGAGAAGTGCATCGCGATGCAGGCTGCAAGGCTGACTCGAGAGTATGTACAAAACGCTCGGACAATGAGTTGTTTGTGTTTGTGTATTGCTTTGCCGTGGCAAGGCAACGTCTTGCTTCATCGGTTATGAGGACGGGGTTGGTGATGATATCTTTGAAGAGAGGGTGTTGAACCAAGATGATGAGAGTCATGCCGGCTATGCTTAGAACTGAATTTGTAGTTAGTAAGAGTACCTTTATGGAACTATTAAAAACTTACCGATGGCAGATTGACTATCAGGAGGCCCGTCAAAAGTGATCAATCTCTTTTCGCGTGCCATGATATCCTCAAGCTCCACGCTTGCAGCGTAACATGATTCAAATAATCCAGTAAGCATCGATCTCGCTATGAGGGATGCTGGGTGGGTTGTGTTACTGCTGATGAGCTTCATGATAGCCGCTCGAGGAATCAAAGCTTTGGTTTCGAGATACCTATTCGTGTTAGAATCATAAAGTCGCGTATTGGTAAAGGGTATCGCCATACCTCATGCGCAGCAGAGTAGCCTGGCGGCGAAAGATTGCTTCGGGCTGTGTGCAGGGAAACTTGACATGCAAATGCTCGGGCAGTGCAGCATGCCATTCCTCCAACTCACAGTCAAACTTGAGTGCAGTGGACATGATGTCTGAGGTTGTTTCTTTGTTACAGCTTGTTTTCTGGCTGAAGTAGGCATCGTGAATAGGCAGCAGAATGTTGTCGGATAGTCTTAGTGTTTGGTTAAAGAAAGACAATCTGGAGGGAATGTCGCAAGGTTGGGTCCTGTTGATGTTATTTGCGAAAGTCTCAAGATGTTCGTCGTCAATTTCCTCGGGCAATGTGCCAAATGATGGTCTTTGGCTCTCGGAAGAATTTTGCATTCTAACAAGTAGAGCACAAGCACACCATGTTCTCCTTCGCTCCTCGCGCTCGGCCTGCGATTTCCCTGGTAACTCAGCATGAAGCATAAGACCCTCTGCAAGACGATAAGCCATCCCAGTCAAAACCCAACTCTCCTGAGGTGCACCCGCCCTTCGCAAGAACCGAGTGTGAACACCTAACGCCTGTACTACAGGAAGAGAGGCCACGGATAAGAGGTCGACGAGCAGGAGTGTCTTGGCTTGTTGATGGAATTCGTATGCGTGAGCCAGGTGAGATTCTGTAGATTCAGTGACGGTGGATCTAGCTAGTTGGCCGATGGCAAGCATTCCGAAGAGGAGGGAGTAAGTAGCGGCGAGTTCGGTTGCTTCTTCGAGGGGAATGTCGCGACGATAACGAGAGTTGGCGACAGCAATGAGGCGATGATACCGTTGGTAGAAAGTTGGACGGTGGACGATAGGCATCGTGATCCAGTCAATGTTGAAATACTCGGCTAGTAGCTCGTCCATAAGGTCCACTGGAGGAAGGGTGATCTTTTGGAGCATCAAAGCAGCCTTGACGTTGGAGGAATAGGAACCGAACGATGAGGGCTTGACGGGAGCGGCATCTTCGAGATCGTCGGTCAAGGGTGGACTGGCACCCATGGAATGATGCTGGCGAGAGTAGCAGCTGGCAGGTTCATGAACCATGGGTAGGGAACCGGCTCTGGTGGGGATACTAGGAAGAGGATATCCGGAATCGATATGAATTGGTGGAAGAGCATGATCAACGGGTCTCGGAGGACGTGTTAGACGCTCGGAAACCACACTGGGAGATGTAGAGTGTTTCCTCCATTCATCATGTGCAGGCGTAGTAGCGGCGAATGCATCGCGGCCATGGGATACAAGCTCCTACAAGGTGTAAGTAAACTGACCATGGCAAGTGACAAGATGAGCAAGGTACTTGGTTTAAAAAGACTTACCAACTGCTTTTCTTTTTCTTCAAGCTCTTGTACACGTTTTTGGAGAGCGCGGATATAGCTATCGCAAGTCAATCTCTATGTATCTACATGGTGGAGTTCTAATGTTGCTCACCTGCGCGACGAAGCGATGGACCCTTCGTGCTCAATCTCTGGATAAATACACTGTTCCGCACAAAGACCTCGTCTAGAACAAGAATCGCAAACGGGACGGGCGCCGTCGCAGCGGATTTTACGATCGCGACATTGTCGACAAGCGAGGGATCTCGCTTTTCCAGGTCTTGCGGAAGCCTGTCGGCGCGTCGCAGTTGTGGCCGACGAGCCGGTCGCGCAGGTGTTGCCGCTGCTGGTGGGGGTAGAAGACTTTGTCCGTGTCATTATTGTCTTGTCCTGTCTCTGGGGAAAGGATAACAATAACAATGAAGGTAGGAGGTCAAATTAAGGTAAAGAGACCGTCGTCATTGATGAGGATGATCGTTCAAGTTCAACGGAGGAGAAGTGGTCAGGCCAAATTTTGGACTCGTCTATCTTAGGACGGTCGGTCGGTCGCTCCCCTTGACTCAGGCATTTGGTCTGGGCTTGACCTTGCGAGTTGATCTAAGACGGGCACCGGGGTGGCCATTTTGAGCGGTTGTCGGTAGCTTGTTGTCAGAGGTCTGGATTGATGCCAAGTGGAGATTTTTAGTAGACGGGTATCGGACCATCGGCGAAGTAATTTAGGAAATGATTTGGGAGGCACGTGGTGAATGTGAGGATTGCATAAGATAATACTAAACAGTCTTTATTACTGTATAGTAGATAAGTCTCTGTGGCTCTCTATAATGCACCCCAGATAAAGGATCTTGAGTAGATTTTTAGTGTTGCGAAAAACCCTCCACTACATTACAGTACAGCGGATACTTAGCACTCGTGACAGTTCGGCCGTCGGCCACCGGCTACATTCATTGGCGTTGCTAATGATCGGCTCCATCGAGGGTTTAGACAACTCCCCGACCTCCCCGACATCCAGAACAAGGGTCTTTTTCGTTTACTATTACGTATTGATCACTGATCAACTCATACTTTTTGATGTTGAGATAATTATGGGTATTAAACAAAAAATATATAATCATGATCTTTTCTGACATGATTTTTATGCTGTCATGACCTGAACCTGTCAGTATCGAACGAATCAATTGTCTCTAAACTCCCCGTCACTGGACACTGCAAAATTCAAGAGGCACGCGACATAAAGTCTCGGCCCATCGCGCGGCCTCTTTCTTCTTCACCCTCCGACTTCCGCCACTAAAATTTAGGCCTCCGAGCTCCCCGTGACTTGGGACCCAGTGACGTGATGCGCCATGAAAATCTTGATGTTACCCATCATTCCCGTCTTTTGTCCGCCGTATCAGCAACATTTCAAATGTCACTAATATTCCATCATAGGAAGGTGGAGTTTTCAATATGCGGTTGAATCTGAAAATGCTATTTCATGTCTAATGAAAATAAATCCACATAACTTGAGTAAATCAATATGCATACCTGCATAGTATCTTGGTGTAATTACAATATAATACGTATAGTAGTAGTCTGTAGAGTGGAGTGTTGTCCAGGCATAGTGATGGTGATAGCCTCAACAAACAATAAAATCCACATAACTCAGTGATGGGCCGATTGTAATAGATAATTTTTAATGCTCTATTATACTTTGTGTATCAGTGTTCCATACAGAAGGTTGTTCCCGTAGGGCTATTTTCGTAGGCCTGATCAAGATTTGCCTTGGTAGTATTCGGCATAAAGAATGGTAATGAAAACAACACATCATTGACAACTCAACATCATCCGAATTGTAGTTTACCAGAAGATGTTATAAATCTACGTCTACCATTATAGTTTACTGGTGTGATCAACATCACTAAGTAATATCAAAAGGTCGCGTTCGCTACCTGGATGTTCTTTATACAACTTCAACTCTTGGAGATAACAGAATAGACTTCCAAAAATGCCCAACTATTGTCAAGTTAACCCTTATCAGTAAACATTCTTCAACTTTCACTCTTACCTCAACAATTCATTACCCCTCTTGCCTACTCAATATTGCCCATTTCTCACCATACCACAAATCACATCCATCATGGCAGACTCCCCACAACCCAAATGAAAAGCGGAAGGCCTGGTGCACCGCCTGCTAGGCCCATTCCGATCTCCCAATAACTATCTTTCCAAAAATCTTGACCTCACAGGCAAAACAACTCTCGTCACAGGCACAACCAGCGGTCTTGGACTCAAGCATGTCGACAACTCCCCTCCCACGGCGTGTCTCAACTCATCATGAGTGCACGAACCGAGATGAGAGGAGAAGCAGTGGCTAGTGAACTTCGGATCCAATATCCCCATGCTGATATCCAAGTCTGGACTTTGGAGATGGAGGCATATGACTCCGTCATTGCTTTCGCTGAACGTGCGGTAGTTGAATTGGATCGTCTCGACATGGTTATTCTAAACGCTGGAACCTTTGAATCAGATGCCTCGGTTTCGCCCTATACAGGAACCGAAAAGATGTTTCAGGTCAATTGTCTCTCCACGGCCCTCCTAGCCAGACTTTTCGTCCCCGTGCTCAAGGTAGTTTCTCCAAAAGGGGAAACATCACGGTTAACAATCGTCATTGCTGGGCGTTACAACCCCCAATGGTACAAATCTAAGCCGACAGCATATGATGATATGTATCGTGCCGACTTACTGAAAAAGTCAAATTTCTTCCGCCGCCGTTCCCTGAGGGAGCGATTTCTCAAAACCAAGATGTTGCTGCAGCCGTACCTGTCTGCGCTGGCCGCTGTCGTCAACCCCGAGGAAGTAACCACTAATCTCGTAACCCACGACCTCGTCAGAGACACTCAACTCGCCGACAAGATGATGCGCGCGACATGGTTTCGTGGATCGGTCAAGGGTGTATATGCACTCGTTGGTAGAACTCTGGAGAAAGGCGCAGCATCCTACATTGATGCAGTAGCTGTAAAGGGTAGAGAATCCCACGGCAGAATCATTCTCGACTGCCGGTACGTACTATACATATTGATCCTGAGCGACCACATGCTAACTATGCTGGAAAACCAGCATGTTGGATCGCTGTAAGCCCGTAATACAGCAAACGTTGAATCTTCGGTCTATAGCCGAGCTCGAGTTCCGCTTTCTCTTTACAGGTAAGGAGACTCTAGGAGCCAAAATCTATAATGCTGGTCCGGATAAAATACTGCATAATCGCCTAAGTAGACGATCTCATACGTGAACTGCAGTGGCGCAAAGTTCAATTTCACCTGGGTAGACAGAGATAATCTTTTGGCTAAATCAAATAATTACCAATTGTTGGATAAAAGTGTACAAATATTTGACAAGGATTAGGAAGGATTGACTTACAAGGTTTCTCTCGAGGCACGTTATCATTACCACCCACCTGGTCAGTCCAGTCCGGTCCAGTCCATTCCAGCCCGTGCCTGAATGTTACCTTGAACGACCAGGATCAAGGGATTTATTTATACGCCCCTTGTTCATCGCTTTGTGGCGCTTTAGGGTTCAATCTATAGTCAATCTTGTCAAAAAGAAGACGGATGGAGTTTTATTACTCCGTAACTAATAAACTATATGTCATGTCCTGGATTCAGTCGGACAAGCCGGAGCTTCGGCAGTTGACTTTGACAGTAGGCGACCTGAATGAAGCCTTGACATTTACTAATTGGAACTGACATGTACCTTATCCCACATGCTTATAAACTTACATGTCATTATCATGACATGGCAGCAGCAGTAATGTGAGAGTTCAGCTTTACCAAGCCAATATGCCTACTTGGTATACATCTTGGCATAAACGTGTTCACTCTTGAGCTTCTCAACACTCACATTTTACATATTGAGGCCCGAGACAAACCCAAATAACATTAGATACACAAGATGAGAATGTTGTCTCGGCTAGTCTCATGACCGTTTTCGTGATGACGGAAGTGGACGAACATTGGAAAAATGCGAGTCATTGACTACATCGGCATTGACTACATCAGGGCCCATGTAAGCCACCGGACCTATAGGGTGTAACACTTTAATTGTCACTAAATTTGACAGATAACGCCATCACAAAGGTTAATCTAAATGCTGACGATATGATTGAAGAAACTGAAATAGTGTATTATGTATAGTAGTATAGTATAAGCCGTGTCTATCATTTATGTGCAGGCAACACAAAAGAAGTATTGGTAATGCATAATGCTTTTAAAACTGACAAACCAAACCAATAATTCTTTAGCACATTAATAGATGTCGTTTCATGTGTCGTGTCAGATCAAATCAGACGAGACTGGATGACGCTTAAGCCTTGGTGGTGCGGCGGAAGCGAGAGTGCTCAATGTAGTTGGAGAGAGAGCGCTCAGTAATCTCCTTCTCAACAAGGGCATCGATCTCCTCAAGGTCACGCTTGGTGCGCTTGGTGGTCTTGTACCAGTTGGCAGCAGGGTCGCCAAGACACTGGCCGACGGTAACAGCTGAATAGATATGTTAGTATCAGTTAACAATGGTTGGCATGTAATGAGTGACTTACGGATACGAGTGCTGCGGCTGACGGCGTCAAGGACCTTGGGGATCAGGTTGCGGACAGTGTTGACGTGCACGTCGTGGAAAAGAGAGATGGTACGGAGAGCAGTGGTACCCTGCTTGAAAAGCTTGAGAGCAATGTCGGTCTCGGCAGGGGTGTTGTACTCCCAGTCAAGAGTGTCGACATCAGCACCGATGACGTGGTAGCCAAGGGTCTTCATGACGGGGAGAGCGTTGGAGCCGTAGCTGAAGTAGGGGGCTCGCATGTAGGTAGGGTACTTTCCGATGATGTTGAGGAAATCGGCCTCAAGACGGGTCATCTGAGTGCGAATCTCGGCACTGCTGATGGTAGCGAGGTCAGGGTGGCTGTAACTTTGGGATTGTTAGTATATGTGACGAAAACAAAGATAAGAAGACACATACGTGTGGGAGCCAACCTGGTGACCCTCGTTAACCATTCGCTGGACAACAGCCCTGTAGTCGTTGATGTTGCCCCAGTTGTTGCCGTTCAGGAAGAAAGTGGCCTTGTAGCCGTACTTCTTGAGCTGGTCAAGAAGCTCGGTGGTGTACTCGAAAGGACCATCGTCAAAGGTGAGGGCAATGTTCTTGGCCACAGTGCAGCCGGTGATCGGGGTGCCGACGGGGACGGCAGCGGCAGCGGCCTGGATGAGACCAGCGTAGGTGGCAAGCTTGAGAAGAGAGAACTGCATCTTGAGAGATTTAGGAGGTAGTATCTTGGGGTATAAGATAAGATAAGACGTGTGAGACAAGAGAAACGATAAACGACAGTACTGAAACTAGAAGTAGCTTCAAAGGTAACGAGTGTAGAAAACGAGTGGAATGGATGAGTTGGGCTGTTGAACCTGCTGAGAAAAAGAGACACTTGAACAGCAGACGAAGTTGTTCATATATAGTTATCTCAACCTTGGCGTCTAGATAAGAAAGAGCCCTGTTCAAATATTTACTGTAAGGCTCGGAGTGCTCGACGAGACCGACGGAGCTGAATCACACTCAGTCACTTACAGGTATCAGCATCAGCATCAGCAACTACTGCAGCCGCAATTCGGGACCGGGTGTGGCTCTCTTGGGACGAGCAGGGTATCCCTGGAGGACAAAAACGTACGAGGCCAGGCCCTTGTCCTGCACTGCAGTCTGTAGTGCCCAGTAGTCGCTTTGTTGTTAGTGAGTTATTAGTGCAGAAGTATCGTAAAGTGGTGACAGCAGGGGCTCTCAATATTGCAGATGGTATTCTTTTTCTCTGACCGGGATCCGGACCTGATGCTACGGGACAGGGGTTAGATTGGAGACTCGAGGGTTTGGCTGGAATATCGCGAATCTTGGCAGTTTCCAATGACAAGGGTGGCTTGCATATAAATGGATATGTCGTTCTTATATTTGTGCCCATTTTTGGGAACATGGCCTTGCCGTTACTGTACCATGGCTTCCTCGGGATCTCATGATGCATATCCATTTCCCATCCCATGATACTCATCCATGGGTTCAGGTCAGCTATCCTTGTTCGTCAGTTCTTCTTGTCGGACCTGACCTTGTCCTTGACCTTGTCTATGGGGCTGTGGCGTTAGCTGAGCGGGACGATCCAATGCTCTGCAACCCTGTATGGCTACAGTTGTCTCAGGTAGATACCACAGCATGAGGCAAGTGAGTGATATTCTTTTGGACAAAAGTTTGTTTCTTTCTCGTGAGTTATCGTTGGGCATATGCTGTACAGTAGGTCAACTCACAAGACTGTAATTAAAGGGTATGGGCCAGTCAGATAGAGTGAAAAACAAGGATCTGATGGGCGTATTCAAAGTAGTACAATTCGTCAGATGTCCAGTCCGCGCGGGTCCATTGCTGTGACCCTTCTCACTCAGACACTAAAAGACTAAGCCTAATTCAAGGTTATTTGGACGTTTGTTAACCTTATTCGCGATAACCGAACGTGGCTTGTCTCACGAGGTTTAGAGTGTGCGTGTGAGTAAGATTTGTCAGTGAATGCCCTGAAACCCCAAGACCCATCCCGGAGAATAGCCCCTCGAATGGAATTGCACCGTCTACTGTAAGCGGTTCCTTTTTAGGTAGCCGCCGGGTCTACACGCTGTCAATCTGTGACTGGGTGCCTAAAGTGTATAGGGGACAGTCCCAGTACAGAATGTTACCTTGGGCTTTCAGGTACAGGCGGCACAGTTCATCTCCAGGGCTGAGTGATGCATGCATTGCGGGTCATCAGTCATATCAATCGCATTCGGTTCGATCAGTAGCAACCGACGTACGACACCAAGAAGGAATAATTGTCTTGGATCTCACGAGAGAATTGATGAACATCGTCATTTCAGTGGCCGTTGCCTATCTCTATCTAGCACTTATCAGCTTGCAGCCTGCATTAATGGCTTACTGTACTTAATCATGCATGCACTCAGCAGCAAATCACAATTCCTTTGACGTATGCTAATCTAACCTCAACACCATCACTTTTTATACGAGAGTGATCTACACAATTTTTTCACTACCTAGTAACAGTGCAGTCCTAGTGCTCTCTAGAACCCACTGTTCTGAATAAAGGATTTCGTCTAGCCGCCCCTAATAACTTCGCGTCGATTGCCGAACTCATCCATCCCCACAACACCGAGACCTTTAGCACCGTCTCAAGTAAAGACAGTCAGAAAAAGAGAGAACAAAAAGAAAAGAAAAAGTTATAATAATAAGCGAAAGTGGTAACCAAGACGGACATCAACGGCTCCGATGTACTGTAAGCCCCCTTTCCGTGAGGAAAATCCATCCCTGTCTATCCCATCAACTCCGTTTCGAATAAAACCTCAAGGAACTAAAAATGGATCTCTCAAGAGCCTCTGCACTTCAGCTCCGTCTCGTTTAACAGCGAGTTGTTGATTGATCTGCAAGGCTGACCAAAACGCAATGGCAATCTCTTGGGGTTATGATGTGATATGCGCCAAGTTCTTCGGCTACAAGAAAAAAAGGAGAAAAAACAAACCCACAGACTCTTCATCAACTACTACAGTTGCATCTTCTCGTATACAATACTCGCCTGACCTAAGCCAAGCGCCAAGAGCGAGAAAAACACTCAACGGCGATTGCGGTAATAGTGACCCTCATAAACAAACAGCTGCATCATATAATAATGCCAACCCTTTTCATAGTGAATACGAATAGAGCCAAGACGTCAGTCACGCCGATAGAGACCGCTTTTATGCAACAAGGGTGCCCAAAAACTCACTGCATAATGAGATTCCCCAGATGATATAAAACCTGTAATTATATGCCAGGGGCAGAGGCTACTCCATATCTGGCACCATATTCCGAATTTGCACGCTACAGGGGGTCACCTCTGCGAGGGTTATCAGCCAGATCACTTCTCATTGGAGCGTTCTAGAGCCTCAACGTTTCCTATAGTAGCAGCTGGGATGGTATATTCACCGTACTGGCGGATATACGAACCCCGGTCCCTACCCGTTCGAGAGATTTAAATTTAAGCACGAGCTTAGAATAAAGTCAGAAGGAACCAAATATTTATGCTTATTTGAGCAAGGATGACCATCCTTAAAGTGTCAAGAGTACAGTGAGTCAGTTTTTAGTAAAACAAGAAAGCAATTCAGTCCGATGCCGCTTCAACGCCCAGATTATCAATCAATCAACGAATCAAACGTTTAAAAAAAAAAAAAAAAAAAAAAAAAAAAAAACTCCCCTCGTAAAGATCCCACTGAAGAAGAATCTAGTCAAACATGTGCTCAACGGCGCTCTGCCAAGTAGAAGAGAAAAGAAAATAGAAAGAGGGTATCAGTGAGACAAACGGTAGTGACAACGTGGATACGGGCATGGCAGCAGGTTTCGCATCACAAGTCATCATCCCAGTTACCTTCCACTTCTATCGTCGTGCCCAACGCTTCTCTGCCCTGGCGAATCATATCCTGTAATTGCTTATTAAAAGCGTTGATCCGCACATCTGCATCTCGTTCTTCCATCTTACGGCGGGCTGCGAGATGCTTGGCTTCTGCAGTGAGACGGGGACTGGCTTCGGCGGACCCTCCACGTCCTGACGCTACTGAGGCATTACTATGAGACCGGCGGTGTGAAGATGCCTTGGTTATCGGCGATGGTGCAGCTGCGGTTCGGCGACGACTAGGTTGGGGAATCTTGCTTGGAGTTGCCTCACGAGGGGACCCGAAGGAAGTAAAAGAGGCGAAAGAGGCGGTTGATGCTGCGCGAGGGGAAGGGGCCGAAGGGGAGGGGCCAACTGATAATCGGCTCGAAGGTCGGTTGATGGTTGATCGTCGCTGACCAGGAGTAGAGGCCGATGAAAATCGAGATGACGGAGTAGCGCTGATGCGTCGACCTGTTGTCATTGAGGGACCCGAGTTCCGGTTTCGAGGGGTCGCATAGCAAGACGGACGTCGCAGTTGAGGAGTGGGCTTGGGTACAGGCTCTGGCTCAGCTGGTTTCTCATCACTCACCATGACCCAATTCCTGCCAAGTTCATCCTTATTATCAGTGTGTCTTCTTTTCGGGTGCGGTGCTGTGGGTGTAGATGCGCCACTGTTCATCTCATGGTCGGCATTATCGGACTGATGGTTGAAGTAGTCTTCCTGTGGCGGTGGGAATCGTCCAGGGAACTGATGACTTTCGAACAGTGTCTGGTCCAGCTCTTCTACCCTGCCAGAATTCATCGCATAAGCCTTGCCGCCACCAGCTTGGAATCCTCTAAATGAACCAGTTTTACAAAACTCCCATACACGGCCGACGACGCCGCCAATAGTCGAGAATGCGAAACTGCCCCAGCCTTGCGAAGGCATTGGGTTTGGAGGGAGATTGAAGAGTTGTGTCGGGCCAGCGTCGTTGTGATCGATATCGTGCTGCGTTCGATTAGAGCCAAGCGCACGACGATAGTCTGAATCCGAGTAAACGCTCTCGTCGAGCATACGAGTATCAAAAGGGCCGGCGCTTGGTGTATCGAGCTGTCCAGCAAGCTGATAACGCATGTCGTCATTTCTTATCTGAGAAAGGGGTGATCCAAAGTAGCCGTGCCTATCGACGTCATCGTGTATGCGAATGTCTTGCGATCGTGGCATGTCATGGCAGGTCCGCTTGCGCTTTCCAGGTTGCCCTTCGGGTGTCGCAGTGCTGTATGGGGAGGCGTAACCGTAGCTGGTGCTCGGGCTTGGGGACATGGGCGGACGGAACAGGCCAGGGTGAACGCCCTCGCGATTGAAGCCGCCAGGCATGTGGAAATGCGTTGGGATAGTCATCGTGTCTGAATGATAGGAATGCGAAAAGCGGAGGTCGAAAGGGTGCGGCTCGCTTGCCGATCGTTCGGTGATGAAATAATCTTTTGTTCTAAGCGCAGCGAAGCTATTAACGGTAGGTCAAGGTCAAGGGCAGCCGAGACACATCAGGTTCACTGCCGCAAGCGAATCCGGGGTAGATGGAGAATCGAATATTCGGATCGATCGCAATCGAGGATAAAAAATCTAGATAATGCAAGTGATCGAATTGTTCCGTTTCGTCGAGGATGGCGATAGTTTGATGAAACGACCTCGTGACTAGGTGAGATAGACGATTATGTCTTGTGATGATGAGCGCATGAGATTTGGGGAAATGGAGGGGACAAAGGTTGCCTAGGCTTAAACAGCCGCCCGACTCAAGCAGATGCACAAAGTATAGGCGCGAATGAAAAGGGAGTGCCTATTAAAGGAGTAAGATGGTGTATGGAGGATGCGCCTTGAAAGTGAGGCTTGATTTTGATAATGGATTGTTCCTTCGGCAAATTGTCGATGTTTTGTTTGGATGGTTGGGGGTGGTTGGGGGGCCAGCACAGGCGTTTTTGGATGTGTATGATTGGTCAGGTGATGAATAATCCTAGTTATAGGTATCGGCACCTCGGTATTTGTTAGAAAATAAGTAAAAGAGTGACGGAAGAGTTCTGAAGACTGATTTGAGTGTGAAAGGAAATGAAACTATTCAAGTGAGAGTTGAAACCTGTTTAGATCTCACCGCTGCGGAAGAAAGTGGCTAATTAAAACTTCCATTCCTGCTTGTTGGCGACCTGTAGCTGCAGCTTCTTGCGTGGCGTGGCGTAGGCTCAGGGTTTGGTCCACTCAAGATTGACAGGGTTCATCTGAAACTGACAAAGAAATGTTGAGAGAGGGATTGCGATATCAAAAGCGTGGCATCCAGAACTGTCTTGGATTAATGTCGTCGATCATCACATGAGGTGCTTCAGGGAGACAAGTCATGACAGTTCTAGATGCACTTTCATGTCGTTAATCATTGCTCGTTCCTCTAACAAGTCTATCTCATCTTGTACCACGTAGAACATACCATCTAATAGCCCCATCCGTCCCATGCTTTCCTCTATTCCATGCGCCATCACAAGATCATTAGTATCATTCATCCAACTCTTCTCGCAAAAAGAAACATACAATCTCAACCCATTTAGGCTTTGTTGTAGTAGTCATCTTGCTGACCCTTTCGCTCTGTAGTGACACCTCCGTTGGTGCCCTCCTCGCCGTGAACATGCGTCTTGCTTCCCCAGAAAGCCTCCCGCTCCTTGAGAACATCCTGGCCCCATGCCTTCATCTCCGGCAAATGCATCCTGGTAGCGACGTACGCGAACTCGCCTAGGTCTAGTCTACCCTCACCGCGCTTCTCGTACTCGACCATCTGTAAAAGAAGTTCCATCTTGTCCACATCGTGCACAAAGTGGCTATCGAGCGTTTCGGAGTCCTCGTATTCTTGCCAGATGGCACGGATATCCTCGCCTGTTGTGCCGCCGGCGACGTTTCTTAGTAGGTTCTTTGTCAAGAAGTCCATGGTCTCGGATTCGCGTCGACTCTTTTCGGGTTTGGGGACGCCGTCAACGGGGGTGATGTCGCCAACGAGGAGTTCTGCCATGTCGTGGATAAGGCACATCTTCATGCACTTGGCGAGATCGAGCTTGGGAGCGAGGGAGGGTGGCGCGAACATGGAGATCATAGACATGCGATACATGTGGTCGGCGATAGACTCTCCCCTAAGATATGTCAGTATTTCCTTTGAGAGATAGGGTATCGAGAATGTGTTTTACCTAGAGATGCCAAACCGCCTCCATCCTTCGCGCTTGGTCGTCTTGAGTCGTTCGAGCATGTGGAAAAAGGGAAGCGGTGACGAGGACTCCTCAGCAGGCACACCACCAGGAATCTCCTTGACGACCTTGTCAACAGTCCATTGGCCATCGACCGTGACCATAGGTGTGAAACCCAAATTTGCGATCACTTCTTCCGAGGTACGGTGTCCATTCTCCTTGATCTGTTCCGGTTGCGAACCCATTTTATAGTAGAGTCGGTACTGTATATGTTGTCGTGGGGTTGAGTAAATGTCGACAGTGTGGGTTGAAGAAGGGAACGGTCGTAGCGAATTGGCTGTAGATTTAAGAGTGTTGACAAAGAGAAGTGTTTGCCGAGGCCGTAGGACAGTAGAGACAATCATAACAAGAGTGCAATCGGTGAATGGGTCATGAAAACAGAAGAGACTAGAACCGAAGATTGTTGGTTAAAAGCGGGTAGTAGTAGCCAGTGCCGAGACCATTGATGGTCAGCCCGCCTGAAAGCCCCAGATAGCTTAGTGCGTCATTGGACAGGGGTTGGATCTGGGATCTTGCAGGGTAGCAACATTATCACTTAGACGCGGTGTAGGAAGATGCAAAAAGGAAGACTTACCTTGCCTTACCTTCCATGGAAACCCTATACATCGGAGATACTGTTATAGATAATTGATGTTTGGTATTTGCACCGGCGGAGACACCTGATTGTTAGTAACAGCCACTATCTACTCAAGTGTTCTGTAGCAGGTAGGTAGATGCCGAGGGAGTGTCTTTGTGTATTCTCAACGCTAAGTGTGAGGGGGTTCGAACTCGTCGTGATGGAACATGCTTGTATCGATCTACTGCGCCGCCACGTAAACTTGTTATCGACACAGATATTAAACTTGGATCAGAATATAAACCCAGTGCTGGTTCTGTTGTGAAAGTCAAATTGGATGGTATAGGTTAGGCGAAGACTGAGAAATAGACTCCAGCTTGCAAAGACAATGATGATCATATCAGCAATCAAGTATCCTACATATTAGGCCAAGTGATTGTTTCCATGAAGAGTGCCCTTCATAATCAAAATTGATAATGTCTTTTTTTTAGAGCCTCTTTTACGACAATCCTCCTCTACTATACCAAGACTCCTGTAGGGTTGCTAGCCCACCAAAGGAAACTGGCACTAAATTTAGCTCCACTTGCGGGATTGATTATAATCCAGCCTTGAATGAGCCTCATCGTTAGTTCCGTTCTCATTCAACCTCGTTCTTACATGCAACCTCTCAAGAATATATCAAAGTCTTTGTTCCTACAGACTCGTACAATGACAACAATTGCTTCTTTAAAGCGGCTATCGGCCAAGTCTCTTTCTGAAAAGATCCTTGAGGAAGTCAACGTTACAGATCCCACATTCGCTGTTATCGATGTTCGTGATAATGGTAAGTTAAATACTCAGATAAGCTTGCTTCTGGAATGATACCCCCAGGAATCTTAGATAACACCTCTGACGTCTCCAAGATCACATCGGTGGGCACATCAAGGGGTCAACCAATGTCCCCGCACACACTCTAGACTCTATGATGCCAACTCTGGTACGCCGCCTCAAAGACAAAAAGACAGTCGTGTTTCACTGTGCGTTGAGTCAACAGCGAGGTCCAAGTGCCGCACTCAAGTACCTGCGAGAGCGGGATGGTCTTCTGCGCTCCATGGGTGAAGACCCCAAGGGCGAGAGCGGCCAGGATGTGTTTATTTTGGATCAAGGGTTCTCTGGATGGCAGGAAGTCTACGGTGAGGACGAGAGGTTGACAGAGGGATATGTCAAGGATCTTTGGGAAAATTATTAAGAAGTTGAGTTGAATTTGCGAACTACATAGAGGCATCTTGTGCTGATGCAGAAATCCTCGTAGAGAATAGCATCCGCAAGATGAGAGGTGCATTAAAAGATATCCCAGACCAGACCAATTTTGCGAAGCCATCTAAAAAGTTATGGCAGGTAACGAAACAATATTAATGAGTATAGATTAATCGCCATACAGGAGTCCATCTAGGAGTCCATCCAGTCATGCCCAACCGATCGTTCGTTCATATCGCACTGCCAAAACGAAGCCTTTGCCAGTTCAAGTTAGCAAAACGATTCGGAACCATGTTTGATTGAATACACTCACAGAGTAGCTTACTCTGCAGCTTCAGCAGCAGCGGCCTTCTTCTTCTTCCACCACTTGAAACCAAAAAAGCCACCAACCGCAAGAACGACGACACCAACACCGGCGTAGATCATGTTTCCGTAACTGTCCATGAATGAGGGACCAGGCGGTCCAACCTCGCCCACCGGTACCCTGCCAGGAGTAAGATCAATTGCAGGATCGTGCGTCATGGGCTCAGGTCGACCGACGGAACCACCACCAGGAGGTCGACTATCATAACGACCGGGGGAAACACCACCAGGAGGTCGACCATCATCATGACAGGGGGGATCACTAATAACAGGTCGACGAGTGGGAACTCGGCCATCATAATGACCGGGGGGACCAACAGGTCGACGAGTGGGAACACCAGAATGTTTACTCTCATATTCATCCACATCATAGACGACTCCATCATCAAAGACGAATCCCTGACTGAAGTCGATTCCTCTTCTACTATTGATAGTATTTGGAGCAGAAGCACGAGCATGTCGATTTCTTTTAGGGATGTCATAACCAGAAAGGGGCGAGTCCCAAGCGTGATCAGATCCGGCGAATTGGGGCGGTGGGACAGTGTCTTCGTTGAGTCCTGGTATTTTTTCGCGTGGCTCAAGAGAGGAATGACGATTGTTTACGGCCTCGCCTGGGACAGACCGTCCATCGACGGAATCTGCACCGGAAGCGACAGACTGGCGCACGTAGATTGTAGGAAGTGGCGCCATGATGATAGGTTTGTAGGACAAGTGTGCAAAGGGAATAGTTTCTGCGAGGGAAGAAGGTGTCAAAAGGGTTGATTCTAAAGAAATACCAAAAGGGGGCGACAAAAACTCCTAAAACAAAGAGGCACAGAATACAAGCATGTCAATAAATGCATGTGACGATATTGACTCTTCACGAGCAATAAAGTAACCTCATCTTATTGGGTGCTATCAGACTCAAGGTTTACTGTTGCCTCGAGAACACTTCGGCCAGCGAACGAAAAAAAGAACAAAATTCCTACAGAAGCGGGCCTATCAGAAGAGGATAGAAATGTAGAGAAAGAAAACTCAGCCAGTTGCCAGGTGCTCATATAAGTATATTTGTCGCCTCAACTCTTACGCAAAAGGTTGAGAACTTAGACGAGCTCCAGAGCATATTCGACACAGTAACACAAGACAAACGATTTTCTATTCGTCCGATTCGTGAGGATTCCTGAATTTAAATAAAAGAGTTACTCAACTTATGATTCGCACCTAAATCCGGACATCCAAACTCCCGATATCTCCTTATCGACAGATGGAAATGGGCGAATAACTGGCTAAGTAGTAAAGTTCTGTTGGATAAAATAAACATATATAAATCTGAAGATTCCCCTTAGAGACTCTGTGGTTTCTTTTCACCCACTCACGTCCAAGCCTACGCTCACCACAATCACTCCGTTGGATCTGATAACTCAACGAAAACTATATCGTTGCCAGAAAACCTCAAACTTCCAAACATCTCAGTCAACCACTCAAACGCCAACAACATGATTGAGAGGCCGAGACAAAACCCCAATCACAAATACTCTTCTAAAAAGGGCGGCGGTGTTCCAAAGAAGTGTGGATTTTTGGAGGCATCATCCTCGTTTCGCTCGCAATCATCGGTCACAAGAAGTCGAAGCATACAGACGGCGAGCAACAGGAATGCAGGCACTGTAAAAAGCACCGCCACTGTCACAGGCACCGTAACAAGGCCAGAGATTTGGAGACTGCTGTAAGGAAGGTTGCAAGCACACAGGCTGCAGGCACACAGACTGCAGGCACACAAACTGCAGCAACACAGACCGCTCCGAAACCCGTTTACCGGTCAATGGGAACCCAGACTGATGGTACAGACCTCCGATGGGCACGCCAGGCACCGGCCAATAGGCATAGTGCCTGATGGCCTTACGAGCTGGAAGCTTAAACCACACAACACCATGGTCAAGAGGCTCGCAGTCCACGGAAGTGCCCCCACCAACCTGTGGAAAACGAACAATGTCAAAGTACTCTTAGTGCTCGCCTTCATTGTCACCATGGCGATCATCTTCCTATGTATTCGCCTTATCTCCGATAGTAAGCGTAGGAAGGGCATTGGCACACAGACCGATGCAAGTGTATGAGGAAACACGGAGATGTTGAGAGAGACTTTACAATGGGTGTTCAGGGGTTGGCGGGGAACTTGGGGCCAAGATTTGAGAGGCCAAGGGTTATGATTTCGTGAGGGTTGTTTCTTCCTAATATGCTTATGTAGGCGCAAAAGAAGTCCTGAATGTACTAGTCAACTTTTGTTTAATTTGTCAGACATGTCAAGACTGCAACGTGACAACAATCGATTGCTAACAAAACTCGACCAAGCACTAGCCTGGTCAACCACATAAGATTGATATTGTGCTGGGTGACCCCTGAATCTTGTTTCTGAGGCAATGTCGCGCGTGAAGTCTATAATCTGAATGCAACTTGGAACTTTGAATTACACTTTGGAAAGTCAGACCCATGAGATATAAATACAGCATACTTCCTTATCCCTCACAGCCTATTCTTGCGAATGTAGGTATGTACCACACAGAAGACACAAGATGGACGCCCAACACTCAAAAGAAAAGCTGAGCTTCGGCAGGATTGCTCACATCATCTGCGTTTTTGCGTTCAAACATCCATTTATGGCCTTTGTGATATTTCTGTTCCTTCTTTTTGCTGCGTTCGCATGTCTTGATTGTTGTTGTGGGAACATCTTCGACAAGCCCGTGGATGAAGAAGCATCTGCAGAGGAAGAAGCACCCGCAGAGGAAGAAGAACTTGCAGAAGAAGCATCTGCAGGAGAAGCACCTGCAGAGGGAGAAGCGCCTGCGTAGGACTGACAACCTGTGGAGGCCGAGGCAAGTACTTGGATAGAACAACTTATCGAGAGCAATATTAACGGATCTAAATAGTAAGATGAAGAGCCGAATTACAGACCTGGAACGCTATTTCACCACTAATAGCGCGCAATATGCTAGAGATCATGAATATTCTGGAGAATATAATGCTCGACACAGAGAGATAATGGATGAGCTTTGCGACCGGGACATTTAGGACTGGCTAGCCCAACTCAAACTAAATCAACATCAAGTACATTCAGAAGAGATCATAGTGGAATAAGCAGAATTGGAATCTTTCGTCGATGGATTCAAAGAAATAGAATTGTTACAGGTGTACACACGTGAAGCCTGTAATCTGAATCTAAGTTAAAAACTTAGAACTTTGAATTACACTTTAGAAAGTCAGTCCTCTAAGATACAAATACAGCCTGCTTTCTTTATCCCCCGCAGTTGTATTTTCGAACGCATCTATCACACAGGAGAAACAAGATGGACGCCCTCAATGCGGACAGGGGATACCACCCAACAACGCCGTCCTTCAACAACCTACTCCAGAGTTTTATTTCAGCATTCGGGATACTAGCCTTGATAGGAATTATGATACTCTTTGTTATCATTTTTGGCTTATGTCTTGTTTTTTGTTGCAGGGGAAAAGGCTCCAAGGGTGACGAAGAAGCCCCTGCTAAGAAGGAGGGAGAACCCGCGAAAGAAGAAGAGCCTGCAAAGGAAGGAGAACCTGCGAAGGAAGTAGAACTTGAAGAGGAAGAAGCGGGGGCCAAGGCAAGTACTTGGATAGAACGACTTATCGAGAGCAATATTAACGGATCCAAACAGAAAGATGAAGCACCGAATCAGATCATGAATTTGGGGACCATGAACGCGAATCAGAATCAGAGCTTGATGTCGGGGACCTCGAACGCTATTGAATCACCGTCAGCGTGCCATATGTCAGAGAACATGATGATGGCACAGAGCGTGACGATGGCACAGAACATGATGGCACAGAACACGATGGGGCAGAGCACGATGGGACAGAGCACGATGATGGCACATAATTCTATTGCATCGCAGTCAGGGCGCCATATGCCAGCGAACCTGATGATGGCACAGAACACGATGATGATGCGCAGTACAGACAGAGAGTGGATTAACTTTGCGAGCGGGCAATATTTTAGATCTGGCCAGCTCAAGCCGAACTAAATCAATATCAACAGAGATCATGATGTAGCAAAATTGGAATCTTTCGTCAATGGATTCAAAGAAATAGCATTGTTACGGATCTCAGACTTCCATCCCAATACATTCGTTTTTTTTTCAAACACGATCATCGATCTGTACATGTGATACATAACCAATCATCAGTCCTTTACCATACTACACTCCTCTCATCTAATTCTGTCCCCCAAGCCCTGCATCTCCCCAATTGCAATAAAACCGGTCGTTACCCAAAGAAGTCGTCTTTTGTTGAGTACTGATGGTGGGTGGCACTCCGTTGATTTTTTTCTGGTTAGAGTCAGTAAGATGATAAAAGAACGAAATAGTCTTGTCAGTGCATACTATTTGTTTTCGGCGTTTTTTGGTGCGTTTTTGGGGGCCCTCTTACACCCATAGCGAAGAAACCAACCCGCAAAGGCGATGGCAAAGACACCCAAGGAACAGTAAAACGCGTGATGCCAGAAAGGCAATTTATTGAATGTCTCTTGTGATGTGTTCATGATAGCGAGAGAGATGTTCGACTGTTGTGTGGAGTAAAGATCAAGGGTAAAGTATGAGTTGAAGATTGAAGCTCGAGGTAAAGTATCCTTGACTAAGATTCTTCCGAGCCATCTTTTGGTTTCTCTGGAAGAGGGTGCTTCTTTCTGTGACGAATAGCACAGGCACAGGCCAACAAGATGCCTCCGCCGAGTAGGGGGATGATAAGCTTTTTGAGATCCATGTCTGAAAGTGTATGTATTTCCAGTCAGTCTGGAAAAGAGCGTAAGTGGAAATGTGGTTTTTGGTAGAGAGAAAAGGAAAGAGATTTAACTGTCGACAAGATGCCATCTTTATATGCACACGTCGGTTGAAAGACTCTGCCAATGAATGCCCAAGAGTTGCGATGTGGCCTCTCGGACGTGAAGACGGGCAGATACCATCACAATCACTCCGTTGCTCAAAGCTGCAAAGTCAATGTGAAACTCGTGTCAGCTGGGCAGTGGCCATGAGAACTCATCAAGGTCTAAGTGGGTAATCGTATAGTTTGTTGGCAACTCAACTACCAAAGCATGCCCAATCCTCCAACTAATCTCTGATTCTAGGTATATTATGTGACGTTTCTTCTGTTCTCTTTCTGATCCTATTCCAAGCCTCAGCTTTACCAACACCTTCACTCTGCCAACTCGGCTACTCAGACATGAATAAAACCGCCAAAAGCATCGTGGACTTCTCCACCAACTCCACGGCAATCATTTGCTTTGGCGGTATTGCTATTCTCGCTGCATACCTCACCAGGCGTGGGTACAAATGGGCTTACTCTCCTAGAAGAACGCCTTAGAACTGAGTATCGAAATCGGTGGACAGTTGAGGAGTGTCAAAGGAAAGGTACTTTGCCCCAGGCTGAACTTATTCTCTCGAGGGACCACCTCAACAAAAGTCATTTCGACCCCTTTGGTTGGGAATCTTGATGCGCTTTCATGATTTTCTGTTTTCAACAATCCCTCTCTTTTCAAAACAACAATCTATCGCCACATCAACACCAACACCAACACCAACACTATCGCCGCCATCATGACCACAACCACAACCACAGCTACACCCATACCCACCATGGCCCTGCCGGCTCTTTGGGGGTGGTGGCTCTGCGGTTTAGGCCTTTTTGTCCCCGCGGTCTTCATGGTATTTAAAAGGATGTGCGACAGAAGTAAGTAGTCCCAAAGCCCTTACTAATTTTACAATCACCTACTTTCGAACTTCTTCTAACTTCTACTTAAAAGGGGGGGATTACAAAATGGATTACTGAGTCAGGATAGAGATGAATTCTTGTGTTGTAGTTAGAAATTCCACTGGTCCCAGTTGTTCTAGTCTTTTCGCCATCCAGACCATTCATAATCTCCTCCTGATCCCCCTTCCTCACCCGCACCCTCTTCTATGGTATGGGCCTTGTATACTAGTCTATATTTTGTCCTTTGAACAAATCGATCGAGTTCCAGGACAGCATGGAAAGTTTACAACTGATGGTGGTATCAAACGCGTAAGCGAGCACGAGAAGTACAAACATGCCCTCGGCAGCGACAGGGGAAGAAGAAGCTTCAAGTGTTTTCTAAAAGTCGAAAGAGGTTCTTTTCAAACCAATAGTCGACTATCGGAGGTTTTCTGGCTTGGTATGCCCTTGGCTATAATTGGGATTTTATACGCGGGAAGGAAGAGGGTATATCTTTAGGGCATGATTCAAACTTTTACTCAGTATTGTTGAGCATCCAGTCTTCTACCTTATTCGGTTCCTTTCTCGTCTCCTAAAAGTCTATCTCTGCCATGAAGCTCACTGTACTTGACTTGACTTGACCACTTCCTTGTGACAGTATCCCCTTTCCCCTCATCAACTCCATGTCATCACAACCTCATACCACGGCGGTAAAGCTTTCATCTCAGATATATGAGTATTTTATAAACAGGTACGTACCTACATCTGCCTTTATACTATTGCCATTCGACCAAAGCCCCTCAACCTCGAACATAACTGAACGCAGACCAAATACATCCCCAACCTCACCTTCTGGATCCGAACCCACCAAGCAAAATGCCCACAAAAAAGCAATGGATAATAACAGGCGTCGTGGCGACCATAATAATTTGGGGAATCTATTCTACTTATCGACGATGCAAGGCCGAAGAGAAGGAGGCTAAAAAGAAGGGGGCTAAAAAGGAACAAGTCATGGTCGACGACGATTCAGTGTCAAGCCTCGAGCTTACGGTACTTTCGCCACGATGCGAACCTTCTTCCGGGTAACCGTGGATTGGGATCTTTATGCTTGTCGGAATTTGACGATGAGAAACTGGAGAGTTGGAAGTGTTGCAAGCCTCATACCACTCGTCGATGGCACTCTGAAGTCATGTCTCTTTTATCCATCATGACGACATGCGATGCGGTCAGAGTCAACGGTTCGATCAGACCCAAGGTTGCAAACAAAATCTAAGAGCGCAATACACACTCGATAAGCTCCAAAATCAATGTTCAGAATACGGAATTCTGTAGTCAACACATGATCTTGCCGACTTCAACCCAAGCGTCAACCGCACGCACAAATTCAATGATTGATAAACACATTCTAGCATTGCCTCGCTTATATCTATGACAACCACTGACATAGACTCCTAGCAAACAGACCAATTCGACCATAGTGACTCTTCCTCATTCCCACATCCAATACAGCATGCCACACGTTCAAATACAATGCATAATCCCTAAAGTCAAAGCCAACATCCAAGGCATGTAGTTTGGTTACACTATGCAGGTGCCGTCCACCAAAACACAATTTGATCCGTCGAATCGGCGGCTCTCTTCCGGCCCTTTTGCCGTGAATCGGGCTCCCGTGGCGCCGTGTTTCAGGGTCCACCATACGGCAAATACGGCTCCGATGAATACAGGGTTGTTTTAGATGTATGCACCTGTAATTGGACTTGTTTCTTTTTACGTGATAGTTAACAATAAAACTTGCTCATAATTCTAAACAGTGCGAGTCATGGAACAACCCTTCACCTAGGTATACGCGTAAAGATGTAATTGATATGTTTCATGGTGAAATACCTTGCAGCGAGTCAGGAAATGCGGTGTATCTTGACACCAGTCACAGCACATCATAATCCCAGGAAAAGACTTAGTATGCTATAAGCAATATATAAAAAAACAGCATAATCAGCTGTCACCCACACATTATTCAACCGGGGGAGATCCTGGACAGTTTCAACGAGTTCACACTGGTAAGATGCTGTCTATCTGTGTGATGTCACATTTAGTGATCATTTATCTACCTGCATGCGACCTGTCTCATGATGAGATGGCGATCTCATGGTTGGTCCATTTGCCTGCCGTGAGTTACAGCACTATATCATTTTCGTGTATAAGTTTCTAGGCAAATGTCAATGAAATACAAATTATTTTCTGGTGATTATCGCATTTATCTACTGTTTGCGCCGCCAAATATGCCATAATTGAAGATGGTTACTGTGACGCGGGTTTATCATGTCATGATGGAGTATAGCTACAACCACATATCTCGAGGATTTTAAGATCATGCACGTACACGTCAAATAACACTACGAAGCAAATACAGGCACCTTGTTTTAATAGTTTCATTTAACAATTCCAATTTATCAGGGTATTCAGCTCGTTCAAGGCTACCTAGCCGACATGGAATCCCACAAACGCCCACAAGAGTGCTGGATTGCCCCTTGTTATGCATCTCGAACGTACATCGTATCGCTATGCTTTCCAAGCATGATACTCGGTGCTTGACCAAAATCACAAACGCCATTTTCCCAGTTTCCGTCGTATCTAGAGCTTGCGCTCAAGACTCATGATTTTTACCCAGCATCATGATTAGTGGTGCTTGGCAGGCGCGACAGTAGGAAGCTCCTTGATAGCCTCGGCAATGATCTTGAGACCCTTTTGGAGATCCTCCTCGCTAATGACTAGTGGAGGTGCGAAGCGGATGATATCGCCGTGAGTGGGCTTGGCCAATAGACCCTTGCTCTTGAGGAGCAAGCAAAGATCCCAGGCAGTTCGGCCGTTGGCTGCGGACTCATCGATGACAACAGCGTTGAGGAGACCCTTTCCTCGGATCACCTTGAGGATAGGAGTGTTGAGGGCCTTGAGACCATCACGGAACATGTTACCAAGCTTCTCAGCCTTGGCAGTAAGGTCTTCCTCCTCCATGATCTCAAGGGCGCGGATAGAGACAGCAGATCCCAGTGGGTTACCTCCATAGGTAGAGCCGTGGGTGCCAGGCTCGACAACCAGCATGATCTCCTTGCTGCTGAGAACGCAGCTCACGGGGTACATGCCACCAGAGATGGCCTTTCCGAGAGTGACAAGGTCGGGCTTGATGTTGGCCCATTGAGAGCAGAGCATGCGACCAGTTCGACCAATACCAGTTTGGATCTCGTCGCAGATGAACAAAACATTGTGCTTGGTGCAGAGAGCCTGGACTTTGGCGAGGTAATCGTCGTCGGGAACAACAACACCAGCCTCACCCTGAATTGGCTCGCAGATGAAAGCAGCAGTCTCTTTGCCGTGAGCCTCAAGAACCTCCTCGAGGTCGGCAATGTTGTTGTATCGAATGGGCTTCCCGGTGGTGGGGTTGAAAGCACCGACATTGGGAACGTAGGGACCGTAGTTCTCTCTTGACTCGGGGTCTACTGACAGGGTAATGGCAGTCATCTTGGACATGTTAGCTTATGGGGTCTTGCAATTGTTGCCAGTGTCGATTGGACTTACAGTTCGGCCGTGGAAGTTCTCTGAAACACCAAAGATCCAGGCCTTCTCCTGAGGAACACCTTTGACCTTGTACGCCCACTTGCGAGCGATCTTGATGGCAGTCTCGACAGCCTCAGCGCCAGTGCACATGGGCAGAACCATGTCGTAACCAAAGACGCTTCGGACCTTTTCAGCCCACTTGGGGAAGACATCGTTGTAGAAAGCTCGAGAGCTGAGGGTCAATCGACCGGCCTGCTCAGTGAGGGCCTTGATAAGCTCGGGGTGGCAGTGGCCTTGGTTGACAGCGCTGTAGGCAGAGAGGAAATCGTAGTAGTGGTTGCCCTCAGGGTCCCAGACATTGACACCTTCAGCGCGGGCAAAGACCACAGGGAGAGGGTGGTAGTTGTGAGCAGCGTACTCCTCCTCAATGGCGATGGCCTTGTCGGTGGAGGTGGCATGGAACCGAGAGACGGACTTCTCGGCGTGAGGAGACATGATGTGACGTCAGGGGGGAGTTGTTGTTATGATTTGAGCAATTGTTCAAGTAAAGTGAGGATATTTGTAGTTTATCAAATTACTTGATCTTGTTCTTGCTGGAGAGATGAATAAAGAGACTAGAGAAGAGAACAACTGAGCATTGGAGGAGGACATGGCTGCTCTTTAAGGTCCGGAGGCGGCAAGACAGTGGTCGGCAAACGGAGGCTCGGAGCGGGTAGAGGAAGACGATAGAATTGGATTTTAGGTAATTATTACAGTACTCTGAGTGTTGGTTTCCGGTTGTTTGTTCGACACTATACCCCTAAGTGCAAGTGTGAGCGACCAAGCGTGGGAGTGTGCGGGCGTGAGGTTGCGAAGTTGAACATGTGAGGACTCTGATTGGGTGACTTGCTCGGCGGAACTGGGCGGGTGACTTACCGCCATCGGCCGAATTGACCGTCTACAGTTGATAACTGTCTTGTATTTTCTTGTCATGACATGATAAGTAAGAGAGGGGTTCGCTTACAGCCAAGGACGCGGAGGTGAATCCCAGATGTCTGGTCTACGGAAGAGGAAGTACGTATTCTTTCCGTTTTCATACTAGAGACTCACTTTTATTCGCAGTCCCAAAAGTCTACGCCGTAACGTTAAATTTCCGACAATGTCTTATTGGAGACAACTTGCATCCATCATGAGGAGAGGGTGATCTTCTTTCTCTATATACACAAGAGATAAGAGGCTCCAAATTGCCAACTAGCAAGTCTTGACTAACTTGTTCCAGTGACGGCATAATCTGGGGTGAGGGGAATGGGGGACCACCTGACAAGGGTTCAATGCAGGCTTGGCTTATAGACGAGCTTATTGTAGGTTGGAATGACCAATAGACATTTCCTTGTTACTACAGTTGATTCCTGTTTTGAAAACGAATGAATCTCATAACAGTACAGCATAATGATTGCAATCAGAGGTACAAACTCCACTGTATGTGTGACCATGAAAACAGAAGCTGTCTTAGTTGTTACCGTCTGCAGCTGTGAAACTTCCACAGCCATCTCTCGGTGTTACTTACTTTCTATTAAGTAACAAGCTACTGGTTCTCATGTGACCCCCAACCTGTCAATTGATATTTGGATCAATCAGAAAAAGAATTGGTTGATGTTGTTCCCTAAAGTGGAAGTGTCTAAGCGAGTGTATATCCATAGCTTCTTACCGCCAGATGCCGCCAGTTCCGCCTTGACACATATATGTCAGCAGAAGTGGCCTTAACTCCGCCTAAGCCGCCAAAATTCAAGTTTACAAGATATTTCACTTCATGATCCATGAATGTTCATAGCAGTAGGAAATATATTTCAAGTACAATTAAAACCTGCTGGTTATTTATTTCTGGAGTGCATTGTACCTGAGTTAATTACTCTAACAGCAGTAAAATGTTAGTTATAACATCTCACATGCAATAACCAGGCTGCCAGTTCAACAACGAATTATATCAGCCATAACTACAGACCAATAGATAGTCCAATTGAAAACAAGCACTTCTCTTTACTTGTCGCCTGTCCTTTATGTCTTGAAACTCTTGTTAGACTGCTGTTTTAACACTGACACTGGCGTCTGTATCAGGATTGTGGCGGTGGATGTGGCTTGCCTCCAGGGCTACGCCACACTTTTTCAACAACAAGCTGTCTCGATACTCCCCTATCGTCGATGTACTCTTCTATGCTGAGGGCCTATATCAACTAATCACTCTCGACATGTCGTCCGCAACAGTTTCGAGAAAGGTTCTCGATGAAGCTCGGAACCAGAGAAACCGATCGGTTTTCCTGCGTGACATTATCGTTATTCGTCTTATCAATGCTTGGTGGATAGGCACCTTTTTCCAGCCAGATGAGTTCTTCCAGTCTCTTGAACCAGCTTGGAACCTGGCTTTTGGATCCGAGAGCGGTGCTTGGTTAACATGGGTACGTTATTTGCTTTGCATTTATTGAAGTATCTCCGGTCACAAGGGTCATTGTATGTCTTCATTTTCGTGAAATACTATGTTATTGTTATCGACAAGTGTCAACACCACTTACACCATTGACCAAGCCAACTCATGAATACGCAACTCACTTTCCCCTTGCGTCTCTGCTTCACCAAACCCTCAATATCACATCTGACCTTTTCAAACTAGGAATGGCAACATCAACTTCGCACCTCTCTTCATCCAGCTCTCTTCGCAGGCGTCTATCTCGTCGCCGACTTCATCTCCAGCCATATCCTCCCCATAGGAATCCTCCGCGCTTCCATCCTCGTCGCTGCACCCCAAGCTCTCCAAGCTGTAATTGCTGGCCTCGGCGACTGGTACACTTGGCAGCTGGCCGTGTCCATTTTCGGCGCCAACAGCAATGTCTCATTCTTTGCTGTAAGTTTCTACCCTTGAGAGCTCAGAACCGTACGCTAACATAGCTGGGATACAGCTCTTTCTGCAACTTTTCAACCCTTGGCAATGGTACTGCTCTACAAGAACCTTTTCAAACTCTTTGGAAATGACTCTCACTGTAATGGCCATGTACTACTGGCCCTGGGAGCTTCTCGGTGTGGCAGAGACAACTAAGGAGAACCCTAAACCTACCCCTATTCTCAAGAATCTCCGGTCACTTCGGGCCTCTCTTTGTCTTGCAGCTTTGGCTGTGGTTCTCCGACCCACCAACGCCTTGATCTGGGTGACCATTGTCCTTTTCACTATTACCCGGGTCTCATTTCAGGGACCTTCACCTCTTGGTCTTTCAACAGTTCTCACACTGATTCGCGAGGCCATCTTGTGCGGTTCTCTGATCCTAGCCATATCCGCTGCCTCGGACCGTCAGTACTTTGGCTTCTGGACGTTTCCTGCTTACAACTTCCTACACTTTAACCTATCAAAGGCCCTTGCCGTCTTCTATGGTCGTAGCCCCTGGCACTATTATTTTCTCCAAGGGCTCCCCCTGATTTGTACCACAAGTCTTCCGTTTGCTGTTGCTGCTCTTTACAAGCCAACTGCACATGCCACATCGGCACAGCAATCCAATGTGCTCAAAACATTGGCCTATACTGTTTTCACAACTATTGGTGTTTTGTCGCTCATTACACACAAAGAAGTTCGCTTCATCTATCCTCTCCTCCCAACACTCAGTATACTCGCTGCCCCTTACGCTGCCTCATTCTTCACATCCCAACCAAGTCCCACCACCAACAATCCTCGTCCGCGACCTCAGATCCGCAACAAGCCCTACCTTTTTATTGCCCTTGGAGTCAATGTTTTTCTCGCAGGCTACCTGTCTTTCTTCCACCAGCCAGCTCCACTTGATGTCCTCGCCTATCTCCGTCATGAGTACGAGCGCATCCATCCGGACTCTGTTGCACTAGCCCAAACCTCTCACTTCTCTGCTACACCCGAGAAGGAGGATGAACTCTTTGCTTTGTTCCTGATGCCTTGCCACTCTACTCCGTGGCGTTCACATCTAGTCTATCCTGGCCTACGAGCTTATGCTCTCACCTGCGAGCCTCCTCTTCACACTGAGCCAAATACTCCCGAGAGAGAAAACTATCGTGACGAGGCTGATCGATTCTATGATGACCCTATTCCTTTTCTCACCTCTGAGCTATTCAATCCGGCCAATGCCCTTGCTGTTCCTCGCTATATCATTGGCTTTGAAGGTATCGAGCCATGGCTTCAAGAGTTCACCCAAACTCCCGAGGCCCAATCTCTTGGATTGAGTCAGGTACGGCCTGTCTGGAAGGGTTTCAATGGCCTTTTCAATGAAGATTGGCGGCGGTCAGGAAAAATGATTGTTTGGGACACTGGCGTATATGACATGGCGGCCCCTACAAAGGAATTATGAGAGACCATCTTTCATATTTTAAAATAGAGTAGTGTACACTTCTTTCCAATGTACTGTAAGAAAGGCGGTTGTAGTTTAAATAGAACTCCTACTAATCAAACATATCGATTGCCCTGACACATGTTTGGGCTCCATATCATTTTGATAGTGACCTGTACTCCATGACTAACTCCCCCACCCGCTTAAACGAAATAAAGCTCCCTGGCACACTTTGCTACATTACATGTATGTAATCGACTTGTAAGGGTGGTTGAGGGGTCAGAAGGGTCTCGTCGATAAGCCCATCTTCCACTATCCATGATGCTTTCCATCTCATTCTCTCAACAAAATAAACTAAAGAAAAGACCAGCACATTGGTATCACCTTTGCGATCACTCCTAATTTTCCTCCTGCCTAAACTGAAACGACTCCTTTTGCTATTGCTCCTGTTTCGGTGCTTCTGCTCCTGCCTCTGGCTTTGGCTGCTGCTCAGTATGGGGGTGCTCGAGCTGCGCTGGTGATGCCACAGCTGTTTGTTTGATAGCCTCAGCGGGCTTCTCATGTGGTTTCGACTCTGTTGGTAACTCGGACTCTTTTTGTGCCTGCGTTTGCGTGGTCATAAAGGTAGGAGCTGACGGCGAAGTTGGAGACTGCAATGGTGACGAAACCGGGGGTGTGTCCACGTCAAGCATGGACCTGATCTTCTGCGCATGGGGCTTTGGTGATTCCATCGTAGCTTGAGTGGGGGATTGGGGCTGGTCTTGGACTGGGAGCGCTCGATCTTGTGCTGGAGCTACAGGTTGGACGGCGGGCTGAGCTTGGGCTACAGGCGATGATTGAGTTTCCACCTGCTGCTGCTGGATAGGTGACGTGGGTTCGGGTTGTACCATTGTCAACGTGGTAGTTTGAGGAGCGACAGCGCCTGTAGATAGTGGCGCCGCTGCATTGGTAGTGGCAACTGTTGGGGCAGCTGCTATGGCTGCAAGTGAGGCAGGCTGCTCATCCGTGTTCACATCCATGTTCTTCGGCGGAGGCGAGAAGCTTGAAGCGCCTAAGCCAGGACGATCAGCAGGAGGAGGAGACTTAGCCCTCCTTTGTTCTGCGTTCTCTTTTGCTTCACGGTACTTGTTCCTGATCCATCCTATGGGACCCTTGGAATCGCTCTCTCTGCCTTGGTCAAAGCTACCGTGCCCTTCAGCAACCATGTAAGGTCGATCTGAGCTCTCGCTTTTTCGAGGTCTGTGGCTGGAACTGGAAATTGATAGATTGCTGACATCACCATTATCATTCTGTCCAAGGGCCAGGCGGGGCGACGTGAGACCTGCGGATGAGCCGCCGTCGGCATTCCTACTTCTTGATAACCGCCAGCGTCTCTTCTTTTCTCTCTCTGCTTGATCGAATGTGCTGACTGACTGCTCGTCGAGAATTTGATCCAAGTCCGATCCTTCGTTAAAAGATGAATGCAAAGATGTCGGCGGTGATTTCTTCGACTTCAATGTGTTATCTGGATGCAGGCTTTGGTTCGATGACGCTTGGGATACTCGTGGAGTATGTTCCGATGATACATCGCTCTTCTGCTGCGTCAAAGGAGCAGCTACGAGTTGAGGATCGTGAGCATTTTGCGCATGTAGCCCCTCTTGTAACTGCTGCTCGTTTTGATGTTGTTCCAACGCTTCTTGATGTCTGTCTTCTAGGATGGGAGTGGGCTGCTGCTGCATGATCTGTGGTTCCGGGTCGTAATGCTGTTGATGGTCCATAGGGTTGGGAAGCTCGTGTCCCGGGGATGTTGATGTTCCATGTTGGTATGTCAACGAGGCAACAGAGCTTTGTGCACTTGGGTTCAAGCTGCCAGGTATTCTTTTCTTCTTCAGCTTGTTAGGTTGCCTCTTATCTCCAGTATCGGTGTTCGGAATTGAACGAAAAATGTTTGTAAGGTTCCGCTGAGTGGGAGACTCTTGCGGCACTTCAAGAAGCCTCTCGTGACTTCGTCCTGTTACTGGGGCTTTGCTTGGAGTAGCATAGCCACCATGAGCAAATTCTGACGAACGTGTTGATTGGGGAGATTCTGCCACGCTCTCTGTGGGATTGACCTGAGTCAAAGGCTCAAGGTGAGCACCGGAACGAGGGCTTGCGCCATCGGTTCGCTGAAAGCGTCCAGCGCCAATAGCAGGTGATTTCTTGGATGGCACCGTATTGCTCCTAGCCAAACCACCTGTCGTTGGCGTTGCTGTCAAGGCTGGGCTGTTCGGTGTCGAGCTTCCGTCATTTCTGGAGTTTCGTGACGACACGGATCGGTTCCTGCGAAGCTTGCCGTCTCGTCGCACGCTATTGGCACCGGCGCTCGCGTTGGATGCTGATCGGCCCAAACTTGTCTGTCTAGCGGGTTGCGGGGTGAGAGGACCGCTAGGAGTGCTGCCGGACTCCACTTCCTTCTTGGTCTTTTCGTCAGCAGCAGTGCCTTGCATGCCAATGAGGAAATGATCTTGGTTTTCAATCAGAAAGATGATAACGCATTGGTTCAGCCGGTATTCCTCGGGAGCCATGGCGTGTGCTGGGTGAGAAAGCATGCCTGGTTGGAAAATGGCAGCCAAGTTCTGTGAGTTCATTCGGTTCTCATCTGCTTTGGCAGCAAATACTGCGAGAAGGTCAAGAATGTAGAGCAGCAGCTGTCGATTCAGAGGGGGCAGCTCAGTGATGAGCTGCTGATACTGTATGATGGCGGCTTTCTCGTTGAAGTTCTCCACGAACTGAGGACCCTCTGCGTCACCTACAGCCTGCTTGGTTGCGCCTCGGAGGGGATCGCGGAACTTCTCGTAGAGATCGAGGGGAACGACAGGCTCGGGAAGGTCATTAAGGTATCGCCGCAAAACGTTGGCAGCGTCGTGTACTGTGTATCCTTCCCAGACGAGACCCTTTCCGTATCTGTCGGGCGAGTCGAATATGGTCTTGAGCTCCTTTATCCTCTTTTCCGAGCCGCTAAGACGGAAAATTCCTTCGATATGGGTAGCTGGGACAAAATGTCAGCATTTTCACCCTGTCGGCCACTCCAGGCAAATCAACCAACCTTTTTCTTTGAGGAAGACGCCGCACTTTGCGACGACGATGGGAACATAGCCGTAGATGTAGCTTTGTCCCTTTTCATCGATGAGTGAGATCGCAACATTGGCGTATGTTATACTTTGTCGTAGAGGCACACCAAAGATGCCTTGTGGTCGGGTTTCTAAAGTGTTTGAGTCAGAGAACATAGGCAAGAAGTGGGGGTTGACCATATGCGCAGTGGTTTTTAGACCATGGGCATTATAAATGCGACAGGCGTGAGAGAGAGCAGCAATCTGCAGAAGTACTTGACTTCGGCAGTGAAGCGCATCGCGACAAAAGTGCCGAGGAGTGAAACCATGCCGTATCATGACGATTCAGCTTGAAAGGAAACCCGGCAGTGTTGCGCAAGAAGCAGTGAGAGGGGGGAAACCATACCCTGAGGTTCTTGATGCTTTGAAGGCAGCTTGAAGCCCTTCCACCATGATTTGAGATCGCGCTTGCTAGGCGGGGAGGCTGCACTGTTGATGTGAAGGGTCGGCTGGTTGGCCTGGTTAGGGTTCGAAGCGGCGGACGTCATGGCGAACGGCCGAGTATGCCAAAGGCGAAAACGATGAATTTCGAAGAGGACAGAGAGGGTGACGTGACGAAGGACGCTACAGCTGGGCCGGCCCAGTTGCCAGAGTCACGATGGCTGGGCCTCAGCCTCGATCGAATTCGAGGTCGAAGTCAAGAATGCGGCGGCGAGGTGCGCTGAGCGGTGACCCGGAATCGTGTTGTGGAGGAACACCGGGTTCAAAGAAACGGGAAGGAGGTCGAGAAGATCGAAAACCGATAGGCGACGGTGGGCTGAAGGGCACGATGCGAGGCTAAAGATCAGAAGCTAGAAACCAAGGCGTCGAGCTGGGGAGCTCAAACAAGCGAGCGAGGGAGTCGAGGGCAACAGTGTGCGCGCCAGTGTATGATGAGACAGATCGGTCGATGATTGGTAGCGTCAAGGGCGTCAGAGCGGTAGGGCGTCAAGGCGTTAGGCGCTGGTTCAGTTTGGTTTGGTACAGTATCCAGTCCTTCCTTGGCTTGAGGCACAGGCTGGCGTAAGCAAGAATGGAAAAGACAAAGGCAAAGGAGAGCGATGGTGATTGATAAAGCGGGTTGAGAGAAGAAGCGAGGCGAGGCGAGACGAGGGCGCCTTGAAGGGGTCGACGCCGTAGATTATTGCTCAGGTTGATGATTATCGCGTTTTCGCAGTTTGATAGGGAGCGAGATGTACTGTAGCAATAGAAAAACAGTTGGTGGCATCAACAACGAACGGGAGGGAGTAAGATTAAACAAATCCAACCTATCCAAATCAATTGATGTCAGGCGGGGGAGGCTTTGGGGTTGGGGGGCCAAAAAGCTAGGTACCTCTCTAGACCAGGCCAGGTATTGTAGGTACCCGTAGCGTTAGTGGGCTGGTCTGTGTTATATCGTGTTGTGGATGACTTGGTCTGGGCTGGATCTGGGTCTGGGTCTTGAACTAGCAGCAAGGCAGGCAAAGGCAACCAAAGGGAAGATAGAGAAGGGTAAGGGTAAGTGAGATAGTGGAGGTTGCAAAGTAGACCGGCCAGGGTGTAGGGGATGGAGTCAGGTACTAATAGAGCCCTGCCCTGTCGTTGAGCGAGAATCAACGGAAGCGAGTCCGAAAAGCAAGAATTCAAGATGTTGAATTCGTAAGTAATAATTTGAGGCCGTCTTTTAATAGAACTGGCCTGCCCACCGATTAAAGATGCAGGTGGTGGCTGTGGAAGTGAGTGGTAAGGGTATAAGGCAACTTCTTGTTTCGTGTAAAGTTGACGTAGGTTCCTTAATTGCAAAATACCTATAGGCAGATCTCTCTCAGGCGTCGGATGTTTTTAAGCGAATGGACGAGGTTTGCTGTGAGTCTAATAAAAGTATGGGCTACAGACACAAGTCCTGACCACGCTCGCTGTGCTTGGTTGTGTTTACACTGAAACCGAATATACACAAGCGATGGTGATGGAGCCTGAGGTATTAGGGCAAGCGAATTGCGTTGGGTACCTGTAATGAGTTGGGATGGAAGCGAGTGACCAAACAAATGAACGAGCGTGAGAACAAGAGCAAGAGTGACAGTGAGAGTGAGAACAAGCAGGGATGATGGTAGGAGGAAGATTGAGGTTGAAATTGAGATTGAGAGAGAGGGAGGAATACGAGAGACAGATTAATAACTAAGATGATGTATGCATTGCATTGCATTGGCGCGCTACTGTGCCATTCTCAGACCCAGCTCAAGCACAGCACGGTACGATTCACTTGGTTGAGGTAAACTTTGAATCTGATTTAAAAACTCAATTGTTACTGCAATGCAGCCTTCCGTTGATATCGGGTTGAGTATCACTATCATTGAGTCGTTACCGTTACAGTGCAGCTGCATGACTCCTGCAGGCAACGTGGAATACAACACGGGTACAATACCAGTTTCTCAGGTACTAGTAACAGTCGTTGATTTCTTCAATATAGAACTGTTGTATGTTCAATCCATAGAATATGGAGAACCATTTGAGGGGACAGTTGCTGCAAGCGGATGCTATTCTTTGGTGGATGTGTTGGTGCTGAGCAATATGTACTAACTAAAGATAAGTAGTACATATTAGAGTATCCACCTTTGGTGCAATTGCGTCGTGGACAAATATGGACATGGAAATAGATTTACCAGGATCCAAGCTTGGAACTCAATCAAGCCGATTACTTTATTTTCTTCTGTCCTCCTGCCCTACGACGGCCGGCAAGGGATTGGACTCTCCACAGTGACGAGACATGACCGGCGATCACAGCTCAACTCAGGTGTCTTGGAGTATATTCTTGATTCACCAACGTCCATAATGCAAAATACTATGTTGTCCGTTGAGATTGGCATTCCTTATCACGCACTTGAGTCACTCACATTCGCAGAAAATAAGGGCCCTCCCAACTGCAACCACTACTGCGACCCAGCTGTACCAACGAACTGCCTATGGATCATGATAATGGAGCCCGGTACTAGAAGCAGATACATAAAAGAAATACACCATGGACTACCGTTGTAGGTGCCTGGATTGTAGGTAGTCGGCTGCCTCCAAGTGTCTAGGTGCTTGATCTTGATCTACAGGGCTCTCGATAATGGGCCACCTTTTCATTTCAATACTGGGCTAACAAGTTAGGGTGCATATCCCAATCTTACCTTGTTTCTTTTGCAACTGCAGCAAAAAAACGAAATCTGGGTAATAACCCGGATCAAGCCAAGTCGTCAAATGATTTGCAACCATCCATTGATAAATACATGGATAGTATAGTGCTGTACGTAATCATCGACAATCAGGGTCCTGCCGCTATGTTTCCATATTTGGCCCTACTACCCAACGTTATCTCCAACTACGTCAAAGAGTTGCAGCATCACACGTCAGTCTCTTTATTCAAGTCGCCTGCTGCATCCCTCACCAGCTGCTGCGCCTCATCCAGTTCCGAAAAGAGAAAGCGCTTGTCAGCGGGATGCCGCGTCGATCAGTGTTTCAAGATTTTGCCATCTGTAAGTGAAAATACACACTAGAATAGCAACATTCCTCTCTCGGTATACATCACTGGTCAGCTGGGCTTAATGATAGCCTGATAGGCACCCAGCTGCCGGATAGACTAGAGTACGTGGTGGGCTGTAAGCGAGTTGGCTCTTTTGATCTACAAAATAATAATGAGGGGTAACTAAGCGGGGAGGTTCTCGCATGGACGATATTCTTATGATTAAGCACACATTACGTGTGAATCATCTTAAAAAAGACAAGAATAGATGTAAAGCATCAAGGTCAAGTCTGCAGGCAATCAGGCTGGCTATTCTATTTGGTGGCTGGAGAAAAGTATATCTCCACTATCATGGATACCTGGCTACGTCAGACCAAACCTTGCCCGAACAGAAGAAGCAGAGAAAACAGCACGTTGGAAAGCAAAATACACTGCACGGGTGAAATACAACAGACAACAAGTTACATAATTGATTCGACAATATTTACTTAGTACGTGGTTAAGATGCATAAAGAATTGTAGCTGTAAAGTCATGGTCCGGTAGTATAGACTTAAGCTCAACCAATCCGGGGTAAAACGATAATGCGATCCCGCCGATAAGCCGAGCCTTCCAAGCTCTGTGTTGCTTATCTCAATCCTGGCTACGGGTACAAGGTCAAAATTTCAACAACATCGACGTCAACCCACCACAACGGCCTTATAACATCTAATTCATCAACCACATCACTACCCCTAACCCGCCAAAATGGATATGTACGCTCTCGCTCTTTCGAAAACTCTCCGGCCGATCATGATACTGACCATTTCTTTCCAATTGCAGGCTTTCAGCCGCCGAGCAGCGCACTCTTGAGCAGCGCATGCAAAAGCGCCAGGTCAAGGAGTTTATGGGTGTATGTCTATTTCCAAGACAAATTGTTCCTTCCGATTCAATACTGATTCTCGTTATATAGGCTTTCGGCGGTCTTGTCGAGCACTGCTTCATGTCCTGCGTCGATGACTTCACCTCCAAGGCTATTTCCAACCGGGAAAGCGGCTGCATCAACCGTTGCGTCCAGAAGTGGATGGCCTCTCAGCAGCGCATCAGCGACCGCTTCCAGGAGCACAACGCCCAGCTCACAGCTCAGATGAACAAATAAGCGCGACAAACTCGGAATCGCGGCGTGTACGAATAGGAAGAAGAATATACCAACATAAAACTCCGCACGAGATCTACTCTTATGGTGTCAGATGTATACTGGAAGGCCGTCTCCCATGATACCGGAAGGGGATGAAACGACGACGATGATATCGGGCGCCGCAGGTTTTCTGTAGCGCCAAATTGTACTTCTACATTATAATGGGGTATAGACATGAACGGTTGGGCTTGGATCTAGCTACTCCATGAAATGAAAATATGACCCATTTCTCCTTCAGTCATCAAGTTGATAGGAAGACTCGCTGGTCGTTGCTATTTTATAGTTAAAACATGGCCCCATGCTGAAACATAACAACTGTGATAAAAGAAAGACGGTATTGTGAATCGGCATAGTTCAATAGCTGTAGCCATCCATTATGAAATAATCAGATAATACTCTCTTATCTCTGCGCAATGCACATGACCCATTTCCAACGCCAATGACCTAAGATACTACTGGTACTATACATCTCGGTAATAATCGCTATTTTCTTCTCTAAAAACTGTCATCAAATTCAATTCTCTGCTTCATCGCCCAACACATCCCGGATGGCGTCCAGTTGAGCCACAGCTTTCTCCTCCAAAAGACTATCGTATGCTCCGGCGACGGGCTTCATACCCCGCCAATCCATTTCTCGTTGTCCCAAAGGCATAAGTCGTTCCTTTAGCAGCTTCTTTGTGCTCAACCAAAACTCGACGTTTTCAAGAAGGTTTGCTGAATCCCATTCGACGTCCGGAATATCCCGGTTGTTGTTTACGCGAAGAGCAGCAAGCACTCTTGTGAGGAGAGCCAGAGAATGGACTTCAGAAATAGCCACAAGCGTCAAGTAGTGAGGCGACGCTCGAGACTGCGTACGGCTTGCCCCTGGTGCCTCAAAACGGTCCACGCTTGCCTCCAATAGGTGTGGGAACTGGTTCAACACGTAGGCAACTTCTGGAGCGATGGTAGCGCCCAAAGCTGTAAGCAAGTTCAACATCAGAGGAAGTAGTCCCTTAGCCCAGATACCGTAGCAGCGTTGCACAACAGGAGAGTCCGAGTAGGGGGAGATGTTGGATTTGAGCATAAACTTTGTCAGATTTGCTGATAGAATGTTGCTCAGAATTCCATCACAGGCCATCTGCTCGGCAATCAAAGGTAGAGTAGAGAGCTCAAGCAAGAATAACATACTCAGCTCGCCATAAATGGGGTCGCCTTGGTCAGACAGCCTATCAGCCCAAGAGTAGAGGGATGACACAGCATGGAGAACTTGATGCTCAGCCATGATGTTGAGAACCTGGGTCTGTGATTGCTCCATGTTGGGCAGGCTGAGGCATGCTTGGAGGATGGCTGTCAACAGTCCAAGGTCTTCCGGCGACACGCTGGTTTCATTATCGTGGACCAGGCTAACTAATGCGCGGAAACCTCTGCCAACAACGCGGTCGAGGACATTCAACACAGTTTGTGTAACTGTCACTGTGGTTCCCTCAAACACATCTTGGGTTTCTTTCTTGCCAATAGTGTGGTACGCGCGCAGAGTGACGAAGAGGGCTTTCAGCAGGGTACGATAATATGAGATAGACTCAGATCCCCAAGGCTCTTCAACTCCGTTCATCGTACCAACAAGAGTCGAAAGTAGCTGGTTGATGTCCTTCACTGGCACAGAAGATTTGACAAGTCGTTGAATCAACACAAGAGCGAGGTTGGCCCGGGATTCAACCAACTTGAGGAAAATATGCTCAGGCCCAGGAATGCCTTGGTTTGCATTTAAGCATTGCTGAGCAACCTGCAACATTTGTTTCTCGACGGTGTCGTTCTTGGGCAGGCATGTAGAGAGTTCAACAAGCAGGAACTCCCAAGCATGGAAAAGGGCCTAGTTATACAGTTAGTTAGGGTGACCGGAGATGGGAAGAGTCAACTTACAAGCTGAGCATCGACAAGGGATAAGTTCATGTTTGCGCGTTCCATCTCTGCCTTGAAGCCATCATCCTTTCGGGCCTTCCAGCCAGGGTCAAACCGGAGCATCTCATCGGCACGCTCGAGGTCGTAGTAGTAGCTCTTTCCTAATTCTCGTGGCTCAAGGGCAGTTCGTTTGAAATAATCCACAGGACAGTCAGAGTACTTGTTCGAAAAGTTCCTTGCAAAATTGTTGTGTAAAGACTTGTTGTAGCCCCCAACCTCGACTCCGTCGCGAAGGTAATAGTCGAGATCGCTGACGAGATTCTTTGCCAACTTATCGGAATTGCCAAGATGTCGTGAATGGTATAGTTGCATAGCAAATGTCTCAGCAACGTAGGCGGCCAGTCTTGCCTCGAAGCCGGCACGAACAGGATCACTCTTCACGGTAAGGTTAGATGGCTTAAGTTCCCGAACATATGCTCTGAGACCATCCAGGTACGCTGTGTCTTTTTGCAGTGTGAAAACGGTCCAGGGCCAGAAGTTCTGAGCCGAGGCAACGAAGTCGAGTATGACCAGTGCTTCGCTCACTTCAAGATCCTTCAGCTTTCCAAGCTTGGCAAGTCCTGTGGCGAACACTGAGTTGGAAGAGACATCAGTCTTCTTCTTGTCCTTCATCGCCTCTCTTGGGGTTTGTCCTGTAAGAAGACAGTTAGACATCCACTGCTGTCTGTTTCTCAGGATAGCGGAGAAGAATCTCCAAGTTGCCTTGACTTCGGTTCTTAATTCGAATGGCTTTCCAAGAGTCGACAGAAGCTGCAAGAAAGATTTGGAAATTTGAGGTCCAAGATAACCAAGTAGCGAAGGAGGCTCGCTTGAAGACTTGCCAGCATTCACAACCAAAGACTCTAGAAGCCACATTGTAGGTCTGCGATAATGGTCGGATGCTGCACACAGACGTGCGAGCAGGGTCGAGCTCTTGAACAGATAGGTTTCGATCATGCTAGAGGATTGCTCAAGATAATTTGCAACCCGCAAGAGAGTAGCCGATAGCTCTAGTACAGCACTCAACTGTGAGTGAATCATCTCTACACGTCTTGGGTAGAGTGTGCTATCGGCCGTTGTGAATGCTGTAATTAGGGAAGATAAGAGAGGCTGGAAACGAAGAGACCCAGTCGAGGGCGAAACAAAGCAGTCGATAACATAGGAGGCGGCTGGTCGAAGGCAAGAAGTCAGATTCTCCGAGGTAGACGAATCGCCAAGACTATAGCTGTACGAGATTATTTTATGCAAAATAGGCACGACGTCTCGAAGAATTGATGAGCGGCAAGTATCAGACGCAAATCTCCAAGTGGATGTGTTCTCAAAAATATCGACTCCTGCTTGAGCAATCGCATAACTGACCTTTGCCAGCACCTTGTCGGCTGTACCAAGCCAAGGGTTCAAGTCCGACTTGCTTCTACCGGCAGTCTGAATACCAGCTCGGCGCTGAACGGCTGAAGTCATGGCAGTGTCAATCAGATTGCCGAACAGGCGTAGACAAGATGACAAAAAGTCAAGCCTCTCCTGAACTAAATCGAGGCTACCCACAACCTTGGTGAGCTTGCCAGCTCTTGACTCGGAACTCAATAGCTCGCAGCGAGAAATATAGGACCAAACTCTGCTGGGGTAAATTGGCAGAACCGCGTCCAAGAATTGAATGCAAGAGGTAAGAATTGTCACAACGACATCCTCACTCTCTGCAAGGTCGACCTGCATATAATAGTCCATTGTGTCACAGACTACTGTCAACAGATCCCTCCCACTGCCCGCATCGATGTGCTTCTTAGCCTCAGAAAGAATATCGTTGTCTGAAAGCACTAGGGCTCCGCTTGTATCTTCTTGAGCAGCATTCAAGTGTTCCATATGAATGAGTGTCGCAAACAGAGAGATGACTTCGGCTGTTTCCTCAGGTTGGAGCATTCCAAGTTCAGACTGATAGCCCTCCTTCATCAAATTGATTTCCAATCGCCGACCCAAGAGGGAAATCGTTGAGTGAGGGTACTCCATTGAGACGACTCTGCCTGTATCTGTAACGAAGCGGCCATATGTGCCAGCGGGTATTCTGTACGAATCATCTTCGGCACGCCTACCGCGCCACGAGGGGGATAATGAGATGATAGGGATGTCCTGCAGCAGGCAGAAAGTGTTTGTATTCTCATCCTCTTGTGCGAGTTCATAATCTTGAAAGTGGTCAGGAAGAACAAATGTTAGTGTAGGTGTCACCCGAAGAAGGTTGAGAATCATCTGCGACCGCTCGCTATCTCGAAGGCTCGTAGCGCTCGCAAGTGTTCGGCAGAGAGTAATGAAGGGCATGAACTCGTAAGGGTACCTGTCAAGGGCTTGCTGAAAGAAAAACTCCAATGCGAGGTCATCGTTGAGCATCGAGGCAAGGATATCCTGCTTCTCGGAAAGATTCTCCTTCGACGAGAGATCCCAATAGTTTCGACCGGCGCTAAGAACAGAAAGCAAGGCGCTTACGGGTTCTGACTGATAACCGACAATGGGGTAGGAAACCTTAAGAAGTTCCAGAAACACGTTGCGAAGTCGAGAACTGAGCAAAGGGGTCATACTGCCTTCATCAGAGGGGCCTAGGCTTGATGCCATATTGGATATGGCATCAAAGACTCGCCCCTGAGCTGTGACCGCCGATGCAAGCTGCTCCACAACAACAAGATCCTTGGAAGCAGTCGCATTTTCAAGAAAGCCGTCGAATTTTGAGGATTCGATGGAGAAGATGCTCCCTGCCGAGTTGCGCCTTGCAACTGGACGGATCACACCCCCAGCCTCGAAAGTCTCTCGCGCATTCTGTTGCAGCAAGTTGTCTCGTTTCTCCGTTCTGGCTTGATAAGATACGTTCATACGATGGAGGAGCAATGTCCAGGCGAATATGACAGGCGAAGCATTCTCAGAGTCGGCGTCTGCTGCATTAAGCACACTCTTGTGAACTTGCTCGAGGACATCGGATGAGAGGAGATATGTATCGTAGGTGGTATCGGCTTGAGTCGCATCCTCCTCTCTCTCGGAAAGATAGGTTAGCGAGCGAGCTGGCTTAAGTAAAATCAAAGACACGGCGACTGATAGTGTCTTCAAGGGCGTAATTAATGGAGCAATGCTTTCGTGGATCTGTTGAAAGTTAGCATAAGTCATGCAAGCATTCGAGTTGAGCATACCGGTTGAACAGCGTCAAAGAATCTGTAGACGTCCATCAACGAGAACCACTGATTAACAGCATTCGAGGGCGCAAACTCGTCTCCAAAACTATCCACTATCTGGAACACAACGGACAGGGCGTGAACAGCTTCAGTTAAAAGAGTTCGTATCCAGTCAATTTCAACCTCCTCCGTCGCCCACTTTTCGTCGGTGATAGCTTTGAGACCAGATTCGATGCGGCTCATGGAATCTGTCAGAATTTGGAGATAGGTAGGCAGTAGGAGTTCCGCATCGTCGCGCGCAGGCAAAGTCAGTCGATAAGTCTTGGCCAGGTCGAGATCGACATTGGCAAAGGTAGGTAGTCTCCCGTATAGCTTGATAGAGTTGGCGTAGTCCGCAGACATCATAAAAAAACGGCGTTCGGTAAGGTATGTATCGAACAGACGTCGCTGTCTCGTCTCGGTTTTCTCGAACTCGGCCCATATCTCCTCAGCATCCAACGCAGATGCTGAGCCCAAGTCTGACAGGAATCCCGACCCTTGGCCATTGTGAAGGCCGGCAGCTTCCTGCAAGTTCTTTGCATCCTGCGATGATAGTGGACCACTAAGATGGCGAGCTGGGCGAGACTGGTGTTCGATAACGACGATGCGGAGAGCTGCAACTAGGTTGATTTTGGCATTCTTGCTGAGCCATTCGGCATCCTTCTTAATCGACTCAATACCGGGTCGCCCATCAGAGCTGGCGGGCACGTTTATCGGTGCTGTTTTTGTTTGAAAATCTTTTTTGGTAGTTTCGTCTGCGGGTGCGAAGGTGCTGGCAGGATCCTCAAGAAGACGGTGAACATAGTCGTCGCTCAAAAAATTGATAACAGCAGAGCTCGTAGTCCTCTGGCCAGAGCTATCGGAAAGCGCAGTTGCTATAAGCTTCCATGAACTGCGTAGGTAGTCAGTTAGAATACATGTTTGTTTACATAGGGATAGCCGCAAAAGATGGATACTTTGTGATGGGATTATAGAACTTACAGCAGTACCCTCTCCCCAGTCAGGCATTGCTCTAGGGAGGGGAAATATATGCGATCGGCCACCGGCGCCATTGCAAAGAGCGTCAAAAAGGCGACAGTGGCATGCGATGCATTACCTTTTAACTAGGGTAAATGCGAAGTTTGATGCTTGTTGACGCGCCTGGTCGCGATGAGCTTTGGCTGAACAAGGTCAACTTTTTGGTAGCTAGAGAGCTGGTTTAGCCGGCGTTTAGCCCTTAATTCACCTGCAACCGCTTATCGGACCTTGGCCACCTTAAGGTTGGGCGTGGAACGCACTGTGACGCACACTGTAAAATACATTATTTTTGCACCTATAGATCAGTGCGAATTCAATTGCCGTGCACCGGTGAGCTGTACAAAGGCGACTTCACTTTCTTTGTTTGATGGTTTATTAACCCAAGTGAGTCACTCTTTCTCAACACCACCGTTTGATCTCACGAGAATCAATCGAACAAGAAGGAGATAATATCTTCAAACGAGCTTTCTTTTTCTTCTTGTGTGTGTTCAAAAATGGGTTCTTCAGATATTATTGATCACTCTCCTCACCAAGGTGATCCCTCACCTCCAATCCCAACCGCTTCCAACCTTATTGTCATTGACAACTACGACTCCTTCACTTGGAACATTTATCAGTACCTTGTTCTTGCTGGAGCTACAGTCACAGTCTATCGAAATGACAAGATTACTGTAGAGGAATTGATTGCCAAGAAACCCACTCAAATCATTATTAGTCCTGGACCCGGTCATCCCGAGACTGACTCTGGAGTCAGCCGCGATGTCATCAAACACTTTGCAGGCAAGGTCCCAATATTTGGTGTCTGCATGGGACTGTAAGTCTCTGAAAGTCTCCAGAATGTCTACCTCTAACCTAGTTACAGTCAATGCATTTTCAATGTCTATGGTGGAGAAGTCAGCTCCGCTGGTGAGTGGCTTCACGGCAAAACTTCACCTTTGACCCATGACTCCAAGGGTGTCTTCTCTGGTCTGAGCCAGGGTGTACCAGTCACTCGGTATCATTCTCTTGCCGGTACCCATGTTACTCTGCCTGAGGATTTGGAGGTCTCCTCCTGGGTTGCCAAGCCTGATGGCTCTCCTGGTGTCATTCAAGGTGTGCGTCACAAGAAGTACACAATTGAGGGTGTTCAATTCCATCCTGAGAGTATTTTGACCGAAGGTGGACGAGCCATGATCACAAACTTCCTCCGCATGCAAGGGGGTACTTGGGAGGAAAACACTCAGTTCCAAAAATCCGGTTCTGTTGCCAGCGACGACTCGACAGCGCCCAAGTCTAAACAGAACAAAAATATCCTGCAGCGAATTTACGAAAGCCGAAAGGCTGCCGTGGATGCTCAGAAGCAGATTCCCTCTCAGCGATTTGAGGACCTCCAAGTCGCTTATGATTTGAATGCCGCCCCTCCCCAGATCCCCCTTGTTAGCCGGCTACGAGAGTCTCCCTTCGATGTTGCTCTCATGGCTGAGATCAAGCGTGGTTCTCCTTCAAAGGGCATATTTGCTCTTGACATATCTGCTCCTGCTCAGGCTCGAAAGTACGCTTTGGCGGGTGCGAGTGTCATTTCTGTTCTGACCGAGCCTGAGTGGTTCAAGGGTAGCATCGAGGACTTGAGGGCAGTTCGACAAGTTTTGGATGGTATGCCTAACCGGCCCGCGATTCTACGAAAAGAATTCATCTTTGATGAGTATCAGATTCTCGAGGCTCGGTTGGCTGGTGCTGATACTGTTCTCCTCATCGTCAAGATGCTCGACACCGAACATCTGCATCGCCTGTACAACTACTCTCTCCAGCTGGGAATGGAGCCTCTCGTTGAGGTTCAAAATGCTGAGGAGATGACAACAGCAGTCAAGTTGGGCGCCAAGGTCATCGGCGTCAACAACCGTAACCTGGAGAGCTTTGAGGTGGATCTCAACACAACCGGCCGGCTGCGCAGCATGGTACCAGAATCTACAATCATCTGCGCCCTTAGCGGCATCAACACTCACGACGACGTTCTAATGAACAAGAGGGATGGTGTTAATGCTGTCCTTGTCGGTGAAGCCATCATGAAGGCGCCCGACGCCAGTGTTTTCATCAGTCAGCTGTGCTCTGGAACTGAGCCCGCAGCCAAGACAGATGCCGTATCGTCTCTATACGTCAAGATCTGTGGCACTCGAAGTGCTGAAGCTGCACGCAGGGCCGCCGAGTCAGGAGCAGACTTTGTGGGCATCTGTCTTGTTCCCAATGCCAAGCGGTGCATCTCTCACAAGACTGCCCTTGCCATTTCAGAAGCTGTGCACACTTACCCCAGCACTCAAAAGTACGAGACACAGGTGGCAGCAGTAGACAACAAAACCAAGGACTTTTTCGAGGCTGCAACTCAGAGACTCCGCTGCCCCCGACCTCAGCTTGTCGGCATCTTCCAGAACCAGCCCCTGAACGAGGTTCTTGAGAAACAAAAGCAATACAACCTTGACCTCGTACAACTACATGGTGATGAGCCTATTGAGTGGGCCAACCTCATTCCTGTACCAGTTGTCCGATGCTTCAAGCCAGGTCAGGTTGGCATTGGTCGTCGCGGATACCACACAGTTCCTCTCCTCGATTCGGGCTCTGGTTCTGGAAAGCTTCTTAACGTTGCCAATGTTCAAACTGTTCTTGAGAGTGATCCTGAACTCCGTGTCTTTTTGGCAGGAGGCCTCAACCCTGACAATGTCGCTGAGTCTGTCAAGGCTTTGGGTCCTCTAGCTGATCGCGTGATTGGTGTTGACGTGAGCAGTGGCGTAGAGGAGGATGGAAAGCAAAGTCTCGACAAGATCACGGCATTCATCAAGGCTGCGAAAGAAATTCGATAGAAGACAAATAGAATTCTGTACTAAGGAGTCCCAATTGAAATGAAAATTTAAAAACTATTCGTATAGTCATTGTGATAGTGCGGAGCAACCTCACTTAAAATTTGGATAACCCGTAGGTGTACTGTTGGCGTTGGCGTTGGCGTTGGCGTTGGCCGGTTTTGAAAGCTGCTCGGCACTGCAACTCTTATTCACTGCCTCTGCCTCTGCCTCTCATTGTGTAGAAATAGTCAAATTCGCAGGCAGCAATTATTTTACTACTTTTTCGTCTTTCCAATCCACATTTCTTCTATCTCTTCACTCTCTCCTCTCTTCCTCTTTAACATCTCTTCATCTCTTCACAGGCTTCAATCTCAAATTCGATCGATTCCAAGCATTTTAATCTTCTACCCCTTTCCCCTGACCCTTTATCTTGGTTGGCTTCCTTCCCTTATTCCCACTAAAGACTTGATTCAACTTGCTCAATTATACCTTGCTCTATCCCTTCAGTATCTACCTATCGCCAGGTTCTTGTTACCTACACGAGCACGTGTTTTACATCGACTCTTCATTACTTCTTTCTACTTTACCAACTTCATCTCTAGACAATCAAGCAACACCAATGCCGAGTCAAATATTTAAAGGAAAGGTCTTCGCCGCTGCGGGACCTCTTCCTGGACAATTTACCGTCGACAATATGAAGCGATGGACTTCTCTACGCAAAGGCGTCTTCCTCGATGATTTCGACGAGACTGTCACTCATCTCCTCTGTACCAGAGAGCAATGGGACGACAAGATCCCTAGAAGTATATTATTTCACCTGATTCAATTGCATACACTTACAACCAACAGTCAAACAGGCCTTGAAACGTCACAAGAACTTTCCGATCATCCACTGTGACTGGTTCGAATTCTCCACGGTCAATGAGAAGAGGTTGCCAGAGAGAGACTACTCCATGAGAAGCCTTCAGGCAAAGCTGAACGCCAAAAGACGAGAGAAAGAACGATGGGAGAAGGGTATTCAACAGGGCAAGAAATTTGTCAACACAAGTACGGCGCTCTCTTCATTATTTGTTTATGATTCAGGCTAACAAGATCACATACTTCTACCATCTCTACCGAGACCGTCTCAATTTTGTCTACGAGGTTGACATCACTCGAAATGATGAAGCGACTGGCGAGATCGGCCAGAAATATACCCTCTACGTAAGTTCTATCATGTCGTACGTAGCTTGTGCCCCTATACTAATGCTATCCGCCTAGTTGTGGGAATCCAATGCAAAGCCACATTTGTACTTATTCGCAGCCCGGTTTCTTAAGCGGAAAGGCAGCACTCAGCCGTCCTATCACCGCCCTAGTACTTATGAAGGGCTATGGCGGAATGAGATGGACCTTTTCATGGATTTCTTCAAGAAGAAGACAGGCATTGACTGGCAAGATCGTGTGACTCTGGCCAATACGCAGCCAGGCGCCTACTTTCAGTATGCTCCTCCGGTATGCCAATCCCCCTGGATCTGTTCCAATGCAAAAGACCAATGGTATATAGGCCGAAGGAAGACCTGTCGGACGGCGTCTCCGACATGACCTTGATTATTGCCGAGAGATCAACGCGGAGATTCTAGGTCTCCCGCAGCCCCCGGTCGAGGATTCTGAGGGCACGAAAGACTCATCGGAGAACGAATTTGATGCGGGCCCAAGACCCTCTGAAGACGAAGACGTTGTTATGGCTTCGCCACCTGATTCTACTCTTGTTTCGGAAGACGAGTATCAGGAAAACGAACAAGAGTCCAAGTCAGAGCAGGAGCAGAACTTGAATACTGGTCCCGGAAGCCCTGAACATGATACGAAATCAATGGCCTCGCCTTGCAAGCCAGATAATGCACCAACTGAGGATGTCACTCCCACCATCAACACGCAGTCCATCGAAACTGAACTTTGCAGCACACCAGTCGAGGGAAGACTCGAGACTCCTCCACATGATACGGAGGCAGATGCCAAAAGTACCTCGGCTGGTTCAAATTCTCCAGACCCTGAGGACACTCCTGTCTCTCCAGTCAAACCTGCTACCCCAGCCCCATCTATCGATGGGAATGGTATCTCGGAGTCTTCCAGCGACCCTCTCGTGATCATTGACAAAGATACCGGGATGGGAATTTCGCTGGAGTTCGAATCACGAGAACCATTAACTTAGGAATCCATCGGGAGGCTAGGCGATTTCGCAGGCCTTCTTCCTCGCCTAGCTTAGGACTATTTAGGCGGTTTTTCTATGAGATCAATCAGAGTAACGGGGGAGATTAAGAATATCAAGAAAGCAGTGATCATGTTAACTATTGCTATGAGGCTTTGAGTTTGGAGTTAGGCTTCACATGGGGACAAAGATCATAGCTCAGACATGGTACAGACTAGCTGACTGATGTGCATTTTTCACTTCTATGCATTACTAGAATTAGTAAATACTAGAGCATATTTGCAACACCTTGAAGATGGGGCGAATAACCAATGGCCAGGACTCGTTGTGTGACAGGATAGTGGTATTAGTTTATACATAAGATATAGCTTCGTATTGTGGCCCTTAAGTTTATGTGTAAGGTAGGCTGTGACTACGTCGTCTTCAATAACGATGATATTGTGGCCTAATTATGTCTCAAACCTTAACTCCCCCTTAGAACCTCAACTTTGGCATAAAGAAGACAACCAGGAAACACACGAGCATAAGACCGTACACTAGGGCATACAACTTGAGCCTCCCAAAGTATCCCTTTCCTTCCGTCATCCTCTTCAACGTGCCCATTCGGCCCCTTGCCGCCTCCATACTCTGCTCCGTCTTATCCATACCCTCACTCGCACGGCCTACCACGTCCTTATCTGCCTCGAGGGTATCGGAGAACCTCTGTGAACTTGACTTGAGGGCACCCGCCATCTGCAAGATTGATTCGGAGAGACCTTCCTGTTCAGAACGTTGACGGTCAAGCAAGGCCTCTGCTGTTGCTGTTGAAGTTTGGGGCGTGGAGGGTTTGCCGCGGTTGGCAAAGAGGGCAGCGCGTGCGGTTGAGTGTGAGGAAGGTGAAGGCGATATATTTGCACCTCGTGGTCTGAGTGTTTGTGATGTTTGAGTAGGTTCTTGAGTATGTTGTACAGGTTGGGTAGTCTCAGGGGCTGCTGTTGAGGCGGGCACTGGTGGCAAAGTTAAAGCTGGAACTGCTGTGACTGGTATTTCCGTTGTCTCTGGGGGTTCTGATTCTGCATCGTCGTCTTGTCCCGAGCTTTCAGTTGGCTGTCCTGTTGATATAGAGTCCATCATACTGTCGCTCGGTGTAGGTATTATCTCTGAGAGAATGTCTTCTTCATCGGTACTTGCATCGTCGTCGTCTTCGTCAAGAGCCACCTATCGAGATGTCAGCTAATTGTCCACCACTTTTTAGGTCAACACTCACTTGTCTCAAGTCTTCTAGTCGGTCTAAGAGCAGTTCCAATAGCTCTCGTTTCCCATTCAAGTCTCCTTGCACTTCAGCTCGTCGACCTGGAGCTTTAATTGCCAGCGCATCGTGTTCCAATTTTGATAATGCACTCCGTGCGTATTCAAGGTTCTGTAGCCAATGTCAGGTCGTGTTCACATTGAAACGGCCATGTACGCTCTTACAGATGCCACCCTTGCTCTTTCAAACTCGCTGGATCGTAGTCTTCGTTCGCGGTCGCTATCAGTATGTAGAACGGTCTTTTGTAATCGCGAGAGTAGGTTTCCAAGCTCTGCTGAAGCAATATCAATTGCGCTTCTGTTAAGCGACGGGCTTGCCGATTGCGAAAGTCGCGCCATGGTTAATTTCTTCGGTGGTCGATCTCCTGGATTTGCGCTGTCTCTGCGACTGTCTTTGGTGTTTCAGTGACGTGTGAGGTTCAAGGAAGCTCAAGCTACAGCGGGTCCTTGTGGCTCGAGCCTGTGGTAAGCCACGTCGCAACTTACACCACATCCCTCGAGTTGTACACATACGTATAATAGGATACATTTCAGCAATTCTAGTGCAAGGGTTACTACTATATTCTTACTTATTTTTCTTTTCTCCCCTCCTTTCCATTTAGGATAGATATATAGCTTCCTGTTTTAATTATCAACCAATTGTAGGTTCAATACTCGGCTGTAGTAATTGTCAGCGATGTGTTTCGTCAGGCCTCATCACTTTGAAGCGTACTCTATTTACAAACGTAGGAGAATCCAGATACAATTGAGTATAAAGAAAACCGTAAAGGAACAAGAGCATTACGTTTGTATCACCAAGGATTATATTCATTCAGCAATTTAGTAGTTGGTAAGGCAGACAGTCTTTGATGTAAAATTACCCTATACCAGCAAACCAAAACGGAAGGGCATCTGGATACCCGAACTCAGTCCCAAAGTCTCGAACGCCCTGCGCCATGTGCAGAATAGCAAACAAACAAAATCCGAAATGGCAATCCTCCAGTATTTAACTATGCATACAACAAAATCCGCTTCTCTTCATGCGTCCAGCCGTCGAAGATCGAAGTCTCCCACAGTAGTAGATCTGGGTCGGCCGGTGAATAGTAAATCTCCTCAAGACAGTGACCAAAAGACAAGAATTAAAGCCAACTGCACACTCTCAGACTGGATTAGTCCCTGGGTGGGCTCGCTTTCACTTTCTCTTCCTCCTCATTGTCCTCCTTCTCCAAGGCGCTGCGTAGTCTCTCTTCTTGTCGCTTCCAGTGACCGCCCTCCTCGTAGTCAGCACTAATCTTTAATGCTTTCCGTAGTCGCTCGCTCTCCTTGATCTTGGCATCGGCCATCTCGTGAACCTGGTGCTGCTTGAATGACTTCTTGGGGCCTCCCCGTCTCCCTGAGTTCATTTCGGCAAGCAATTTCTGACGAAGCTCATCACATCGTCTGTCAATCTCATCTTCATCAACCCTGTGCTTGTCAGCAAAAGTAGAGGCATTACGGGAACATTATGGAACGTACTCTTCCTCCTCGAGCTTGTCTCTGAGATCAAAGACCTTAACCTCGACCTCGCGCTTGCGGTCATGTTCTAGGATTCCCTTGTCTGGTTGCCGTTGCTTATGTCTCAAGCTATCGAGGTCCTTGGGATAAGGGGCGCCGTAGTCCCGGGGCTTAATGTGAGCAAGGTTGCGCTGGACATAGCCCGAGGTGCCACTGCCTCGGGGGGTGTTGAGACCAACGTTGTCAGACATATCTGACTGATTCGGTTCTATAAGATGTAACAGATTTCCCAATAGACGAGATGATTGACACGGAATGGTAATGTTATTGCAACAAAGTTTTGTTATGTTTACGACAGCGACATGTGGATCTAAGTGATGTAGTTAGGACCCTTCTCTGCCATACCAAGAGGTATCGGTGTCTCACCGCCTACCCTTCCCGACCGATAAGATAAGAACTGTCGCCCCTCCATGTTGGAGGGGCATAGAATATTTCGACGGAATTTGTAAGTGAGTCAGTCAACACTTGGATACCTATTATCAGAACGACTCGGTATTTATTTTCCTGAAACCAGTATCGTTTAAGTTTATATTAGGGATACGGAAATAAAGTTTTCGAATCCTATACCGCCTCTTGAGTTCAAGATGCCTCACGTTCCTTCATCAACTGAAGCTGAGAATCAAGGCGATGCGCCTGAACTCGTCTTTCCCCCTGTCACCAAAGACCATATTCAAAACTGCTCCTACGACTCTTGGTTTCCCAAGTATAGGAGCTCTTGTCTCAAGTCTCGTATAATTCCTCTACCCCCAGCTTTCATTGAATACCTTCATGAAGATGGTATTGTCTTGGCGGACGACGATGAGCATCAAGACGAACCAGAGGAAGAGTGGCATGCATCATCCAACACATCTGCGAGACCACAAGCCCAAGATCCAGAATCATCAGACGACGAAGATGATGAGCCCGAGAGATTGCCACCAAACCAAAGATTCCCAGAGACACATAATCTCGTCAAGGAGACGATTGCTGAATTGGGTGGCTCAGTGGCACCAAAGTTAAACTGGTCATCACCAAAGGATGCGAAGTGGATTTCACCTCACCAGAATACACTCAAATGCACGACACCCAATGATATCTATCTGCTTCTCAAGTCGTCTTCCTTTGTGTCTCATGATCTTGACCATGCCTTCGACGACTGCACTTCGGCACCCCCCTCGCGGCCTTATGCACCCATTCTTGTTCTCAGGCCATTTTTCTCTCCTCATGTTGCCCTCGAGTTTCGTTGCTTTGTCAAGCACCGAACACTTATCGGAATTACACAAAGAGATCTCAACCACTACGCTTTCCTTGAGCAGATTCGGCCACAACTATGGCGCAAGATCAAAGATTTTTTCCATGACAAATTGAGGCTCACTTTCCCTGATGCCAGCTTCGTCTTTGATGTTTACGTTCCGGAGAACTCCTTTGAGAATGATGGACTGGGAAAGGTTAGACTGATGGACATCAACCCATGGGCTACTCGTACAGACAGTCTCCTTTTCGGATGGCAGGAGCTTTTGGAAATAGATGTCCTAAAACCCCTATATGGCACATCGAGCAGTGAGGCTGGTCCGGATGTCAGTGGTGACGACACAGCTACTGAAGGGGAGGATGTTGACGAAGAGATCGAGTATCACCCTGATATGCGCCCCGAGTTTCGCATCATAGAGAAGGATGACCCTGCTGCTTATAACTTTAGCAGCCCACAATATTCGGCCCATAAGCTGCCAAAGGAGGTTGTCGATGCAAGCATGGCTGGCCAGGGTGGGCTGATGGAGTTTGCGATGCAGTGGAAGGAACTCACCGAAGGACGAGGAGATGGTATTTGGGAAAAAGCTGCTGGTGCTGGCACATAGAGCATCTGTGGACTGAATACAAGTTGTTAAAGTAAAAATGTTATGAACATGCACCATCTCACTACGTAAGAACAACTCAATTTGGACTGGGTATCAATTGAAACAGGTAGAATTCGAACACAGTGCACATATACAGTTCAACTACCAGAGTAAAAGACATATTTTGCCTTTATGTTTTGTTGAACAAGTTCAATTTACTGAGACAGAACAAGGCGAAACATAGAAGTAGTGAGTTTTTACAGTGTAGCTTGATGTCATGATTCTTTTGATGATTAGAACCACCACTACTCACAATTGATTAAGGCGGCCAACTACCAACCCACCCAAGGTACAACACCTAGGCATACGCGGTATCATTTAATTTCATAATAGCAGACCGCGAAAATGATGCCTTCAAATCACGTGAAAACGCGATACAGCACCGTGCAAATTAGTTATTCGTACGCGCTCTGTTCGCTGTAGGCCACCCTAGTTTGTTATTCCCGGTTCTTACAACGCGCTCCCTCACTCCCCTTCTCCTCCTACTCACCCCCCTAGCTCGTGTTCTCTCCCTTGCTCTTCCACTTTTCTTCCCTGTAACCTTATCACAATAACCACTCATCTACATCCTTTTTCATCTCACTTCTAAATACACTCCATACCGTCTGTCTTCTAAACGCTTTTGTGTAAGCCAACCTTTGAATTATATCAACCTCAATACCTATCTCTACAGCGGAGGGGGGGGAAAAATAACATTTGTTTTCTTTCATTTCCTTCGAAAACATCACCAAGATGCCCAAGGCCAAGGGTGAACGCTCTGTGAGCGCCCGAAAGAACCCTATCGCAGGTCGATCTTCTCGACGTCTCCAGAAGTCTTCGGATGCTGCCCCCAAGAAGACTAACAACAAGAAGTCCGTCAAGGAGGAGCGGGTTCACGAATCCGAAAGTGATGACGAGGAGACCGCGCATGATTCTGAGGATGACCAGTCAACTGCCGGAGACGCACCCTCTGACGAATCTGTCAATGACTCTGCTGATGGCGAGGGCAACGCTCTTGTGCCCGCCTTAGAGAACATGGCTCTTACCATGCCTCAGCAGCCAGCACCACCCGGTTGGACCTACCAACTCGTGCCCATTACTTACCAAGGCGAGACCGCTGGTCAGGCCGCCTTCCGACTATTTGGTAAATCCTTGAACATCGAAAGCGCTCTCACCAAGAGACTGTATGATGAACAGTCACTCCGTCCGGTTCAACAACGTAACCGAAAAACCAAACTCAACATGACGCGACGTAGCAACGCTGAAGCTCTCCTCGCTCACATTACCGGCGTACAAGTTCAACAACCTTGTAAGAACTGCTCAGGTGGTCACGGACCTTGGAAAGAGTGTGTTATCTACGACGGGGAGATGTGCGGTAGCTGCACCAACTGTTGGTACAACGCCAGCGGCTCTCGCTGCACTTTCCACGGCAAGTTCTTTCCCATAGCCAATGATACAACAAGGAACAACGCTAATAAACGACATAGATAACAATCAGACTTGTTTCTTTCTGCCGGCCCCATTCTCCATGCTCCAACCCGAAGGAATGCCTGCGCTGCCCATGGGTGTGTCTCCTATGCTCACTGGCTCTAGCCAATACTACTTGGGCTACAACAACCAGCAGTCACTTGCTCAGCCCTCAACCGCCCTCGACCGCCTGCAGAGTATCGGCGTCGGTGCTAGCAACTAGAATCTGCCTAGCACCACCGCAAATCTGATCAACGAGGCCATCGCGAGTGGAATTTCCTCAAATCCTATGGATAGACTTATCGGCCGAGTCGAAAGTGCTGCTATCGAGCTTGGCAACCGTATTGGGGAATTCCAAGAGTTCATTCAAACCCCTCAGGGACACCTCATGATGACCCAACGTACAACTCAGATGGCCACTCCTGCTCTTTCGAGTGTCGAAGAGCTTGCCTCCGACCATGAGAACTAACTCACCCTATCATCATGCTGTCACCTTAAGTGAATGGGCGCCCTTCCTAGGGTTGAATCAGCCAGTATTCATTTACGCTCAAAACCTTGGTAGGCTACAGACAATGGGGGAACAACAAGAACTCAACAGAAGAGAAGAAAAAAGGAAGGAAGAAAACCAGAAAAAAAAAATTCACTAGAGCAGAGCCGACGCAGTAAGTCTCACCACTCGAGGTCCTGTTCTGCAATCGTTGACTAACTGATGTGCTAGGCTCATTTACATACCAACTCGATCCTTGGACATACAGAATCTTCATGGTTAAGCATCTTAACCGGTATGAGTTTGTTGCAACTTTTTCTGAATCATGTCCCAAGTTGACGATTGGAAAATTATCTCGCCCACAACCAGACGAGAAGATTGAACACACACTGCATGTTTGTATTCACTGGTCCCTCGTATTGTACCAGGATCAACACTTGACGCTATTTCCTTTTGCGAGATTTCTCTTCTTTTCTTTATCATACTGGATCGATTGATTCTATACGGAACTTGTACCAACAACTATCGGCATTTATGCCTTTGCCGATTCACCTCTTCACTGCACGATCATGCGTCAAAGGAGAGTAACGGCATAGATCTCAGCAAGAAGATCGGCACAACCGGCAATCTCTGAGGACCAGAGGGATACGAGATGCAGTTTTTGTTTTTGCTTTTTGAAGAGGGAAGAAGGGCGTGATTTGGATCTGGACTAACGCTAAACAACGGCATTCGGTCAATTCTTATGCGAACCTACTGCGATGCTCCGGGATGGTTCGTCCGTCCCAAGAGCGCAGTATGGAGACAAGGAACATCATGTCAGCTAGTTCAGACAGGATCAACCTCTGTGTATAGCAGTACAAATTGAGAATGGCAATATCATCGGGCCTCTGAACGTGAAACGATGAGCGAACTAACTAGGTATCCTGGCCAAGCAGGAACAACTTTTTGAGATGTCTTAAACCATCATCTCTGGTACTACATGAAGATAAAGTCACATGACTGTGATTCATCTGTCAACAGATCACCGCGTACGATACCCAACATGTCTAACATAGATCAGATCTATGCATGTCTCATCCCCAGAGACAATAGCCACCAACCATCTATAGGGTGAATCGGGTTCGTTCCCGTTGAGAAACGTGCGTGAGTAGCGCTTGAATGAGTCTTGACAAAAAACAAGCATGCGGCAACAAAAAGAGAAAACGTCAGAGTGAGAAAAGAAGGTTAAGCCAAGACAAACCAGATTTTAGACTGGACCTGAAGGGCAGAATACGTTAAAGACGGTAAATTCGTTTCTATGATGAGAGACGTGTGGAAGCGATGGGAACTTTACAATGGATATACTTGATAATTTTGAGAATTAAGCGTAAAAACACCGTGAGCGGACGTGTAGACAATGCTAAAACAACGCAGGTAGTGAGGAACGAACAATGAACGCATGGTAGGAAAAGAGCTTCATAATTAAACAAAATAGATGACCACCTTCCATCTTCCTGTCGCCCGTACTGTTTAGATGCAAATAATGAACCTTTCTTCAGCCTCGTTCATCACGCTCTTGAACGGGCAAATCATATCTTCCCCGACGTCGTGGGCGGCCGTGACCACTGGCCTTCGCGGCCCTATCGTCAGTGGTCGGCTGGTCTTAAAAATCTTTCTCCCTTTGAAAAGACGTTTTTGTGATACAAGGCAACTCCCATCCCTCAGCCGGCAAAATCCTTAAATAGAAACGGAACCAAGGTCAACCTGGGCGCAGCCAAAACTAGCGATATATCTAGTGTATTGGATGAGCCGAACCATTGGTAGCCGACGTCGACCAAAGGAGTCGCGCAGTTAACACCGTGCCTCCGCTCCCTTGGCATGACGAGTACAAGAAAAAATCGTGAGCCATTTCCCCGTGGCCCATCTAAGCAGTGTCGTTATTAAGATCGAGGGTATTCGTGTTTTAGTGACAGCAAGAAAAAAAAATCATTTAGATAAGACCACAGAGACGAAGGTTCTCTTGGATGATGATATCTGGCATACGTTAGAAAATAAGTCTGTTTACAATGAGTATAAACTTACCGTTGACAGCCGCCATAACAAAACGGATCTGGGTGGTATCGGTTGCGCAAGTGAAATGGGTGTAGATCTGCTTGGTCTCATGTTGGTTCAAGCTAACGAAGCGGTTGAGGATGTAATCGCAAGCCGCAGCGTAGTCATCGCCGCCCTCGTAGTCGGGGAAGTAGTTCTTCATGGGGCTGACAGGCAGCTTCTCCTTGAATCGATCGATCTTGTTGAGGAACAGAATGATCGATGTCTTGATGAACCACCTTGAGTTGCAGATGGAGTCGAACAGAGTAAGAGCCTCCTGCATTCGGTTGACGGTCTCATCTTCGAAAAGGAGCTGATCGTATTCTGATATGGCGACCAGGAAGAGAATGGTAGTAACGTTCTCGAAGCAGTGAATCCACTTCTTTCGCTCGGATCTTTGGCCACCAACGTCGAACATTCGGTATGTAAGGTCGCCGATGATGAAAGTGGTCTCGGTAATACCTGTGGTCTTGACACGAGATCGGAGAACGTCCTGATCGTTGGGCATGTAATCGGGAGCAGCGATACGTGCAATGTTATCGAAGTAGCTGGGTATGGTTAGTTGGGCAAAGAAACAATTGCACCGGTTTTACATACTATCGAGCAGAGTCGTTAAGCTGGTACTCGCGGGAGCGCTTGAAACACTCTTGCACACCACGGTCCTTCCACAGAGCCTCAATGGCACTGCCGACCTCTGGGGGGAGGACATCGCCCTCAATCTGAGCTGGTTGCATGAAAATGGTCTGGACGTGGTACTCCATGCGCTGGTCCTCAAGAGGAAGTTCGAGAGACTCCATAGCCTCGAGGATAACGCGCATTGATTGAACGGTGTTGCTGAAGATGATTTCCTTGAAGGATTCTCGCTCATCGCGTGAGTAGCCACCCTCGTGGATGAGCTTCATCTGCTTCAGGATAGTAGACTTTCCGGATTCACCGGCACCTAGATGAAAGCGTCAGAAGAAGTCCATGGCAATTGATAACAGGCAGTCCGTCGCGAAATCGTTGGATTTCTAGTCGCGAAAGGAACCTGACTGGGTCGCAAACATACCGAGCAGCAGCATCTTGATCTCGTTTCGCTGCATCATCTTGTCGCGCTTGAGCTGGTTCTCGATCTCCTCGTTACGGGCCTTGCCCTCCTTCTCCTCTGTGCTCATTCCGCAACCCATTGTGACGGAAGTTTGGTTTTTCTTCGGAACGGCAAAAAAGAATTACTGAAATTGATTAAATGAGGTGAACGACACAGTATTTGCTGTGTCGTCGATGTCGCAAGATATGGTCTGGGCTAAAGCCGTCGACGTTAGTTATTAACAATGCTCGCAGGTCGTGACGAGAAGAACGAAGGACTGTTTATGGCGGAGCGAAAGCACTTCCGACTTGTCAAGGTATAGAGAAGAGAAAAGAGATGAGATGGAAAAAGAAGCGAGACAAAGCGAAGGCGATGTAAGGTTGAGGTAAGGTGGAGTGTAGGAAGAGAAAAGGAGATGCAGAAGTAGCTTTGAGCGTAGCGTGGTAACTGGGGGGAGGAGGCTGCAATTTGGGGCACGACACACGAGTCGTGCCAACGAAGACCAAAACAGAGTAGTAGGTAGAGTAGAGCAGAGCAGCCAGTGAACGCCAGGCCAAAAAGGCCCAGTCCAGGGCGGAATCTCTCGCACATCCCCTGGCCCAGGGGGTGGAGGGGGCCGGGGGGGATCTAGGCGGGCTAGAGTAGGTAGGGACACTTTAGGTCGCCTGGGGGGTTGGTGGAGACTTGGGGGGCGTGTATGAGATTCTTTCTGAGTGATGGTTTGGAGAATGAAGATGAAGATGGATTGACCGAATGATAGAACGTCATACTTGAATAGAACTATACTTACATATAGTGCTCAGTCGTGCGACTCTTGATAGGTTATATTCGAGGGCAACAATTGGTTGCGATATTGATCGAATGTTGATGAGAACAACGGCAGCAAATTAATATTTTATTGGTGACGACGATACGCCGATGCGAGAGGCGAAACGCTATGGAAGGCGATAGCGATGGCGGGTATTAGGATATCTTTTAGGCGTTATGGGAACGGTATAAAAGGTAAAAGTGACCTAAGGACCCAAAAGCTGGGATAGGAAAATAGACAGGCGGAGATTTGGGAAAGGAGAGAGAAAGATTTGAAGCCAAAGCTACAGTAGCAGAAGAAAGATGAGACGAGACGGACTGGATGGATGCAAATGGGAATGAGAATCACAATGAGAGAGGGGGCGGTCGGGCAGACCGTCACCAGAATATGATGGCTGATTGGTTCACCACTTGAAAAAAAGAGGCGTGCACTCGGGCCAGCTGGATGGGAACTGGAACTACTAGAAGCCAAAGAAAGAAGAGAAAAAGAAAATGAGATGAAATGAAATGAGTGATGGATACCAGCCAAGAGCGAGGTACCGCTAGCTTTGCCGGAGATCCCAGCGATGGATCATGTATCTCTTTGGTAAACCTTACCTGCTTAGGTTGGTTAGCAGTCTTTTCTGTTGCTACTATAGCGCCCTAGCAGGACGCTTTCATTTATTCGCATCGCATCGCAACGGGGCTCCTGAATCTTTTCCATTGCCTGGGCGAGCAGGTATAGCGTATAACCAACAGTACCTGTTAAGGTACAAGCATAGACAAAGTACAAGCATAGACAAAGTACTAGACATAGATTTCTTACACCATGTCTGACCATTTTGAAGCTCTGGAGTCATTCCAAAAAGTACTGAAACATTATAATCGCAAGGAGTCAGTGGTTGTTCTTCTAAAGCTGAGCGCATCCATATGCGAGTGACTGAAGTGCCCTAAAGCAGACGGCCGGCGGCCGTCCATCGTACCTTTCATGGAACTAACGACCTCGACCCGACAGCTGCGGTACATCCTTCCTTCACCTGCACTGTACCTGAGCTAGAGG